TGTAAACGCAGCATATGTCGGCACAATAGGAAATTACCTTAACATTTCAACTGCGGTAGAGCACGGATCTTTAGCGCTACGGATTGAATCTAGGCCTTAGCCTTTCTGTTCTCCTTCTCTCCTTCCTCTGTTGTACTGAGTGGAGTTTACTGTGCCATTCCATTCTGGCTTTCTTTAACCTCGCTGTTCCTTCTATGCAAAAAAATAACTATTTTAGCCTTTGTACAGACCATTTTGTATTAGTAATATGTACTGAAATAAAGTTAATTAGTGGTGAATGGGGATTTTCTGTTTGATTTTCCAACATACTGTACTTGATTTCTTAACCAGAAAAAATGATAAAAAACATATATACAGTGGGGAGAACAAGTATTTGATACACTGCCGATTGCAGGTTTTCCTACTTACAAAGCATGTAGAGGTCTGTAATTTTTATCATAGGTACACTTCAACTGTGAGATACAGAATCTAAAACAAAAATCCAGAAAATCACATTGTATGATTTTTAAGTAATTAATTTTGCATTTTATTGCATGACATAAGTATTTGATACATCAGAAAAGCAGAACTTAATATTTGGTACAGAAACCTTTGTTTGCAATTACAGAGATCATACGTTTCCTGTAGGTCTTGACCAGGTTTGCACACACTGCAGCAGGGATTTTGGCCCACTCCTCCATACAGACCTTCTCCAGATCCTTCAGGTTTCGGGGCTGTCGCTGGGCAATACGGACTTTCAGCTCCCTCCAAAGATTTTCTATTGGGTTCAGGTCTGGAGACTGGCTGGGCCACTCCAGGAACTTGAGATGCTTCTTACGGAGCCACTCCTTAGTTGCCCTGGCTGTGTGTTACGGGTCGTTGTCATGCTGGAAGACCCAGCCACGACCCATGCTCTTACTGAGGGAAGGAGGTTGTTGGCCAAGATCTTGCGATACATGGCCTCATCCATCCTCCCCTCAATACGGTGCAGTTGTCCTGTCCCCTTTGCAGAAAAGCATCCCCAAAGAATGATGTTTCCACCTCCATGCTTCACAGATGGGATGGTGTTCTTGGGGTTATACTCATCCTTCTTCTTCCTCCAAACACGGCGAGTGGAGTTTAGACCAAAAAGCTCTATTTTTGTCTCATCAGACCCCATGACCTTCTCCTATTCCTCCTCTGGATCATCCAGATGGTCATTGGCAAACTTCAGACGGGCCTGGACATGCGCTGGCTTGAGCAGGGGGACCTTGCGTGTGCTGCAGGATTTTAATCCATGACGGCGTAGTGTGTTACTAATGGTTTTCTTTGAGACTGTGGTCCCAGCTCTCTTCAGGTCATTGACCAGGTCCTGCCGTGTAGTTCTGGGCTGATCCCTCACCTTCCTCATGATCATTGATGCCCCACGAGGTGACATCTTGCATGGAGCCCCAGACTGAGGATGATTGACCGTCATCTTGAACTTCTTCCATTTTCTAATAATTGCGCCAACAGTTGTTGCCTTCTCACCAAGCTGCTTGCCTATTGTCCTGTAGCCCATCCCAGCCTTGTGCAGGTTTACAATTATATCCCTGATGTCCTTACACAGCTCTCTGGTCTTGGCCATTGTGGAGAGGTTGGAGTCTGTTTGATTGAGTGTGTGGACAGGTGTCTTTTATACAGGTAACGAGTTCAAACAGGTGCAGTTAATACAGGTAATGAGTGGAGAACAGGAGGGCTTCTTAAAGAAAAACTAACAGGTCTGTGAGAGCCGGAATTCTTACTGGTTGGTAGGTGATCAAATACTTATGTCATGCAATAAAATGCAAATTAATTTCTTAAAAATCATACAATGTGATCTTCTAGATGTTTGTTTTAGATTCCGTCTCTCACAGTTGAAGTGTACCTATGATAAAAATTACAGACCTCTACATGCTTTGTAAGTAGGAAAACCTGAAAAATCGGCAGTGTATCAAATACTTGTTCTCCCCACTGTATATATATACAGTGAGGGAAAAAAGTATTTTATCCCCTGCTGATTTTGTACATTTGCCCACTGACAAAGAAATGATCAGTCTATAATTTTTATGGTAGGTTTATTTGAACAGTGAGAGACAGAATAACAACCAAAAAATCCAGAAAAACACATGTCAAAAATGTTATAAATTGATTTGCATTTTAATGAGGGAAATAAGTATTTGACCCCCTCTCAATCAGAAAGATTTCTGGCTCCTCTTAAAGGGAGTGCTCCTAATCTCAGTTTGTTACCTGTATAAAAGACACCTGTCCACAGAAGCAATCAATCAATCAGATTCCAAACTCTCCACCATGGCCAAGACCAAAGAGCTCTCCAAGGATGTCAGGGACAAGATTGTAGACCTACACAAGGCTGGAATGGGCTACAAGACCATCGACAAGCAGCTTGGTGAGAAGGTGACAACAGTTGATGCGATTATTCGCAAATGGAAGAAACACAAAATAACTTTCAATCTCCCTCGGCCTGGGGCTCCATGCAAGATCTCACCTCGTGAAGTTGCAATGATCATGAGAACGGTGAGGAATCAGCCCAGAACTACACGGGAGGATCTTGTCAATGATCTCAAGGCAGCTGGGACCATAGTCACAATTGGTAACACACTATGCCGTGAATGACTGAAATCCTGCAGCGCACGTAAAGGTACCCCAGCTCAAGAAAGCACATATACAGGGCCATCTGAAGTTTGCAAATGAACATCTGATTGATTCAGAGGAGAACTGGGTGAAAGTGTTGTGGTCAGATGAGACCAAAATCGAGCTCTTTGGCATCAACTCAACTCGCCATGTTTGGAGGAGGAGGAATGCTGCCTATGACCTCAAGAACACCATCCCCACCGTCAAACATGGAGGTGGAAACATTATGCTTTGGGGGTGTTTTTCTGCTAAGGGGACAGGACAACCACCGCATCAAAGGGACGATGGATGGGGCCATGTACCGTCAAATCTTGGGTGAGAACCTCCTTCCCTCAGCCAGGGCATTGAAAATGGGTCGTGGATGGGTATTCCAGCATGACAATGACCCAAAACACATGGCCAAGGCAACAAAGGAGTGGCTCAAGAAGAAGCACATTAAGGTCCCGGAGTGGCCTAGCCAGTCTCCAGACCTTAATCCCATAGAAAATCTGTGGAGGGAGCTGAAGGTTCGAGTTGCCAAACGTCAGCCTCGAAACCTTAATGACTTGGAGAAGATCTGCAAAGAGGAGTGGAACAAAATCCCTCCTGAGATGTGTGCAAACCTGGTGGCCAACTACAAGAAACGTCTGACCTCTGTGATTGCCAACAAGGGTTTTGCCACCAAGTACTAAGTAATGTTTTGCAGAGGGTCAAATAGTTATTTCCCTCATTAAAATGCAAATCAATTTATAACATTTTTGACACGCATTTTTCTGGATTTTTTTGTTGTTATTCTGTCTCTCACTGTTCAAATAAACCTACCATTAAAATTATAGACTGATCATTTCTTTGTCAGTGGGCAAACGTACAAAATCAGCAGGTGATCAAATATTTTTTTCCCTCACTGTATGTATACTGTAGCTAAGAAAGTAATACTAAGTGTATGCTGTGTAGTAAGCTGTTAGTAGCCCATGTGCCTCACCCTAATAATTTGGTTCCTTTCCCCCTCATAACTTAGCCTACTGTTCTGACTTGGTGGTGCACATGTAGCCTATAGCCTGTTTTAGAGAAATGTAATAATCGAATATTGTAAGAGCTTTCATTGTCTGCTTATATGCCCCCTTTCTTTATCCTACGGTTCTGATTTGGTGTACAGGGAGAATACTGTAAGAATGGCCCATGTTCTGAATTCTGTCGCAGTACATTTCAAAAGTGCTGAACAAATAGTTATATTGACTCCATCCTAGCTCGCTCATTAATGTATTAATCGAAAACACGGATTGCCTCTTACCCGCTGGTCGTCCCCTTATGCTATAGTTTGTACATCTCAATTGTCAGTAGAAACCACATTTGTTTAAGCAAGTCAGCCATATCAGCTATGTTTTTTTTTAAAGGCAGTAAATGGAGGCTGAATTTACTGAATCGCTGCCAGACAAGGCTCCGCTGATAGCCAGGTGTAGCGGTGGTAAAGATTCACTCCATGGTGCTGAAAAGAAAGCTCTGCTGTTGGGACAGCTTTATGTAGGCCCTAACAGTTTGTGGACACCGTTTGTAACCGTTATAGTGCAATTAATGTATTGTTTAGTGGTGTGTTGTGTAGTGGCTTTGCTGGCATGCATAAAAACAAATTGGGGGGAGTTTGCCCCAGCAAGATTTACATGCTAAAATCGCCACTGATCATACATACAGTGAGGGAAAAAAGTATTTAAAATGCAAATCAAATTATACTATTTTTGACATGCGTTTTTCTGGATTTATTTGTTGTTATTCTGTCTCTCACTGTTCAAATAAACCTACCAATAAAATTATAGACTGATCATGTCTTTGTCAGTGGGCAAACCGTACAAAATCAGCAGGCGATCAAATACTTTTTTCCCTCACTGTATCATATCATACATGTGTATGGCGGAGGCTCACATGAACGCGCAAATGGAGGGTAGAGGGGAAGGGTGTGATTTAGGATTCAGCCAATGCGGACACAGTGGACTTATAAGAGACACATTTTACTACCATGTGTAGATGCAACGGCTACAATGTGGGCACAATCAGAATGCAGATAAGATCAGGACAAAGGACACATGTTAGCACCAGGTATAAACGAGGCTAAATTGAGACACTCTTTCTCCATCAGGCTTCAGCCACATATTGCTGAAGGAATCTCTCTCATCAATCACTTGCTAAGGCTGACAATGAGCTACTATTGTTGGTGACGGTTTGGGGACAACATGCCTTGTGACGTCATCTTCTTTTATACTCTTAATTGCCTTCTTACAATTCCTCCTTGAATACCTGAGGTGCTCTGAAGTATTCCGTAGGGTAGAGAGGCCATTGGTCCAGCAGCCTGAGAGTGGACTGCTTGATGACCTCACTACCTTTTCCTGTCCAGTCTCAGAATGGGTTACCTGTCAACCAGCCAGGATGAGCCTGAGAGCATCCAGGACAGGATCCAACAACCAGCACAGAGGGCATCACTCACTGGGGGTCAAGGGGACCACAACATCCCAACAGCAGATGTTAACATTTAAGTCTACAGGGAGAGAGAGCAGGACATGAGGATGCTTTTTTAGGTCACATATACATTTCCACATTGTTGAAGGCCACTTTCATTGGGTAGGCCCATACTAAGAAATCAGAAAATGACATTCACAGAGATCACATTTATGGTAAAACGCTGCAGATGTCGACTAAAAAGGAAATTGCTTTAGATTCCGGCCACAGTCAATACACAATGTCCAGCCTCTTGGGCCTAGACAACCTATATATACCCACAGATTAATATTGATCACAGGGACTTGGTTTGGCTAGATGTTTCTCTTGTTGTAGGCTACTCTCAGTCGGTTACACTGTAGTCCTTAACTGCAGCCTGGTCTCATAGACTAGACGTAACATAGTAAATGTAAATCCGGGACACTCAAATTAGTATGATATATTACGTTTGGTATGGTTACTTAATTCTTTAGAGTCTAAGACGTTGGGGGGTGGTGTTAAGCTGACAAATTGAATAGTTTTAAGATGGTCATACTATGGTTCATTTAGCTATTTGATTATGAATTTTAGGACCCCTTTAGGTATATATATATATATAAAGACCAGGTTGACAGACAGGCTGACAATACACCAAAGCTCCTGGGCCAATTGGCCATTCAGCAGCACTGAGGCCATAGATATTTTGTGTAACCTGATTCCTGGGCTTGCAGGACAGTTCTGGTGCTTACCAGCCATAGCAGGGCAGCGTCACAGCTGCTAGCCCCCCTTTTTAGGCAGCAGCTACTGCAAACTTTACACAGCAGCTGATTCGCATGGTGGTTAAATATCTCTGGGGTTTGGCTGGCCTTTTCTGTGCTTGTTTTTGGAGGGTTTTATTTTATTTATTAACTTTTATTTAACCGGAAAGTGCCATTGAGGTCAGAATACCTTTTTCCCGAGGGAGACCTGGAAGTTTTCTGGGTATATTTATATTTTTTGGAGCATAGAAAATAAAAAAAATGGATAGGAAACTGAATCTTAACCGAGCCGAGACTTTTTCCTTCATCAACCCTTGGATAAGGTACTTCCTGTTCTTCTTCAGCTTCTTGTTCTGGGTAAGTGGAGCCGCTCGGCTGAAGACCTCTAATCACATACTGTAACAAACATAAGCCCTAAGCACCAGTGTTCTGGCTGTAGATTAATGTAAGCAACAGAATGCTGCACCTCTAAAAACAGGGAAATACACTCTCAAGCTAAAAGCTCATGAATTAAACATGCAGAGATATAATTCAGAAAGATTACCTGGGCTGCAAACAGCAGGCAGATGCTCCCTGTTTGGATGATTCACAGCTGTAACATTTAGGCATTCACATCGACATTAAATCAATCTGACACTTGTTGTGGGTAAAAATTACTGTCTCATTTCAATGGTTCTTCATGAACTTTGCACCGTTAATTAATACTCAAAACTTGCTACAAGTCTTTGGGTTGGTGTAAAATGTACACTAAACTGTTAAATGTGCTGAGGAATGGTTATTTATTTTACATGACCAAAATTACACGTTTTTGTACTGTAGGCCTACAGTTAGCCTACAGTATAAGCTATTTAGCCTGTATTGTATTTATTCAATGAAGAGCTTGTGTGTTTAGTAAGTCTTGAACGCCAGTTTGTTAAAGAGCATATTTTCTGATAAGCGCATTGTGATGTCGTCTATAGGCCGATTATCTCTCATACCAGGCACAGGGGCTGAATGGCTGTCCTAAAGCCCACATGACCATGGCCATGTTGTCATTGTGAGTGTGTGGCCATGCGGCAGATAGACAGGGGGCTTGATGATGGTGCATGGTGTTGAAGCCATAGAGATAACACTGGGTTTTATCTCTATGGGTGAAGCAGACAGCTGCAATAAGATAAAGGATAGGACAGAGATTATGTGCTAGACGAGACACGAAAGCACTCATGGGATGGGAGTCGCATTGAAGTTCCATTGGCTCTTTGTGCAGGAACAAATCCCATCTGGAATATATTGCAACCCAGCTCTATCAATCCTTCTTTATCCATGTCTAGACAGAGAACAGAGAGATGCAGAGTGTGTTATTGAACCGTCCAGGCCAGGGGACCGGTGGCAGCCAAACATCACTGGGCTAGTTGTGTTTGTATATCTGAGACAGGCCCTTGGACTGCAGTGCTACAGCCTTTTGTTCCTGTCTCATCCTCCTGGCCTGGCTCAGCTCATCCAGGGGCTCAGCCCGCCCCAACACAATCCACGACCGTTTCTCCCTGTTCAAAGCCTGGAAACATATCTGGAATACTTTCACCAGTGTCCCTTATTCCCAGCACAGACCAATTGTATACAATAGCCATGTTTCAGCCCACCAGCCAAGAGGGCATCACAGGCAACCTAAGAGCAACAATTACAGTATTGATTTATTTGATGACCTTGAAAACACTGGAGCTCCAATCAAGCTGTTTTGTGTGTGGATGTAAATGGAAAAGTACACTGTTGCTAGGTCTTGCTCTCCAACCAAGGAGGTCATGACAGCAACAATTTTCAGGCGTTGATGATTCCAAGATGGAAAGACAGCACACAACAGCAGGTAGCTTAGTGGTTAAGAGCGTTGTGCCAGTAACCGAAAGTTCACTGGTTCTAATCCTTGAGCCGACTAGGTGAAAAATCTGTCGATGTGCCCTTGAGCAAGGCACTTAACCCTAATTGCTCCTGTAAGTCGCTCTGGATAAGAGCGTCTGCTAAATGACTAAAATGTAACAAACTATTTAAACTGATGTCCTTGGTGTGCATAACCCACACAGATCCTCCTCGCAAACAAACCATACTATCTATCAAGCAAATATGTCTATGATTGTTAATGGTCAATGCATGTCTCTATTGCAAAATATATTTTTTATCTCAACGAGACAAACCTGTATAAATAATGGTTAGATTGTTTTGATTTTTAATTGTTCGTGCCATGTGAGAAACCATTTTTGTCTGTTTAAATAGATGGATGGGCTTCCATTTAGGAGTTTGTGCAATTAATGTCACAGAGACATCCTTCTGGTGTACAAGCTCTCTTAGGACCACACACTATTGACCATCAGGAGGCCAATCAGGGGGTCTGTAAATAAAAGGCAAGTCATGCAAATGATCATTCAAGGTGATATAACAATCATGTAGGAAAATTGATTCTGACAACATAACTCTTAACTCCTTCAGGGCTGTGCTTTTTGACAGAGTACACCTACTGACAAGGGCTAGCTCCAAGGACTCTAGCTCCAAGATTAGGGTTGCCCATACTCTGTCTGCCAGACGGTAAAAAAACAAACAGAAATACAATGAAGAGCTGGAACAACTCCTGTCTGAGATGAGTTTGGCAAGGATGAAACTACACAGCAAAAGCTGACAAATGAACCAGACAATTCCAAAAATAAATGGAGAGAGGAGAATTGAAGGCACCGCTGGACTGATGATGAATTGCCCGAAGCCCAGGGTTGAAAACGGCAACAACAAAAAAAACAACTACAACTAAAAATACCAGCACTTTAAGGGCTCTATTTAATCTGTAAAGCTAATTTCAGATTGAGCCAACATATGCAGCGTTTATCGTGAACGCAGTTGCCGCTAAAGCGGGAACATTGCCTTTAAATTTCAATCACGCTGTAAAGTTGAACTTCCGTGATGCAGCTTGAATAGAGTTAAGTGTTCCCGATATACAAAAATAGTTATTACTATTTTAAGGAGATTATATGCATATCTGATTTCTTGTCCTCTTTCAGGTCTTCTCCTTGCTGATTGTTGCTATAGGGGTATATGCAAAAGCTCAAAAAGCAACAGGTATGACCCATTTTATTCTGCATATTCCAAGCCATGAATCTGCATCTGAAAATATGAATCAATACCCGAAACGTTCTGCAATCATAATTTCATGACATTTCTATCAAATATGAAACTGTTAATGAATCACCAGTGGTGGTGCCCAGAAAGATCCCCCAGCTCAAAGTAGGTTGTGTTAGTGGGTCACACCACACGGTTGTCTATGTTCATCTCTTGCAGACACTGTCAGAGACACGTTCCTGATTGACCCTGCGATCATTCTGATCGTGGTGGGCGTGGTCATGTTCTTCATCACCTTCTGTGGCTGCATCGGAGCCCTGCGAGAAAACATTCACCTTCTGAAGACGGTAAGACCAAGCTTTTCATATTCTACTCAGTCTTCATCTCAACCCACCTTGACACAATACATGTGAAGACGGTACAGTAGGAAGAAGGTGCTCCTAAACGATATTCAGTACAACAACTTTTTCACTTGATTGGAAAATGTCAAAAGGTCAGGACTGGAAACAGCGCTTACAGTGCCTTGCAAAAGTATTCACCCCCCTTGGCGTTTTTCCTATTTTGTTGCATTACAACCTGTAATTTAAATTGATTTTTATTTGGATTTCATGTAATGGACAGTTCAAATTGGTGAAGTGAAAGGAAAAAAGAACTTGTTTCAAAAAATTCTAAAAAATTAATAACGGAGAAGTGGTGCATATGTATTCACTCCCTTTGCTATGAAGCCCCTAAATATGATCTGGTGCAACCAATTACCTTCAGAAGTCACATAATTAGTTAAATAAAGTCCACCTGTGTGCAATCTAAGTGTCACATGATCTGTCACATGATCTCAGTATATATACACCTGTTCTGAAAGGCCCCAGAGTCTGCAACACCACTAAGCAAGGGGCACCACCAAGCAAGCGGCACCATGAAGACCAAGGAGCTCTCCAAACAGGTCAGGGACAAAGTTGTGGAGAAGTACAGAAAAGGGTTGGGTTATAAAAATATATCAGAAACTTTGAACATCCCACGGAGCACCATTAAATCCATTATTAAAAAATGGAAAGAATATGGCACCACAACAAACCTGCCAAGAGAGGGCCGCGCACCAAAACTCACGGACCAGGCAAAGAGGGCATTAATCAGAGAGGCAACAAAGAGACCAAAGATAACCCTGAAGGAGCTGCAAAGCTCCACAGCAGAGATTGGTGTGTCTGTCCATAGGACCACTTTAAGCAGTACACTCCACAGAGCTGGGCTTTACGGAATAGTGGCCAGAAAAAAGCCATTGCATAAAGAAAAAAATAAGCAAACACGTTTGGTGTTCGCCAAAAGGCATGTGGGAGACTCCCCAAACATATGGAAGAAAGTACTCTGGTCAGATGAGACTAAAATTGAGCTTTTTGGCCATCAAGGAAAATGCTATGTCTGACGCAAACCCAACACATCTCATCACCCCGAGAACACCATCCCCAGTGAAGCATGGTGGTGGCAGCATCATGCTGTGGGAATGTTTTCCACCGGCAGGGACTGCGTAACTGAAGGAATAATGGATGGAAATTCTTGAGGGAAACCTGTTTCAGTCTTCCAGAGATTTGAGACTGGGACGGAGGTTCACCTTCCAGCAGGACCATGACCCTAAGCATACTGCTAAAGCAACACTCAAGTGGTTTAAGGGGAAACATTTAAATGTCTTGGAATGGCCTAGTCAAAGCCCAGACCTCAATCCAATTGAGAATCTGTGGTATGACTTAAAGATTGCTGTACACCAGCGGAACCCATCCAACTTGAAGGAGCTGGAGCAGTTTTGCCTTGAAGAATGAGCAAAAATCCCAGTGGCTAGATGTGCCAAGCTTATAGAGTCATACCCGAAGAGACTTGCAGCTGTAATTGCTGCAAAAGGTGGCTCTACAAAGTATTGGCTTTGGGGGGGTGAATAGTTATGCACGCTCAAGTTGTCAGTTTTTTTGTCTCATTTCTTGTTTGTTTCACCCCAAAAAATATTTTGCATCTTCAAAGTGGTAGGCATGTTGTGTAAATAAAATGATACTAACCCTTAATTTCCAGGTTATAAGGCAACAAAATAGGAAAAATGCTAAGGGGGGTGAATACTTTCGCAAGGCACTGTATGGGCAACTCTGTACCTACCTGCCTCTGACAGAATACCATTTATGTGGTACTCTGTAACGTCCATGCCGTACCTCTCTAACCCACTGACTGTCAGCATATGTGTCTGCTCTCTTCTTCTCCAGTTCTCCTTCAGTCTGACACTGGTCTTCCTCACTCAGCTGGCCATAGCTGTCCTTGGCTTCTTCTATTCAGACCAGGTACTGTTTCTACACTGCCTGGGGTCCGGTACTGCGTCTACAGCCTGGTGTCTGTCTAGTTCCTACTGTCTTCGTGTCTGCACTCCCTCCGCTGCTAAACAGGGCAGTTTAACCACGCTCGCAGCATCCTCTCCCCATCCGCTAAATGATTCAAACGCTCTGCCACATCAAAGTGGAACCAAATGTTCAATTTCAACAAGATCTCTTCCAGGACGTTTGCCACTAATGACATTCGGGAGGTGTGCAGAGGCATGCTGCAAGTGACAGACAGCAAGGGAGGGAGAGGGGAGGTAGGGGGAGAGGGGGGAGATTCTCCAGGGGGACCGCAGGCTTATTACCACTGTAAAGCATATGTTATTACACCCTTCATAGCACATTAGGAGCCAGTGCTTCCAGCCCAAGGGCCCCCTACGTGAAGCCTTCTCAACATGTCCCCTAGGGGCCATTCCCATAATCAAACAAGCCGATTTACATGAAAATAGTACTTTACATACCTGTCCTCCTTCTGCTCTGTAACCCCAGACACGAGACGCTCTGGGAAAGTTCGTGAATAAAGCCATTGTGCACTACAGGGATGACCTGGATCTGCAGAACCTCATGGACTACATTCAGAGAGAGGTAATCTATTCCACTACATTCAGAGAGAGGTAATCTATTCCACTACATTCAGAGAGAGGTAATCTATTCCACCACATTCAGAGAGAGGTAATCTATTCCACTACATTCAGAGAGAGGTAATCTATTCCACTACATTCCACACTAACATACCATGCTATTTTCTCTTAAGTTAAACCACATCACACCCGTGTTGAGTTCATTCGAGCGAGACCCAATGGGCACACAACGCCATTTTGAAGTCTTTACAACTGACCTGTTCCCGTTGGGGAGGTTGATTGAACATGTCAGCACACCTAACCAGGACACCACACAGAGTGACCGCAGATCAAAAGGTCCGTTACCCCAGCTTCAATCAAACTTTCCACATAAAAGACCCTGAGTAACATGCTGTTCAATGCATCCTGCGTCTCCCCTCGCATGTTCCTCCATCTGCACATACTGGCACACTTCGGCTGCTGGTGGGTCCTCCCAAGAGGAGGGGAAAGTGAGAGAATGTACCAGACGATGTTTCTAATTATACCTCTCTCTCGGTCTCTTTCTCTCAGTTCAAGTGCTGTGGCTGGAACAACTACACTGACTGGTCCTGGAACTTGTACTTCAACTGCACCCAGGGGAACCCCAGCTCTGAGCGCTGTGCTGTGCCTTACTCCTGCTGCACCCCCGTACCAGGAGAGGTGGGTGGGCGCCTCCAGCCACCTCAGAACATACATACATACATGCATACAGTGGCTTCAGAAAGTATTCATAGCCCTTGACGTATTCCACATTTTGTTGTGTCACAGCCTGAATTCAAAATGAATCTACACACAATACCCCATATTGACCAAGTGAAAACATGTTTTTAGAAATGTTTGCCAATTTATTGAAACTGAACTACAGAAATCTCATTTACATAAGTATTCACACCCCTGAGTCAATACATGTTAGAATCACCTTTGGCAGTGATTACAGCTGTGAGTCTTTATGGGTAAGTCTAAGAGCTTTGCACACCTGGATTGTACAATATTTGCACATAATTTTTGTTTAAATCTTTAAGCTCTCTCAAATTGGTTGTTGATCATTGCTAGAACCTACCAGGTATAACCCTAAATCCGTAAACATGAGCACCCTCATAGATATCATCCTGACTAATTTACCCTCTAAATACACCTCCGTTGTCTTCAACCAGGATCTCAGCGATCACTGCCTCATTGCTTGCGTCCCTAATGGGTCCGCTGTCAAATGCTCCCTAAAACACTTCAGCGAGCAGGCCTTTCTAATTGACCTGGCCCGGGTATCCTGGATGGATACTGACCTCATTCTGTCAGTAGAGGATGCCTGGTTGTTCTTTAAAAGTTATTTCCTCTCAATCTTAAATAAGCATGCCCCATTCAAAAAATGCAGAACTAAGAACAGATATAGCCCCTGGGTCACCCCAGACTTGACTGCCCTTGACCAGCACAAAAACATCCTGTGGCGTACTGCATTAGCATCGAACAGCCCCCGCAATATGCAACTTTTCAGGGAAGTCAGGAACCAATATACACAATCAGTTAGGAAAGCAAAGGCTAGCTTTTTAAAACAGAAATGTGCATCCTGTAGCACTAACGCCAAAAAGTTTTGGGACACTGTAAAGTCCATGGAGAATAAGAGCACCTCCTCCCAGCTGCCCACTGCACTGAGGCTAGGAAACACTGTCACCACCGATAAATCTACGATAATCGAGAATTTCAATAAGCATTTTGCTACGACTGGCCATGCTTTCCACCTGGCTACCCCTACCCCGGCCACCAGCTCTGCACCCTCCGCTGCAACTTGCCCATGCACATTTTTACTCCTGAACGTATTTAGGTTTGCCACAACAAAGGGGTTGAATACTTACTGACTCAAGACATTTCAGCTTTTCATTTAATTAATTTGTAAAAAATATTTTAAAAAAACATAATTCCACTTTGACATTATGTGGAATTATGTGTATTTTGAGGGTATTTCTGAAGGCACTGTATGTACAATGTTAACCCGACAGCAACCTGGTTAAGGGGTTTGGATCCCTTGGTGTAACAATTACCTCGACTAACATGTGCCCCCGCACATTGACTCTGTACCGGTACCCCCTGTATATAGCCTCGCTACTGTTATTTTACTGCTGCTCTTTAATCATTTGTTCTCTATTTTTTACTTAACACTTATTTTTCTTAAAACTGCATTGTTGGTTAAGGGCTTGTAAGTAAGCATTTCACTGTAAGGGTCTACACCTGTTGTATTCGGCGCATGTGACAAATAACATTTGATTTGACAGTCGCTGGACCTGGGTTCGTGTCCCGGTAGGGGCTAATCCCTGAATTCGCAGCGTTGGTGTTTGAAGTGGGATGGGTTAAGGTCACTAAACTTACATAGATATAGACATGCATACACACACACACACTGGTCATTATGTATCATTGCTGACATTAGCCTCATTACTGGAAAGAATGAAAACATACTGTTAAATGGAGATCTACAGACAAAAGCATAGACGATTTCTCACTCTGGATAGAATTACACTGACCGTTTGCAACGCGTTCAGAAACCCATTCACTAAACATGATAAGAACTGAGGTAGTGCTGCAATCTGCTGCTCACATGCTGTAACTGCATGGTAATTATAACAGTTTAATTAATCACAATTAATTAAAGTAGATGTAGTTCATTATAATTCAATCATACGATGTTATTATAATGTAAATTATCTTTGTTTTGAGTCAACAGCGCATCATGATTACTTATGTATGATGTCTTAATGTTATTTTGTCTCTGCACAGGTTGTGATCAACACCATGTGTGGCTTTGGGGTCCAGACTCAGAACTACCTGGATGCCACCAAGTCCATCTATCCAGTGGGTTGTGCAGACAGGGCGGTTCTGTGGATTGAGTCCCACCTTCTGTTGGTGGGGGCTCTAGCTCTGGGTCTCTCCCTGCCTCAGGTAACCCATACACAAGGGCTACATACAGACGTGGATTGGAGAACACCTCCTTCTCATAGTGGGTCTGCATACAACAGAAATCATGCACAGGCAGATTTTAGATTCAGGTTTGGATGATATAAAACCCAACACTTGGTTAAAGCTCAACTGAGATGGTGGCCTACTTTACCACATCATGTAAGCTATTATCCATGCCTATATTCACTCACATCCTGAGTGTGAGACGCTCATGAATCACAGCTCTATAATAGCCTTGAACAGCTTTCAAAATGTGGGATAATTTAAGTTGGTGTTTAATTAAGTTGTATGACTCACCCCTTCTTGTCTGCTGGTACAGTAGTTAATTTCACAGAGTGCTGTGTGCAGTTTGTACAGTCACTAATGAAAGGGGCTGCTCATACTCTCTCTCTCTCATCTGCTCTCTCACGTCTGCCACTCCTCTCTCCCACTACCGTCTCTCCATCTGTCCCCTTTTCTCTCTATCCCTCTCCCTCGCTCTGATATACCACTGATTTGGTCTCCTCCGAGAGGGAAGTGTGTAAATTACCCACGAGTCACGTCAAAACAATTGCATTACAATTCCAACAGCTTTGATGTGGTGTCGTTTTCAAGAGCAGGATTCACTCCGTACTTTCCTTGTCTCTTCGTTTATTTCACTGTTGTACACATTACCCCATCGTGTGATCACTGGCACGAAAAGCTCCTATTGATGCATGTTAGAGCAAACACAATGTGTTAAGTTCAAAGAATAACTATCAGACTCTCCAGTCTGTTTTCATCGAGACGTTAGATGAAATTTGCAAAGAAATAGAATTGTATCCACTGTACATGGTAAAGCCATACAAGCTTTGACCTTCAGAGACTGTTCTTAGGAAGCCGTATTAAGCTTTTCTTAAGAGTCTTCCTTCAGTAAGTGAGTGGCTGTTGGAGTGAGTTAAGGCTAAGACCCAAATGGCACCCTATTCAATATACAGGGCTCTGGACAAAACTAGACAGAGTGTGTTCTTGTCTCTGTCAGATTGCAGGCATTGTGCTCTCCCAGATCCTCATCTCTCAAATCCAGGATGAGATCAACTCAATGTTGTGAGAAGAGGATGGCCCGATCAACACAGAGAAAAGAACAGAAGAACTAGGAGAGAATAACTACTGGCTACTGGAGGAGAGTCACTCTACAGTTCCACTACACAGCCTTCAGAGCAACTGTTTTAGTGGTGTACTGTATAGACCGTATGGAAGTGTGTTTCAGCTTACTGTATGCTGGACTTACATGACTAAAGGCTGACATTGGAAGTGTTTATTTATTACATTACTATATATATATATATATATATATAGTTTTAAACATGATTTATATTGACATGAGGATTTTATATTCTGAAAATGATGTATTTATATTTCAAAGTGTGTTTGCTAATAAAATTTGTTTTATGACATACATTTACAGTGTTACAGAACAACATTCAATTAATCATAATATTTTCACAGTTATAGAAAACATCACTGGATATTGAACATTTTGATAATGGACCATGATGATTACACAGATGATCATTTTTATTAGGTAAAGGCCATATTCTTCAGCCAAACATCCAGTCAATTTGGATAGGGTCCCTCTGCAGTAGCCCCTGGTCCAGACCCCGTGACATCCAGCTTTAGGCCCTCTGTGCCCAGGCTAGGCATGCAGGACATGGGCTCTCTGGATCAGCCGGTCAGTGAGGGGAGAGTTGGGCCTGGCTGCCTCTCGCTCCACCAACAGACATCTCCAGGAGGACAGCACAACACAAGACAAAGGAGAGTTCTAGATTGAGTTAAGTAGAACATCTAACTGGAGAACAAAGGCTCTCAGCAATGGTAATCAACAGATACAGTACACAGTGTACTCAACACAGTATACAGAGAATTGTGTCTGTATTGCACCCAGACATTCTGTATTTTACAGACTTCAGGGGTGTCAATAAGGACACGCTTAACCATGAGAACATACTGATTAAATTCAACAGTCAAGACTGCACTATCGAGATCTTGCTACTTCTTCTACTCCCCAAACGAGTGCGCCGAAGACGAGAGAAAACATAAAAATCTTACTGGACAGAGAGGACCATTTTCTTAGTCATGTGTATTATATGGTGAAACGGAGAAACAAATATTGTACAGAGAAACCAATCATGTGTATTTAGCCATTCACCTTTGTTGGGTTCTAACTTGAAATGAACATATTCCTGTCATTATATTAGAACTTATTGATTATGTTACATGTATAATAAATGTACATGTTAAGGGTCAATGAACAAACTGACAAACTGAAATGGTCCACCCACGCAGACAGCGTGGTGAAGAAGGCGCATCAGAGCCTCTTCAACATCAGGAGGCTGAAGAAATTTGGCTTGGCACCTAAAACCCTCACAAACTTTAACAGATGCACAATTGAGAGCATCCTGTCGGGCTGTATCACCGCATGGTATGGCAACTGCACCGCCTGCAACCGCAGGGCTCTCCAGAGGGTGGTGCGGTCTTCCCAACGCATTACCGGGGGCAAACTACCCGCCCTCCAGGACACCTACAGCACCCAATGTCACAGGAAAGCCAAAAAGATCATCAAGGACATCAACCACACGAGCTACTGCCTGTTCACCATCCGGAAGGTGAGGTCAGTATAGGTGCATCAAAGCTGGGACCGAGAAACTGAAAAACAGCTTCTATCTCAAGGCCATCAGACTGTTAAATAGCCATCACTAGCACATTAGAGGCTGCTGCTGCCTATTGAAATCACTGGCCACTTTAAGAAATGGAACACTAGTCACTAATAATGTTGACATCTTGCATTACTCATCTCATATGTATATACTGTATTCTATAATATTCTACAGTATCTTAGTCCATGCCGCTCTGTTATTGCTCGTCCATATATGTACAGTGGGGAAAAAAAGTATTTAGTCAGCCACCAATTGTGCAAGTTCTCCCACTTAAAAAGATGAGAGAGGCCTGTAATTTTCATCATAGGTACACGTCAACTATGACAGACAAATTTAGATTTTTTTCTCTCCAGAAAATCACATTGTAGGATTTTTAATTAATTTATTTGCAAATTATGGTGGAAAATAAGTATTTGGTCACCTACAAACAAGCAAGATTTCTGGCTCTCACAGACCTGTAACTTCTTCTTTAAGAGGCTCCTCTGTCCTCCACTCATTACCTGTATTAATGGCACCTGTTTGAACTTGTTATCAGTATAAAAGACACCTGTCCACAACCTCAAACAGTCACACTCCAAACTCCACTATGGCCGAGACCAAAGAGCTGTCAAAGGACACCAGAAACAAAATTGTAGACCTGCACCAGGCTGGGAAGACTGAATCTGCAATAGGTAAGCAGCTTGGTTTGAAGAAATCAACTGTGGGAGCAATTATTAGGAAATGAAAGACATACAAGACCACTGATAATCTCCCTCGATCTGGGGCTCCACGCAAGATCTCACCCCGTGGGGTCAAAATGATCACAAGAACGGTGAGCAAAAATCCCAGAACCACACGGGGGGACCTAGTGAATGACCTGCAGAGAGCTGGGACCAAAGTAACAAAGCCTACCATCAGTAACACACTACGCCGCCAGGGACTCAAATCCTGCAGTGCCAGACGTGTCCCCCTGCTTAAGCCAGTACATGTCCAGGGCCGTCTGAAGTTTGCTAGAGTGCATTTGGATGATCCAGAAGAGGATTGGGAGAATGTCATATGGTCAGATGAAACCAAAATAGAACTTTTTGGTAAAAACTCAACTCGTCGTGTTTGGAGGACAAAGAATGCTGAGTTGCATCCAAAGAACACCATACCTACTGTGAAGCATGGGGGTGGAAACATCATGCTTTGGGGCTGTTTTTCTGCAAAGGGACCAGGACGACTGATCCGTGTAAAGGAAAGAATGAATGGGGCCATGTATCGTGAGATTTTGATTGAAAACCTCCTTCCATCAGCAAGGGCATTGAAGATGAAACGTGGCTGGGTCTTTCAGCATGACAATGATCCCAAACACACCGCCCGGGCAACGAAGGAGTGGCTTCGTAAGAAGCATTTCAAGGTCCTGGAGTGGCCTAGCCAGTCTCCAGATCTCAACCCCATAGAAAATCTTTGGAGGGAGTTGAAAGTCCGTGATGCCCAGCGACAGCCCCAAAACATCACTGCTCTAGAGGAGATCTGCATGGAGGAATGGGCCAAAATACCAGCAACAGTGTGTGAAAACCTTGTGAAGACTTACAGAAAACGTTTGACCTGTGTCATTGCCAACAACGGGTATATAACAAAGTATTGAGAAACTTTTGTTATTGACCAAATACTTATTTTCCACCATAATTTGCAAATAAATTCATTAAAAATCCTACAATGTGATTTTCTGGATTTTTTTTCCCTCATTTTGTCTGTCATAGTTGACGTGTACCTATGATGAAAATTACAGGCCTCTCTCATCTTTTTAAGTGGGAGAACTTGCACAATTGGTGGCTGACTAAATACTTTTCCCCCCCCACTGTATATATTCTTAATTCCATTCCTTATTAGATTTGTGTGTATTGGGTATATGTTGTGAAATTGTTAGATATTACTGCACTGTCGGCGCTAGAAGGACAAGCATTTCGCTACACCCGCAATAACATCTGCTAAACACGTGTATGTGACAAATAAGATTTGATTTGATGGGTGAATAGGAACGTTGTGTATGGAAAGTTACTATGAGAGAAAAGGGGAACAGAACGTGGTCTGTTGAGTAAGGTCTGTTGAGTAAGGTGAACAGAACGTGACTTGTAAACATCATGGAGAAGTGACCGGATGAAGAGGAGCTGCTACTAGACTGCTCAACCACGAAGACAACAGCTAGGCAGTATTGGGCAACACATAGCAGTTCTGAGAAGTTACACCCCTAATCTCGTCTTGACATATAAATGGTTGTTTGATAACGTGCAAAGTGTGATTGCAGCTGAGGCACCCAGTGGGTTGAATAAACTTGGTTTGAGCTTTTACTAGTTGTGCGCTTGAGTTTTTAACTCTGTTCAGAACCTAACACTTTTTTTCTCATCAATGTCTATTTTGAGAAAGGAACATGCTTGGCATCTATGTCAATGTCCAATCACAGTGACACAGTATTGAAATTACCACAGGGCTAATAACATAGCAAATTAGAGCAAAAAGCCTTTCAATTGGAGGCAGCTCATCAAGGTATTTTACCTGGCTAATTTCTGGTGATGTGTCTCTCCTGACTTCATGGCTGCGTGAATCAGCACCAGATTAAAGACATCTCTCTGAGAAATGGGAACAAACAAGGCAATTACAGTACACACAAGACACAATAGATGTTTTTACCACAGACTACTCCTCTGGATCGTATTCATTAGGGCACACCGTTTCAAAACATTGTGCATCGGAAACAGAAAAAAAACATCTTATTGGACAAGTTCGGGTAGCACCTGCCCGTTTCGGCCCGTTTTCTTCAGTTTCTTGCCAAGTGAATACGACCCTGCTGTTGTACCCATAGAAATAAGAATGAATAGAAAGGGAATCTCCATTCAAGTCAATGATGGCATTATGTGTGGACTGGCAGCCATTTTGAGTGTAACCATGCCACTGTGCCACTAGAGATCCTGGTTCGAATCCAGGCTCTGTCATAGCCGCCCGCGACCGGGAGACCCATGGGGCGGCGCACAATTGGCACAGTGTCGTCCAGGGTAGGGGAGGGAATGGCTGGCAGGGATGTAGCTCAGTTGGTAGAGCATGGCGTTTGCAACGCCAGGGTTGTGGGTTCGTTTCCCACAGGGGGCCAGTATGAAAAAACAAGAAGACAAAAAAAAAAAAGATGTAGGCACTCAATAACTGTAAGTCGCTCTGGATAAGAGCGTCTGCTAAAATGACAAAAAAAAAAGTTTTTAAAGGAAGTGTACCCGTCAATCTGTGCTGTGATTTGTTGAGTCAACTCAAATAAAAAAAAATACATTCCATTGCATGAGCCATATCAGTTAGGATAATTTGAATGAACATTCTACATTACCATGTCAATCCAGCATCAGTTGATAGAACATTCCAAAATTATTGCATCACAATACCAGGCAGCCATTGTGAGTGTACCCATGAGTTTACCAGTATATTGCCAGGGTCAGAGTTTCCAAGCCTGTTCTATTCATTCTTATTTCTATGGTCGTACCTACATAGGGATTGTTTGCCTATGGACGATTGCATTGTGGTTAAATTAACACAGGGTAAAATTATTTAATCACTCATTGCACTGTGCTTTACATTCTATTACACTTTACATTCCCATCCCTAAAGGCCTATTAGAGAAACACAGACTGCTATAGCCTGAATGCCTCAGTGAGTGTATATCAAAGGTCCTTTTCTCTGACATAGATTATAACTATTCCTGGCCTAAAAAGCACTTTTGAAAGACATTCCCCATTGAACATACCTTTTAGTCCAGGCATAGGCTTCAAAGCCCATAGAGCTCCTGAAACCCCCCCCCCTGATTGTTCACAAATGGGGCTCACCTGCGCATCACTGCCTCCTATCTCCATCATGCGGTAACGTATGGGCTGCAGGAGCTCCACGGCGCGGCTGTAGTTGCCTTGGTCGTACTCCAGCAGGGCCTGACACATGGGCAGCCCCACGCTGCCAGCCAGCTGGTGCTGGTAGTTCTCCTCTGGAACACTGGACACACAGCAGGAGAAGATCGAAGACAATGGAGTTGTCAAAAGCCCTATGCAAACTTACAAAAAATGTACGCTCTCACTGAACGGTATGTGATCCCTGCAGAAATGGAACCAACAACCGTGGTGTTACTAGCATCATGCTCTTACTCTCTGAGCCAAACAGGACCAGGAATCATATTGGAATTATAAAGATTAGGTCTGAGATTTATTCTGTACTGTCAGATACAGTTCATGGCCATAAACGTTAGGGTTTCATCATTACACAGCCAGACTAAAGGTAAAATGGATTTACAAAACGTTGTAGGATTAACATTTGATAACGGATACTGTAGGGCATTACTGCATGTGAATGCAGAAGAGAGAAAAATGTGAAACTCTAAAACGACAATACATCACACCAGACAGAGTTAGTTTCATAAAATCTCTAGTCTAGACTATGCATTCCAATATGATTCCTAGACACTGGTGTGAAACAGGGTAGCATTTTATCACCTATTCTGTTCTCAATATATATTAATGATCTCACTCTGGCCATCAAAGCCCTAGAAAAGGGTGTCTGTCTAAACAATGAACAAGTGTCTGTTCTTTTATATGCAGATAACATTGTATTGATCTCTGAAACTGAAGATGAGCTTCAAGAAATGTTAAATATTGGTGTGAACAATGGAACCTGAATATCAAGGTAGACAAAAGTAAGGTAGTACACTATAGGAACTATACAATGCCTAGAACACCTTTCATTTTCTCCTGTGGTCCTGCCATATGAGATGTCAGTGAGTACAAGTAATACATTTTTGAATTACAATGTGTCTGTTAAGTACGAAGCTAACCATGTGAGTCGTGCCCTTGGTGCCATCATTACAGTGTAAAGCCACGGGTGCCCTACCTTTTAAATGTGTATGTAGTTTTTGTAATGATGATTCCATTGAAACTGAAGCTCATACCTTGCTTTACTGTGGGTTATACAACGAAATTAGGGATGCTCTTTGTCAGCTGTCCAGCATAAAATGAACATTTTAACGGTATTGATGAAAATAGATTGTGAAATGTTATTTGGTAACAATAATGTAAATGCCTGCGCCAAAGCCTGCCACCTTATCCTCCAACGGAGATGTTTATTTTATAAGTGTCCTATTTGTCCTTTCATCCACTGTACTTTGCTTTGTTTATGCATACGTGTATAGATGATGTAATGCATTATAGATGACGTCTGTACCATGTTTGACTATGATTGTTTTTAGGTGTCTCAAAACTCAATTTGAGTGGTCCACAATGTATTTTTTTGTTATTGTTTTTGGTATCATTGTGGAGTGACAAATGTTTTCTAACTATGCATGCATCACTGTTCACAAACACGGAAACAAAGGATGCCTCAAAATTAAATAAACGACAAGTATAATTATTGAGACATTCTATTTCTATGGGTAGCCTACTCTATATGTTATGGTCTAAGGAAAGTGTTGGAGCCAATTTGGGTGCAACTTATATTTTGGTATTATTCTGAGAATTATACTCCCGACCACTAGGGGCAGACAAATGGTGGTGGTAAACATCAGGTGATCTATAAAGACACATGGTGTTTGAACGTAATGGTGTGTGTGGCTGGTGGGAGAGCTCACCAAACAACGCAAGAAACACCAAATGAGATACAAAGGATTACTACAGTCAACTCTATGGATCAACATTAATTTAAGAACCACTATTGCTAAGTTTGAGGCACGTAAAGAACAAGTCTATTTGCTACCATCCACTCAACTGGTGACATTGGCTACTTAGAATTGTTTGATTTTCCAGAAGAAAATTGTCATAGCAGAAAGCATTAAGTGAACAAAATCAATTTACCAAAAGCTCATACATCTGTAAGAGCCCAGTCGGCCAGCATAATGGAGTTGAGTTTTCCACTCCTCACTTTGGGAATTGATTTTTTCCCCTCTCAAAAAGCTGCATTGGCCCAAAGGTGCCTTGGCAGCCTCCACGCTACATTTTCTTGTTACGTAACATTCAGAAACATGACATCTGCCCAGGATTGGATTTTTTTCACAGAAGGGGTGGTTCGCTGAGGAACATAGTGTATAGAGCCTGTGGTCAGGGGTGTCAGAACACATTACAGCCACACACGTAAACACCACCACCTGTGGGATCGGCCCTGCTCTCCCTCTCCACTCTGAGGCTTCTCCCTCTCTCGCTCCCCCCCCCCAGTCCCTGCCATACTCCCACTCATTTTCTCCTCATGTGTTATGTAAGGGGGCTGTGTGGGAGTTTCATAAGCCAGCGGTGGTAGCGGTGGTGTGGTGCTCACTTGGCCCGCTCCCGGAGGCCCTCCAGCAGGCGCTGGGACTGGGCCGCTCCCCCGGACTCCTTGGCTCCCAGCGACGACATGAGGAAGTGGAGGTCGTTGAACAACAGCACATGGTCGTCAGTGTGGGGCTCTGTGAGCTGCTGCAGCTCCCGCCAGCGGTCTTTCACACACACACCTGACACACAGGAATAAAGTAAATCAAGACACACAAACAGAAACATTGAAGACAGGCCTATAGATAAGACACACACACACAGTCAGCTGAGTGTAACAGTAAGACTAGAGTAGTAAGAGCATCTAACCCTCCATCTCCAGCCTGTAGAGTAGAGAGCAGGCGTCCACAGTGTCCAACATGGCCCCTGAAGCCCTACCGCGCCGAGACACCTGAGGGGAAACAGTCACTTCTGTTCAGTACACAGACTGCAGCCGTATGGGTGACTTAAAACGCCTCTCCAACAAGGGAATATCAATTTGCTCATATTTGCTTTACTTTCTGGAATTTATACAGTAGTTTTCTATCCATTCCCAATGTACCAATAAAATAATAAAGGGCAGATTTGACTGCTGTATTGCATATTATAAAATGACAGCATATATTCCAGAGACACCATGTAGCTTTAGTTTTCATATTTTCCAGGGCCGTAACTACATACACGAGGACACCGAGGTTCGGACCTCAAATATGTTCTACAAAAATGTACAACACTAAAAAAGTATATATACACACTACCAATCAAAAGTTTGGACACACCTACTCATTCCAGGGTTTTTCTTTATTTTTACTATTTTCTACACAAAAGTGAAGACATCAAAACTATGAAATAACACATGGACTCATGTAGTAACCAAAAAAGTGTTAAACAAATGTACATTTAAGTCATTTAGCAGACGCTCTTATCCAGAGCGACTTACAGTTAGTGAGTGCATACATTATTTTTTTGTATTATTAAAATTTTTTTTTCATACTGGCCCCCTGTGGGAATTGAACCCACAACCCTGGCGTTGCAAACGCCATGCTCTACCAACTGAGCTACATCCCTGCCGGCCATTCCCTCCCCTACCCTGGACGACGTTGGGCCAACTGTGCGCCGCCCCATGATCTCCCGGTCGCGGCCGGCTACGACAGAGCCAAATATTTTATATTTGAGATTCTTCAAAGTAGCCACCCTTTGCCTTGATGACAGCTTGGCATTCTCTCAACCAGCTTCATGAGGTAGTCACCTGGAATGCATTTCAATTAACAGATGTTCCTTGTTAAAAGTGAATTTGTGGAATTTCTTTCCTTCTTAATGCGTTTGATGTTGAGATGTGTCTGTGACTTGAACTCTGTGAAGCATTTATTTGGGCTGCAATTTCTGAGGCTGGTAACGCTAATGAACTTATCCTCTGCAGCAGAGGTAACTCTGGGTCTTCCATTCCTGTGGCGCTCCTCATGACAGCCAGTTTCATCATAGCGCTTGATGGTTTTTAGCGACTGCACTTGAAGAAACTTTCAAAGTTCTTGAAATGTTCCGGATTGACTGACCTTCATGTCTTAAAGTAATGATGGACTGTCGTTTCTCTTTGCTTATTTGAGCTATTCTTGCCATAATATGGACTTGGTCTTTTACCAAATAGCGCTATCTTCTGTATACCCCCCTACCTTGTCTCAACACAACTGATTGGCTCAAATGCATTAAGGAAAGAAATTCCACAAATTAACTTTTAACAAGGCACACCTGTTAATTGAAATGCATTCCAAGTGACTACCTCATGAAGCTGGTTGAGAGAATGCCAAGAGTGTGCAAAGCTGTCATCAAGGCAAAGGGTGGCTACATTGAAGAATCTCAAATATAAAAAATATTTCGATTTGTTTAACACTTTTTTGGTTACCACATGATTCCATGTGTGTTATTTCATAGTTTTGATGTCTTCACTATTATTCTACAATGTAGAAAATAGTGAAAATAAAGAAAAACCCTTGAATGAGTAGGTGTGTCCAAACTTTTGACTGGTACTGTATACATATACAGTTGAAGTCGGAAGTTAACATACACCTTAGCCAAATACATTTAAACTCTGTTTTTCACAATTCCTGACATTTAATCCTAGTAAAAATTCCCTGTCTTAGGTCAGTTAGGATCACCACTTTATTTTTTTATTTTAAGAATGTGAAATGTCAGAGTAATAGTAGAGAGAATGATTTATTTCAGCCTTTATTTATTTCATCACATTCCCAGTGGGTCAGAAGTTTACATACACTCAATTAGTATTCAGTAGCATTGCCTTTAAATTGTTTAACTTGGGTCAAATGTTTCGGGTAGCCTTCCACAAGCTTCCAACAATAAGTTGGGAGAATTTTGGCCCATTCCTCCTGACAGAGCTGGTGTAACTGAGTCGGGTTTGTAGGCCTCCTTGCTCGCACACGCTTTTTCAGTTCTGCCCACATATTTTCTATAGGATTGAGGTCAGGGCTTTGTGATGGCCACTCCAATACCTTGACTTTGTTGTCCTTAAGCCATTTTGCCACAACTTTGGAAGGATGCTTGGGGTCATTGTCCATTTGGAAGACCCATTAGCGACCAAGCTTTAACTTGAGATGTTGCTTCAATATATCCACATAATTGTCCTTCCTCATGATGCCATCTATTTTGTGAAGTGCACCAGTCCCTCCTGCAGCAAAGCACCCCCACAGCATGATGCTGCCACCCCCGTGCTTCACGGTTGGGATGGTGTTCTTCAGCTTGCAAGCACCCCCTTTTTCCTCCAAACATAACGATGGTCATTATGGCCAAACAGTTCTATTTTTGTTTCATCAGACCAGAGGATATTTCTCCAAAATGTACGATCTTAGTCCCCATGTGCAGTTGCAAACCGTAGTCTGGCTTTTTTATGGCGGTCTTGGAGCAGTGGCTTCTTCCTTGCTGAGCGGCCTTTCAGGTTACGTCGATATAGGACTCGTTTTACTGTGGATATAGATAATTTTGTACCTGTTTCCTCCAGCATCATCATAAGGTCCTTTGCTGTTGTTCTGGGATTGATTTGCACTTTTCGCACCAAAGTACGTTCATCTCTAGGAGACAGAACGCGTCTCCTTCCTGAGCGGTATGACGTCTGCGTGGTCCCATGGTGTTTATACTTGCGTACTATTGTTTGTACAGATGAACGTGGTACCTTCAGGCATTTGGAAATTGCTCCCAAGGATGGACCAAACTTGTGGAGGTCTACAATGTATTTTCTGATGAGGTCAAGCAAAGAGGCACTGAGTTTGAAGGTAGGCCTTGAAATACATCCACATGTACACCTCCAATTGACTCAAATTATGTCAATTAGCCTATCAGAAGCTTCTAAAGCCATGACATCATTTTCTGGAAATTTCCAAGCTGTTTAAGGCACAGTCAACTTAGTGTATGTAAACTTCTGACACACTGGAATTGTGATACAGTGAATTATAAGTGAAATAATCTGTCTGTAAACAATTGTTGGAAAAATGACTTGTGTCATGCACTAAGTAGATGTCCTAACCGACTTGCCAAAACTATAGTTTGTTAACAAGAAATGTGTGGAGTGGTTGAAAAATGAGTTTTAATGACTCCAACCTAAGTGTATGTAAACTTCCGACTTCAACTGTACATATATATACATACATACATACACACTGAACCAGAAGTATGTGGACACCTGCTCGTCAAACATCTCATTCCAAAATCATGGGCATTAATATGTAGTTAGTCTCCCCTTTGCTGCAATATCAGCCTCCACTCTTCTGTGAAGGCTTTCCAATAGATGTTGGAGCATTGCTGCGGGGACTTTCAGACCTCAATAAAACGCCAACCCTAGTTACGGCCCTGATTTGTTCATTATTTTTGAACGAAAACAGATTGAACTTCTATTATTGACTTTAGACCTGACTGACACACCACCAGTCTGCAGCACTCAGCAGTACAACATTACCACACCATATTGCTTTTACGCTGCTCCCATAAGTGCTGCTACGGTAGGATTCTTGGACGGCCTCTGGCACACCGTCTGCGAGGCCAAATTAGTCTTGATGAAAACTTATTGAGAGCACTAACCTGGCTGTCGAATATGTTCAGAGCTGCATCATACTCTCCCTGCGAGGGAGAAAACACAAATAAATCCCAAAAATTGAAAAACAAGCATGAGTCAAAGTTAATTATACAGATAATGCACACTAATACAAATGTAATGTCCTACTGTAATCAACTTTACACTTCAGAGAACCCACAGGAAGGTACAACAAATATAAATTGTATCCCAACAGTCCTTCTGCCTGAAAACAGTGCACTTGACTGGAGCAGCTCATCAATATGTACCTTCTCGATGAAGTATAGGGCCCAATGCCAGTAGTTATGACAGGCTAGCATGTCACATCCCTGCAAATGAAAACATCTAATTCATTACCTATTTACACAGATAGTTGAAGCCTGGTCCCAGAGCTGTATGCATTGGCGTGACAATGACCATAGGAGTTGGCAAAACAGCACAAACCGATCTGGTACCAGGCCATATTGAGGTGTTGAATGACATGCTGCAGAGGGACTCGTGATGACAACCCACCGCCCAGTCTTTCTCTGTGCTCTCCATGAACTTGAGGCCCTTTTCCACCTCTGCCTTCATCTCGTGGACGTGGGCTACAGAGTGGACACACCAGGCATCCTCCGGGGTCAGAGCCAGGCCCTGGAGGGCAGAGGTTAGAGGAGAAGGACTTTCACTGGACCATGTCTATGCCAATTACCTCTGATGGTAGCACATTGGTCAGTCCAGTCCAGCAGAGTTGATTGCCTATGCCAATGAAACTTCTGCACAATAATAGATGTCTTCTGAATGTGGTTTGATTGTCCAACCTTGATGGCAATTTAACCAGCAGAGACCATTTTATGATGACAGAATGAATCATTTCCATGGCAAATTGACACTGCGAGGAACATCTTACCTCTTTAGCCATTTTCTCAGCCTGGTCATAAAAATGAGTCTCCAGAAGTCCAAAGGAATATAAGCCTTTTAGGTAGCTGCAGGCAAAAGTACAAGAATAAAAGCAGTGCTATAGCAATACCAGACCCGAGGCTAGCTAGCTAGTTCATTATTTTCTGTGTAGTGCATTTAAGGATGAATTATAAACACCTTGTTATTATAAATAGCCATCAACTTGTTTTAGAATAATCGATGGAATTATTCGATTTGAATCAACTGTTGGGACTCTTTTCATGGTCTGACTGCCAGTGGCGATTGTTGATCACCATAAGCACTAATATACAGAGGCAATTACTATGTAGCTGAGACGGAGCCTCTGACGGACTACTACAAGCCTTAAGGAGTTATTTCACTAGAATGGCCCTCAAGAGTTCACATAATATGAAAAATACGGTATTACCAAGAAGGCTATATCCGACTGAAACCTTGAGTCTCAAGTCTAAAGTACACTGAACAAAAATATAAAACGCAACATGCAACAATTTCTAAGAATTTACTGAGTTACAGTTCATAAGGAAATCAGTCTATTTAAATAAATAAATAAATTAGGCCCTAATCTATGGATTTCACATGAATGGGAATATAGATATGCATCTGTTGGTCACAGATACCTTTAAAAAAGCTAGGGGTGTGGATCAGAAATGTTCACGCTCCATGTCGCGCTGCCTCATGCAGCATGACATCCCCTTCGCATAGAGTTGATCAGGCTGGTGATTATGGCCTGTGGAATGTTGTCCCACTCCTCTTCAAAGGCTTTGCGAAGTTGCTGGATATTGGTGGAAAGTGGAACACGCTATCGTACATGTCGACCTAGAGCATCCCAAACATGCTCAATGGGTGACATGTCTGGTGAGTTTGCAGGCCATGGAAGAACTGGGACAATTCCAGCTTCCAGGAATTATGTATAGATCCTTGCGTCATGGGACCGTGCATTATCATGCTGAAACATGAGGTGATGGCGGCGGGTGAATGGCACGACAATGGGCCTCAGGATCTCGTCACGGTATCTCTGTGCATTCAAATTGCCATCGATAAAAATGCAATTGCGTTCATTGTCCATAGCTTATGCCTGCCGATACCATAACCCCACCGCCACCATGGGGCACTCTGTTCACAACGTTGACATCAGCAAACCGCTCGCCCACACGACGCCATACACGCTGTCTGTCATCTGCCCGGTACAGTTGAAACCGGGATTCATCCGTGAAGAGCACACTTCTCCAGCGTGCCAGTGGCCATCGAAGTTGAACATTTACCCACTGAAGTCGGTTACGACGCCGAACTGCAGTCAGGTCAACAACCTGGTGAGGACGACGAGCACACAGATGTTCCCTGAGACGGTTTCTGACAGTGTGTGCAGAAATTATTCGGTTGTGCAAAGCCACAGTTTCATCAGCTTCTTGATATGCCACACCTGTCAGGTGGATGGATTATCTTGGCAAAGGAGAAATGCTCATTAACAGGGATGGAAATAAATTTGGGCACACAATCTGAGATAAATAAGCTTTTTGTGCATATGAAACATTTCTGGGATCTTTTATTTCAGCTCATGAAACATGGGACCAACACTTTACAAGTTGCGTGACATTTTTCTTCAGTAAATGCCATGAACCTATCACAATGCCCCGACAAGGGTAATCAGATAAGATACCCTTGGTACAGTTAACAATAGCATATCCTCAGAGTACAAAGAAGACCCACGTGCAATTGTGTAAACCCTACCTATAGAGAGGCATGTGGGGCTTCCAGTGAGGCAGCACCCGGGCCACAGAGTCTCTCATCTGGGTCTGGGCCCCCAGGTAGAAGAAGCCGTCGTGGGCAAATTTCAGGGCGAGCAGGTCAGTAGGATGTTCCACCAGGATCTCCTCCCACACGTCACACGCCTTAGGGAAACTCCTACAGGGGACAGCCAGTAGTTATTCTCTATTGTCTCAAGTCAGATTAAAACCCCAGGAACGCAATGAAAACAAACCAACATTAGATTAAATGAGAAATGTTACCTTGGTTTTAGATTGGAGTTGTGCTACATAATTGTGCTCTTGGACACTAATATTATAACTCTATTGCCTAGATGTGTTGACTTTTTAAGGAAGGAACTGTTTTTAGAAGCATGTGGCGTAGTCATAAGGCTGAGTCCCGTGGTAAAAACAAAGGTACTGGTGTATGAATGGTCTGTTTTGCTGGGTGACCTCAATCCTCCAGGGATTTCCTTTGACCCGGTTCCAATGCTATTACTCAAGACGAGCCAAACAGATGTGTTTTGTTTACGCTTGTGGAATCTCTTCTGCTGTCCAAGATTTGGACCTCAATTCAGTGCTATGACACTTCTATTGTCCCCTGGGATCAACAAAGTAAATCAGGGCCTGTATCCACAAACCGTCTCAAGAGTAGAAAATGCCCTACTCTTATGGGTAAAAATAAAAGCTATGCATGAAGCCTCTTTAGTCATAAGATTCCCACCTAGTCTACATATTTAAGAGACCACATGAGCTGTCCTAATCAGTTAAGTTACTAGCAGGTGTCTTGATAATAGAAAAATCCAGTGAGTCAGTGGTTCCTGCGCCACATGCAATTGCTTTGGAGTTGTTAAAATGTTTTGATACTTCTATATGATCAATCCATAAGTAATCTAGACCTACATGTAACAGTATCTCTTGCGTTTTTGACAATGATTTCACAAGGTCTATTTCACAATTATATATGCTTGAATACTTATAACAACTAGGCTAATAAATAAACATGTTTTTATTTTTTATTATTTAATTACCTACATCATGTTATTTCAAGTTATCCTTTTGGAACACAACATCACATTGTTAAAAAATTTATAAATTGGGCATGCCTATAAATTGGCCAATTGAAGGCATCTAGGGCTTATGTTAACTTTGTATGCAACGTTGTATGCAACATTATCGGCAAGTGACTTGATGCCTAGAGTGTAATCATTATGCCAATTCTGTTGCAAAACGTTTTGCATCAGAAACCGGTCACTACAAATGGAAAACGCAAACGCGAGTTTCTATTGGACAAACTCAGGTAGGGCCCTCCCCGCTTCTTTCCGTTTGCTTCTGTTTGGTTCTTAAATGGTAAACGGTTTATGTAATGAATACACCCCTACTGTACCAAAGCGATTCGGAGTTGTTAAACAGGAGTGACAAGTGTGTTGACATAATGGTAATATTGTCCAAATTCTGCTTTTAACAACCATCCGAATTGGTAATGCATGCCAACATATTAGGCAATAATTAAGAGTAGGTAAAGTGATCGTATCAGGTGAAAATTAGAACAAACTTTTTACCATTGCAACATTTGATGTACAGTCACATTCACCGTGGTTGTCTGAAGCCCGTTACCTATAGAGTTCACAGATGGTGATGCCTTACTGCGATTGGTTATTCCCCATCATTTGCAACAATGTCAAAGAGTGTCATCACCATCTTTCCTTTGCGGTAACTCAAACTGTCGTGATTACCAGCTGAGAAACTTTTATGAGTTGATTTTACTCCTGGCTCAGAGTTTGTCTGGGCAGTCCTACAATCATCCTAAAACCTACTCTTAGCTGGGAGTTTATTTTTTGGTCTTAAAAACAGGTTACCAGGAGTCCTAGGACGTTTTCTGAGATGTTTTGTGGATACGGGCCCAGATCTCTCTCAGATCTCCAGTGGTTCCCTGGTTCTCACCCCTTGGAGAAGTGCTCCATGGCCCTGACATGCAGCCTCTCCCTGGTGGTAATGTCCTGCTGGATCTGGCTGAGCTCTACGGTCCTCTTCACCGCGCTGGCCAGGCGCTCATTCAGACGCACCGAACTCCCCGTCCCCACCAGCTCCAGCCCCGTGCTTATCACATGACCCATCACTACAGGGCACAGGGACACTTTTGATAAGTTTGAAGGCCTACTCAACCCCTAGCCTCTACCCCTAGATACTCATTCACTATTCTCTCAAAAGCTAGTAGTGATAAATGTAGACCCTCAGAGTTAACATCGGATAGTTGGAATTCAACCTCATAGCTCCAATCCTAGACACTTCTCAATGATCTGAAAGAATTGTATGGATGTAAAATAATATGGCCATGGCTCCACCTCGTCATCTGAAAGGCTAGGTAGGTAGAATTTCCACCAGATTGGTTACACCCATCTGCTCCGTTCAGATCTATGAGAAGTGTCTTGACATAAGGCAAGGGTTGATTTCAGACTGGGAAGTTCACAGCACTGTACTACACTCAAATGTTAGCCTAATCCTCAATGTTACCATTTTGTACTGTATTTAGACTGAAGTCCTGAATGTAGCCTACTGAGTGTCATTGCTATAGCCTTAACAATGCTCCAGTAACCTCTTTCCAATGCTTGTTAATAACGTATCTTTATGGGCTGAATATGATTCTGTGCAGGCCTACTAAGGGTTTAACACCCACACAATGCTATCTTTTTATGTTTTATGTTCTTACATACCAAAGTCCGGGTCAGCCGACTTGACTGCAGAGATGCATCCCTCGATTCCTCCAAGGGTCTCATCATTGCGCCAGGTTACATACTGGGGTTTAAGATAACCACACCCAAAAAATAAACAGAATGTGTTCAGATCATAAAAAAGAACATATTTCTCTCTCTCCGGTAAGTTGTTAGGTTTATGTCAGCAATTATACATAATTACCATTTTGTGAGTGTGTTTTTTTCCCACAAGGATAAAGGCTATTTTAGGCTATGGGGTTAGATTTAGGGTTGCAACAGTGGAGGCTCCTCAGAGGAGGAAAGGGAGGACCATCCTACTCAGTGAATTTCAGAAATTTTTTAAGTGAAACATTTAAAAAAGTTATCCTTTTTACATTTTAGTCATTTAGCAGACGCTCTTATCCATAACGTGTGGTGAGTTGTTGACTCAAAGAGAGAGAAAGACAATAGTTGAACAGTTAAATTCATTTCTTCAAAAATTGAGAAGCAGCAGCAGCAGAGAGCACATGGACGAGGCTGTGATATAGGCTGTGTAGTGGTTAGCGTTAGCAGTTATGGTATGAAGGTTTGGCTTGGAGAAGTTTTTCACCTGGTCACAGACAGCTGTTGTGTCGTGCACTGAAGTTGACAAGCGAAGGGAAAAGGTGAAAGGAGGAGAGCGCATAGATTCGAGAAGGAATTATACAAGAAGCAAAGTGATGACACTGTATGTGGCTGCTACAGAAGTTATCTGTGTGTGAGGGTGATCAGGGATGTTTTCATTCCACTGATTCTGTTGCAAAACGTTTCCTAAACCGAAGCTAATGGAACAGGGATGGACCTGCCTGAATTTGTCCAATAGAAAGTCTCATTTTAGTTTAACTGTTTGGACTACTGATTACACCCCTGATCAGCTAGATGCTGGCGGTATTGAATGTGTCACTGTCTGTCACCTTGATTACTCCAATTTGTCTCAACCTCTGCACCTACGTTATTAACGTTCATTTGTAGGCTAGGTTGTAGCTACCTCATGATGGTTATAGGGCAAATTCAAGTATCATGTAGTAGCCTAAACCTATCGATTGTTACATTGAGCTGGGTGAATAGGATATGAATGAGTCATCCAATATGCTGTAATAGAAATAAGGCCATCCTCCCTAATCTAAATGTCACCAACCGCCACTGGGTTACAATTAGGGTAAGAGGTTTAGTATTAAAGGTTTGGGGTTATGGAAAATGGGAATCAATTGTTTGGTCCCCACAAGGATAGTAAAACAAACGTGTGTGTGTGTGTGTAGACAGCGCTAATGAAATGACTACCTGAGTGAGTATAGCATCATACATTTTGCAGGCCTCATTGCTGGATGTGGACAATGGTAGACCCTCTGCCCTCCAAGCCTAAGGAAAGAGAAAGCTGTTATTACACTAACCTTATGTCCCTTGAGAGGAAACTATAAACTGTTAGCCTTAGGAGACTTGTTATCAAGCAGGATTTTAGCGTGTGCAGGAAAATTGTCTCCCTCGGCCAAAGTCCATGTGTCTTCATCAGTTCATAAAACTCTAAACACCTTCGCTGCCTAGGCTACTGCAATAGAAAATCGTTTATCGCGATAGAAATGTAGCCTACAAAAGTTACAGTAGCCTATGCAGCTTGCCGTCATGCTTCCATACACACTGATGTTATCGACAAAGACAGGGCAATATTGTAAAATGTAACTTCTCCATTGTAAATAAAGCAACTGTTAACCTCTATCTGAAATTTGACATGGCCAATCAATCAATAGCGCAGTAGCTTTATGCAAGGAAACAACCTGTGGGATGTAGCTAGCCTATTTTTTACTTTCCCGATATCATAGTCTATTCAATTTAAACAACAATACTATGCAATACACAACACGCAGCCTTGGTCATTGGTTATCTTACCTGACAATCCCTGAAACTAGACGCAATCATTTCTCCTAACTGCAGCTGTCTTTTTCTTTGGGCGTCTAAAAACTTTTCCGTTTCGACTGCACACACCCGCCCCTTGTACAGAGGTGATACACAGAAATACCGGAGTGGACATTTCAACCAGGAGGTGGCTTGGATCAAAATCTGTCAGTAGTGTAAAGAATAGATGCCAGGTTTTTTCCTTGTCGCACGTATATCCCAATTGGAGTACAAAGTGAAAGTGAAAATTAGGCTACCTTTCACTAATTTGTCACAGGTAAATGTTACACATTATGTCACGTCGGGTAGATTCTGAGACAGTTGTCCTTATTTGATGTAGCCTTTGTCATAGAACAAGCACTCCTGGTTTTAATTGGGCAACTATTCAAGCTGAGCCATTCATTAGAGAATCCGGACCAAGTTCAGTAGCCAAACGTTGCAAATAGAAATGCATAGAGCCGAGGTGATTCCTTATTCTACATGTTAGAGGCATGTTTGTTCTACTGTGGTATCTGAGGAATTTATGACTTTGCTAACGTTTTCAAATGGTATCTGAGAGGATGTTTATTCAGCTTAGGGGAGCATCTGGGGAGCAGTTTTATGGGGGCACCCCATAGAACAGAGGAAGTCTGTTGTGTGGAGACAGGTGATTGGTCTGTATGGGAAACCACCCATATCATGGTAAAGATTATAAATACTTGGTTGAGACAAAGGAGATGAGAACAAACATATTATTTTGGGTCGCTGTTCTCCAGATGCCTGCAGACATCTGTAAACTTATGCTGAAATCTTGTGATATAAATAAACCTTTATAATCAAAGTACAGTGTAAGCGGACTCCTTGGTCTCACAGCAAAGATTAGCATTATTCTTTATAAACAACACTACATAGCACCTTCATCTGAACGTTCCAAATCGTTGTTCGTTCTGGAATATACCAAATAAGTGGAACTGACAAGGGGCATCATACTATGCAGGACAGTTAAGGTCAATATTCATATTTCTATATAAAATCAGTTGTAATAGGTTTTATATAAAAGCTTCCTCACAAAATGAGAAATACTTTTTAAAAGAACTGCATTGTTTTATTGCCGTTTCAGCATACATCCAACACCCTATGCATTTTAGCTACATGAATAAGCATTTACATATCTTCCATGTGTTTTAAAAATTAGGATTCATTTTTCTTTACATATGATACATTTTTGCACACATGTTAATAAATATCAATAAAATCTGTCAAACTTATCACACACTATCTAAAACAACAAGCCTTGAAATGTTATAACTTTTTTGTATTCACAGCGCCGTTTAATTCTTACTCAAATTCTCACTGTCACTGTGTGTAACTCTTTACAGCAAAAAAACGGTGACCAACCAAAGGTTTACAGTTTGGCAGAAAGGCCAGTAGGTTCGTATGACAAACAAATGTACATGCTCCTGTGACTGAATAGAAGCGGTTTACTAGAGCAACTTCGTGTTTCCACTACTACTCATGACTGCTGTTTGGCGACCTGTAGTTGTATAAAAAGGATTTTAACAACAAAGTTAGAAATGTACCCCGGTGGGATACATAAAAGTTTAAAACTCAAAAAATAAAACTGTAAAATATTAAAACAAATGAAAAGGGCATCTTGCTCCAAAGCAGGTCATATACCTCAGCCCCAGGGACAGCAAAGCCAGAGGCTGTGCTTGAGTTCTGTAGTTTATCCCTTTGATATTGCAACATATTCACTGACACAACTGTATTGTGACACCAGTTAGTGATGTGTCAGTTCACTTATGGTATTATGATGATAACACAATGCACTGATATACTGTGTAAGTCCCCCTTCTGAGATCAAATTAACTGGACTGTTATGTCTTTCTCTTTTTAACCTACACTGAGGATATTTCACGGTATATGCCAATTAGTATTGAATAAGGGCAACTGATTATATAAACTTACATTTTTATATGTGATATACAGTGAAAGGCATCGGATGGAGAGGCCACATGATCACTCAGAACTAAGAGCCTAAGAGATGTGTCAAGTGGGTTGCTTGCGGAAGTGTACGTGTCAATTAATCTATGCAACTATTCACACCAGCACAACCTTCAGAGTCAAAGACAATGGTAGTGTTCGAGAGCATCAAAACTGTGATGTATCATGGGCAAATAGTGACTGACTGACTGAGCTACAAATAATATTGAGTAGTTATTTATGATGCAAGGTGATTTGTAGATCAGTCAGTCCCAACTCGCCTTTAAAGTCGGCTGCAATGACAAAACGTGCACATTGTAACACAGGATATGCTTCTCTATGAGCCTGCAGCAGCATACAGTCCTGACACGCACTGGCTTCTGGGTGATGAAGTTTTCAGTTAGTTTCCTTGCTGTCAATGTCATAAAGAGAGCACAAGTGCATTCTGTCGAGCCTCCAGTTCAGGCACTCTCTTCCATGAACACAGAAAATACCAAAAACAGTTAATTCAGGTTCTTTGTAAAAACAATGCTAATAAATACACAATTGAAAACGACTATGTGTCCAGATTCCATTGATTCTTAGTGTTGACTCTTAGTGTGAATCTCTGTGCAAAAAAATAAAGGGCCTTTTAGAGTGTCATCCTCATTGGCTCCTCAGAACATGGAAGCCAGTGTGTAATTGGAGAGAAAGCCAGCTAATGCAGAGGATGTCCCTCCCTCAGTCAGCATTCAGAATGGCAGAGGATGTCATGAGGTTAGGTTGAGACTGATAGGATGAGAGTGAGACCAGAGGCTTCGGTCCACTCCTCCCCTTTCTACAGAAACCCTGTAACAGTCGATAGGTAAACCACCGCTTCTTTAATGTGTTGTGTTATGCACATTCAATACACAGAAACAGGTATCATACATTGAATTCCTTTATATCAGCAGGACCTAACCTCTTTCTTCCCTTTGCGTGATCGATATTAAAAGAAAAAAAAAATTAAAACATTCTCCCAAGAGAAGGTAAGTTCCCCATTCTGGAGAACAACGTCAAAAGAACTTCTGAGAAAGTCCAGGCTGTAGTTGCTCCTCCCACCGTGAGGTGAGATCACTGTAGGTAATGATGCCTGCCTGATGGCAGGGTAGATATGTAAACATTTTAGACTGCTCCAACAGAGGAGCCAACTCTGCACACATTCACCAACAGAAGGGCCGTGATAGGACAACTCCATTCTGTATACATTCTCTGCTGAGGAATCTGGGACCAAGCATGGGACCATGGGTTGGGCCTTCACTGAGCCCTGACACAGGGGAGGGGTAGTGTATTATCTGAGTGGGGGTGGATGGTGCGTCTAGTTTCTCTCCTCCTCAGGCCCAGTTGAGGTTGAAGCCCTTGGAGAGCATGACTGACTCCAGGTCCTTGTCCTCCTCCTTCTCCCTGAGCCTCTGCTCCTCCAGGAGGGCTACCAGGGAGTCTCTCTGCTCTACCACCTCCAGCATCTCATTCAGGATGTGCTTCTCCCGCGCCAGCTCCACCTCAGTCTTCAGGTGGTCTTAGGAGGAGAGGAGGGTGTAAAAGAGAGAAAGAGGGACAGATAAGTGGAGAGCTCATAAGTGGAGAGGAAAGTGAAAAGAGTCTCACTCTGAGGTAGTTAGAATTTGATGAAACCATGGATGTTGTTTCCCATGGTCCCGCTTTTTCATGTTTTTTATGCTGCACACAAATTGCCCTTTGAGGGACAATAAAGATTTATTGAATTGAAAAATGGCGGTCCTCACCTTCAATTGCCATGCGCTCCCTCAGGTCCTGCTGCAGTCGACTCTGGCGATCCTCCAGCTCCAGTTCTCGTGCACTGGGGGACAGAAAGCCAGACTTACGGCCCAACTATTACACCTGTGGCCCTGAACTTTGTCTAAAGTCTAAATTATGTCATAAATCTACACTACCGTTCAAAAGTTTGGTGTCACTTAGAAATGTCCTTGTTTTTGAAAGAAAATGAATTTTTTTGTCCATTCAAATAACATCAAATTGATCAGAAATACAGTGTAGACATTGTTAATGTTGTAAATGGCTATTGTAGCTGGAAACGGCGTACAGAGGCCCATTATCAGCAACCATCAGTCCTGTGTTCCAATGGCATGTTGTGTTTGCTAATCCAAGTTTATCATTTTAAAAGGCTAATTGATCATTAGAAAACACTTTTACAATTATGTTAGCAAAGCTGAAAACTGTTGATTAAAGAAGCAATAATACTGGCCTTCTTGAGACTAGTTGAGTATCTGGAGCATCAGCAATTGTGGGTTCGATTACAGAATCAAAATGGCCAGAAACAAATAATTTTCTTCTGAAACTCGTCAGTCTATTCTTGTTCTGAGAAATGAAGGCTATTCCATGCGAGAAATTGCCAAGAAACTGAAGATCTCGTACAACGCTGTGTAGCATCCCGGAGTCGCCTCTTCACTGTTGACGTTGAGACTGGTGTACTATTTAATGAAGCTGCCAGTTGAGGACCTGTGAGGCGCCTGTTTCTCAAACTAGACACTCTAATGTATTTGTCCTCTTGCTCAGTTGTGCACCGGGGCCTCCCACTCCCCTTTCTATTCTGGTTAGAGCCAGTTTGCGCTGTTCTGTGAAGGGAGTAGTACACAACGTTGTACGAGATCTTCAGTTTCTTGGCAATTTCTCGCATGGAATAGCCTTCATTTCTCAGAACAAGAATAGACTGACGAGTTTCAGAAGGAAGTTCTTTGTTTCTGGCCATTTTGATTCTGTAATCAAACCCACAATTGCTGATGCTCCAGATACTAAACTAGTCTCAAGAAGGCCAGTTTTATTGCTTCTTTAATCAGCACAACAGTTTTCAGCTGTGCTAACATAATTGCAAAAGGGTTTTCTAATGATCAATTAGTCTTTTAAAATGATCAACTTGGATTAGCAAACACAACATGCCATTGGAACACAAGACTGATGGTTGCTGATAATGGGCCTCTGTACACCTATGTAGATATCCCATTAAAGATCAGCCGTTTCCAGCTACAATAGCCATTTACAACATTAACAATGTCTACACTGTATTTCTGATCAATTTGATGTTATTTTAATGGACAAAAACATTGTTTTTGTTTCCAAAACAAGGACATTTCTAAGTGACCCCAAACTTTTGAACGGTAGTGTATGTCTAAATGATGTCTCTCTACCTTTAGTTACAGTACCTAATATGGATGCAGAGTTAACATTCAGTATGCCTATAACAAAGGATATTAATGGTTAACTCACAATATCATCAGCTCAGATTCGTATCGCACCAGGGCGTTTTTTTCCTGGACCAGTTTGAACCACTCCTGCATGAGCTTGGGGTCGTCCTTTTTCCCCATCCCTGGAAGCAACACAGAAAGGGGAGTGAGGGAAACGGCAGGGCAGAGGAAGCTCTAGGTGGGTCTGATGCAGACACTGACACAGGCAATGCATTGACAGCCAAGCCAAGATGTCTTTGTAATGGGAATGGATGATGAGGTGGGTATGATTGAACGGACTGTTGAGCAGGGGTCAGCATGTTCTGGCTATACGGCTCACAGAAGATGGCGTGGAGGAGATTTCAACTTTGGAAAATGCGCACAAAAAAACGGGTGTTGCAAAGTTTAGAGTTTGTGTCACTCAATCTGAACTTCTGAGACAGACACCCCTGCTACTGTACTATAATAATAATAATAATAATAATAATAATAATATATGCCATTTAGCAAATGCTTTTACCCAAAGCGACTTACAGTCATGCCTGCATAAATTATCATCATATAGGTGGTCCCGGGAATCAAACACACTATCCTGGCGTTGGAAGCGCCATGCTCTACCAACTGTCCTACACAGGACCACGGTATGTTCAGAGCAGTGGTCGTCTCCTACCAGTGTTTGTGTCCCCCTTACAGAGAGGGCCATAGGTACGGGCAGAAAACCTGGCTATTCCACCACATTGAACCTATGGACATTTTACACAGAGATACAACTATTCTGGTGTTCTATCCCAATGGAAGTTATACATCCTACATGCAACAATGAACCACCAGCAGAAATAAAGGATTCTGTCAGATCCTATTTATGCAGAGTGGTTTCATAACACCCATTTTATGAATTATTTCATACTCCCTTCTACTACTGGGTCAAATGGTGGCGGCGGTGATCTGTCATTTGGACCAATAGTGAAGCCATCATACTCTCCAATTTGGTCTGCCTGAGGGGGAAGCCCTCATTTGGCATGCATTACTGCAGTCAAGGGCCAATGCAGCCAAGGGCCAGAGAACCTTTGTGCCACTGTAAAGGCGGCCAGTCCATGCTATGCTATCTGTCACACGCAGGTGGAGCCAAGCGGTTTCAATGAGACACTGGGGGGCAAACCATTGATGCAGCATGACGTACTTAGCTGGAGTGGTGGAGTCTCTTGCAAAACGAAAAGGAAAAACACAGTACACACAAAAATCGAATGGCTGTGCTCTCGTGTGCTGCTGCCGGCTTTCGCTGATTAACAGACAAGGACAGAGAGAGGCAAAGCAGGGTTCCTCAGACAGGACAAGATGGAAACAGGTGGATTTGCTAACTTATCCAACAATGTGCTTGCTTTTCTCTCTCTCCCTCTCTCTTTGCGCCTCGTCCACCACCCTCAGCCCAGGATCCCAGAACACAGGAGAGAAGAGCCACACAGTTAGCTATATACCACACTCACACCAGCCTGAAAACCAGATTGCACAGAACACACACAGGCATGTTTTGTTTGCCACATTGATCAGAAGTTTTCTCAAGAAGTTTCACACAGACAGGTGTTAGAGACGAGATGATCCAGAAATGTTTTCTTGTTCTAAATTCTTGCATATCTGTATATTGGTAGAATATGCAAAACTGAGACGCGTCACACGTTGTAGGTATTTCGTTACCTTTACCACAACCTTATCACACACAGTCTTTAGTTGTAACACACTACAGTCGAGGGACAGAGGCTGTCTGGCAGCCTTCACACACTATAGAGAGACTAGACCACTCAGTCGTGCAGATGTCCATTAGTTTTACAGCAAACAGAGGACATGCTGTTGATTAAACACACACTGAAGCAGAGCTTTAGCTGCAGCTACTTGGAATGATGGAAAAAGGTGTGCACTATAGTTGTTTACTTGAGTCGTTAACTAGGGTTGAGGGCTTTGAAATATGTTTCACATGTTCTGCTTGAGACTGTTAAACTCAAGGGCAAGTTAATCTGGGAGCGGGTCTATAGAAACATCATTGTTACATGGTTGATTCAAGACTGTCAGTAAATAAACCTTTTAAAAATACTATTGGTGGCAATGTGAACTAGGTTTCTGAGTATCCTCAGCTCAACAAACCGAAAGTACATCAGTAGCATAGACATGTCCTGTCCTTATTTTTCTACACCGTTGCAGCAAGTTCACAAAATGTCTACATAAATGTGTGTACTGTAGTGTTGAATGTAGTGTGATACGACTATGGCAGAATCAGAACGGTGACATGGGGAAATCTACTGAGCCTGGGCACACAGAGGGAGAGGAGGAGGAGTTTCAGGAGACCAGGCGGGAGGAGCCCTGCTCTGTGGAGCCCGGCAGTCGGTTGCCGTGGTAACCTGCAGCAACCAGCAGCAGGGGAGGCGATAGATTACGTTACCTTCAGGGGAACAGCATGGGCAGAAGAAGATAGGTCTTCGGCGAGGGGTCCCGACAAAGGGGTCAACTACTTCCACAACATAGGGAAAGAGTGCCGAAGAGTGGAAGAGTGGAGGAGAGAGGGTGAGGAGGAAGAGGGAGAGGTGATAAACACAGAGGAAAAAGTGTAGAGGACATAAAGCGTGAGAGGAAGTGAACGAGGGAGGGAGGGAGGTGAGGAAGAAACAACAGTGAGGAGAAAAATCTAAAAGAGTGAGAGCACTCGGGGGGAGAACTGAAAGCACCTTGAAAGAGGTGGGAGAGATCGGAGGGAGGGAGGGAGGGAGGGAGGGAGGGAGGGAAAACATAAAGGGCTGGAGAACGGGAGGGGAAATAATCTTCTTCTTTCATCTGTTCATCAGAATAATACCCCTCAAACTAAGCAAGACAGTATTGTCCATAGGAGCCTTTACAACATCAATGTTGTGTAATGTGTTGACAATGCTCTGCAAATTGGATTCATCCAAATAAAAACTCAAGGTTTACAGAAATAGAAAATAACTCTTTCCTGCTTAGATGATTTCATTATTCCATCCTTGAAAATATTTCAGCTCTTCCAGGTAAACATAACAACTTGTATTTTTTGACGCTATTGTGGCTATTTTGAAGTGCAAATTAGCATTTCGTACAAATGCATGTGAACCTCAGCGAGAATGTTCTAATAATAATAATAATATGCCATTTAGCAGACGCTTTTATCCAAAGCGACTTACAGTCATGCGTGCATACTTTTTTTTTTTTTTTTTGTGTATGGGTGGTCCCGGGGATCGAACCCACTACCTTGGTGTTACAAGCGCCGTGCTCTACCAGCTGAGCTACAGAGGACTCACAGAAAATTAGTTCATACTATCTACTGGATATAGTAGAGTTAGTAAAGTGGAAAATAGACAAAGTAATTTAATTTTCTCAACAAGGAAGAGCCTTCTATCCCAAAGAGTATGGAACGCACAATGGGAATGATTTTGATAGGACATGTGAATAGGAGGGATGGTGTCATACACTGTCACACACCGATACAGACAGGAAACACACACAATGTACTGAAAAGTCTGAGACCTGTGTGACAGAGCTGGGAGAGAATGGAATGCTGGGAAATTAAACCACAAGGGACTATCACTGAGGATAGGAGGAAGAAGTGTTGGAAAAACTGCCATGTAGAATCATAATAACTCTCGACTCAAACAAGATAGGCTATCACTTATACACTCATTGCTGTGAGATTTTAGAGCGTATTGGTTCTGCCTCGTACCTCATCATAAAATCAAAGTTATGGAATAGAATATGTATATGAAATTCCAAATCATTGAGAATCAGTGGATTGTGAAACTAGCGTGCCTATTGGAGGTGATTATGGTCATAAATGGAGTGATATACAAGATGTCGCTGCAGACAACCCTGCTGGCCAAAAGCGAGAGCATGACAGTTTTGTTCGCTAGCTTTTAGCACCCCCTACAGGGCTACTACACACACACACACACAGCACAGCCATGCTGCTTCCCACAACAGCCTGTGTCGCAGAGCATGATTCAGCCAGAGCCAGTCAGATGGATGCCAGTCCACATCACTTTACCACACAGGCCAACACTGTACCAGACCAGGCCCAACCTGCAAAATGCAGACCTTATCCTCCACACAGCCCCGAAGCTTGAGACCACTGCATTCAGTTTGGAGGATCAAACCAAAAGTGTCAATTGTGTCTCTCATTCTCCAATTCCAGAAATACTTACCTTCTGTGCAATGGATGCCTTATCTCAAGAAACTAAACATTTATGATGGTTGCATGGAATTGTACCGAGGCATGATAAACCACAAAGTGAGGAAGTGAAGAACAATAGTCAAAGGGGGCATGAAATTCATGAATGTGATCATATTATTGCGGGGACAATGGCCAGATAGATTTTTCCCAGTGTTACAACACTCCACACCATCTCCTGTCTAATGGGTGGTGACAACGACAACATGGCTGGACAGCATCATCACAGAGAGAATAACAGTCTAACAGTCGGACGGACACACACCACATCCACCCTGGGTCAATAAGACGGAGACACTGTTGGACCATCACAGGTTGCGTCCGAAATGGCACCCTATTCCCTATGTAGTGCACTACTTTTGACCAGAGCCCTATGGCCCTGTATGGTGAACTATTTATGACCAGGGCCCAAACCCTATTCCCTATATAGTGCACTACTTTTGACCAGCGCCCTATGTGCCCTGGTCAACTGTAATGCACTATATAGGGCCCTGGTCAAAAGTAGTGCACTATATAGGGAATAGGGTGCCTTTCAGCACAGACATGTACAGTACAGGGAGTTAAGCAATGGGGCAGGTATGGGAGAGGCAGAGGAGCAGTGGCACCAGAGCTGGGACTACAGGGATGGATTTAGTACCACAGCACACAGCTCTAAGGTAGAAGGGGTGGGCTAAGGGCTAGTCAAGGGCCAGACCATGGGTTTAGTTAGGAGTTTAAGGGTCAGTAAGAGGCAGGGCTGTACTACTTTCCAGTTGGGTGGGTGGATGTTAGCATGCGTATAATAAATTAAAAATAAAAAACTTGTACACTATCCCAATGCTGTAAAATCATTATGTAATCAATGCAGTGACATTAACGTTAAAATGATCAAAGAGTCTGTGAAAATGATCAAACTATTTTAAGATGACAAGATAAGAAAAGTGTGTGATCTTTCTGACCGTGTGTGTGCTAGGTGTGAAGGGGTCAGAGGGTGAGTAGGCTACTGCAGCAGCAGGGAATGAAGCTAAGGGGAAACAAGCTCCAGACCAGTAGTATAGCTGGGAAAGACAGATAGGTGGGTTAGCTGTTAGTTAGTTGGAAGCGACAGATTTGAAATACATACCGCCCAGATGCAAGTCCAGGATTTCACTGTAATTAGACTCTCCCCAATAGTCTACAACAGGGATATATTAGAGATACGAGTTATTGTACACACACAGCCACCACTGGGCAATACGAATCTGCAACAACAGGGTCATGCATGTGATTGCATCCACATCACATCCACACACACCACAATATACACACTCACCACAATACATACGCAGTCAAGTACACATATTGGCTTGTACTACATGGCATTTTCCGTAATGATAGGATGGCTACATAGATTTGCTGTATGGCTGGGTACTGCCTCTGTGTATGAGTTATGAACTGTGTGTGAGTAGGAGGCAACACCAGCTCTGGAGTGTCAGAGTGTACGTCACTTACTCATCTGATACAACCCAAAGGGTTGGTGGGTTAAGATTTCTTGTAAGTATCCCCACTTTTGATTATTGACCATACCAATAGATAAACACAATGTAGCATGAACTCAATCTTGGCGAATATAAACCCTTCCATATGAGGCTATGTGGACAACCACATCCAGTGTGAGCACATACAAATCTATGTTGAAACAGACATTCTCCAAATCGCATGCAGCTCAGACGATGACCGACAGAAAAAATGAGTACAAAGATAAAATGTTCAGAGATGGAAGACTGTTGCAGTGTGTCACCACAAATGACATGTAGAGTACAGTACGGGTCTTATATTAACTACAGTGAGTCTAATACCTGATCTTCTTTTGTGTTGTTTTGGTATAGTACAATAAGTCCCTTTATACAACCCTTTAAAAGAGTAGACGATAGAGAGGTTAAAGTCCATTTGAGAGAAATTTGATGGAAAAAAGTTTTAGTAAGATAAGCAAAATGACCAATCAAGATCGACTCCTACACCTCAAGGTTGTCATTCAATTGGTCTTATTCTTTCGGGTGTAGAAAGTCACCATAGCTATATTATAAGCAAGCATTCACCAGTTTGTGTAGTATTCACCAAGAATCCTGTAGATTACAAGTAATTATACATTATATTGAGACTAAATCACTCAAAAAGTGACCGATTATTTTCATGCCAAGAGTAAATTACAAAATGTTCTATTTATGCTATACTTTCCATGCCTTGAAACTATATTAAAGCTGTGTTAGCATTGTGTCATGTTCTACAGTAACCAATAATGACTTCTTCACTGAGTGAAAGTACAGATGTCTGTGATAGTCCCTTGTCTTGCATAGTTTGAATGCATTGTTTCAGAGTAACAGATACCACCAGTATCCAGATACTGTATATCCATATCCAAGAGTAGGATTTCTACAAATGTAAGATATACTTTCATTCCTTGCTAAACCTGGGTGACTGGGTTTGTGAAAAGTATAGGTTTGTGAAAAGTCTAGTTTGCTGCTATCAAAACCACTTTTACTACATAAAAGGGAGGTCAATGCACGTTTAGAGGAACATTGTTACAGACAAGAGACCCTCAGTAACAGCGTTTGAGAGTGGTTGAGTTGATTTAGAGGGCAAGCAGTCAAACTGAATTTGTACTTGCATATCCAGAATGTATTTAGTATACAAGCAGCGTATAGTAGCATATAACATTAAAATGTATTAGAACAAAATAGAGATTAACATATACAATTGTTGAAGAGGATCATCTCCACCCAACTAGGACCCACGTACATCAACAAACTGAATGAAAAGCTCCAAACTCTTTTCCCCAATCCCAACATTAAAAAAGTATGACCATACCCCACGGGCGGGCCCTTGGGGGATGTAACCCAATCAGAATAAGAAGACGTAAGAGTGAAAGATATGTACCTGCTTCCCCTCGCAGGGCTTTCTCCACGGCCACGCCCCTCTCCTCCAGCTGTCTCTGTTTCTCCTCCACCTGCTCCAGCTGCCTCTGGATGGTCTGAGTGAGGGAACGAATAATTCAGAACACGTGCACACACACACACACACACACACAGAGACACTTGCAGAGGGTCTTGGAGAGTCTCTCATAGCCCACAAATCCAAAACATTTGAATGAACCCACACAGTTCCATAAACTAAAACATTTTTGTATGAGAAGAGTTTAAAGGTCGTGTCTGAAACCCTCTTAATAATTAACGTCTCAAAGTTGGATCCGTTTTTGTTCTTCGGTAAATAGGCTTACTTTTTGTCATCAAATATTCATAAGCGGCAACACAGAGGATGCATAGCTAATTAGTATTGTCTTGATCTTCAAAGACATCAAATTGGGGCTTGCCAAAATCATTCATAATTCACAGCGGTCTTGGTTCACCGGTTAAACACTCCTGTGCAGTGTGGACTTTTTCCATCACAAAATGTCCTATTGGCTGCTTACCTGGGCTCTGTGCAGTCTCTTCAGCTCCTCCTGCTTGGCCTGTCGCCGGGCAGCTTTCTGTACCCTCCGTGTCAGCTTGGCATTGAGCTCCTCCTCTGTGTAGGTTTTCTGAAACAACATTACAACCATGTCAGAGGCCTTAAGCCCTACACAAGACAGGACAGTGGAACCTCTCTGTTCACAGAACGTTCAAAGAACATTCCCAGAACCTTTTCTACAGTGAAGAGACCAGCGAGCGCTTACAGGGGTGACTGATATAGTCTAATGTAATCCTATTGGAGAGAACGATAGCAGTGGGATTAAATAGAAAACTGGTGTTTCTTTCTGGGAGGTGGCTATCAGTTATACCAAAGACTACCATTGAGTACGAGAAGAGCTCACCAATTCTAGAAATGGCATAAGGCCCAAAGGGTAAGACTAACTACAGGGATCTTATAGACAGGGCAGCTACCACAATCTGCTCTAACACAACCTGAAGTTCACAACACACAATCCAAACTGAACAGACACAAATACACATAACTACAAATCTATGAGATACCTTAGATTTCCTTGTATCATTTCTCTAACTCGTAATATTTCCCCAGTCTATAAGCCTATACATTCTCAGAAATGTATGGAAAAGTTTCCATCATATTTTATGAGTTGGTCTATGTACATTTAAAGAGGTTCTTGTCCTCTTTCAGTTATTATTTTTCTGCAATAAAAGTTTGTATTTGGAGTGAAAAAAAAAACAAATATGAAAAATGTAATATAATTTAAATATAGGAACATTTGATATAGGAAAAGAGAGAGTTTAGAAAATGAGCAGACTGTAACAAGAAGAGGTAGCTGGAATCCAAGTGGATCTGATAGCAGCGTTGGAGAATAGTGGGTTAACATCAGACCAGTACAGACAAAAGATAAGCTGATTGACACCCGACCGGAGCAGACAGAGGAACAGCACGGGTGGGCATATTGGATAGTTGTCATTCATTGTGACCAGAAAAATGAGGAGTGCAGTAGTTTGGACCTCCAGCAGAGGGGAGGGCGCTGTGGCCTGGCTGTGACATGCATCTGAAGAGTAATGGTTAGTTATGCGGTCAGGGTAGCCGCTGTGGCAAAAAGGGTGGAGAGGGTTAGGGTAGTAGTGCAACGGTTGGCTAATGCGCAGGGGTAATATGACGTGGGCCAATGGACATGCATGTACACACTACCTTGGTGGCGTACGCTCTCTTGAACGCCAATGCGTGAGGGACATAAACAGACTTGGGGAAAACAAAACAAACAGAAAAAAAAAAAAACAAAAAAATGGAATGATTAAATGGGTACAATCAAACAGGCAATGTTAAAGGTCCCCCCATCAACACAAAGATGAGGGTGCAGTGATGAATCAACATTACTACCATGAATTAGTCATCAAACACTGAAATGAAATCATTTGTATTGAAATAGATACCCAGAGACAACGTGAATAAAACAGTAACGGTTGATTAAATGAATGAGAAGGGATTGCTCTAAAATATACTGAACTAAAATATAAACACAACATGCAACAATTTCAAAGATTTTAATGAATTACAGTTCATATAAGGAAATCAGTCAACTGAAATAAATTCATTAGGCCCTAATCTATGGATTTCACATGACTGGGAATACAGATTTTTATTTTTTTTAAACAGTCAGTATCTGTTATAACCACCATTTGCCTCATGCAGCGCGACGCATCTCCTTTGCATAGATCAGGCTGTTGATTGTGGCCAGTGGAATGTTGTCCCACTCCTTTTCAATGGCTGTGCGAAGTTGATGGATATTGGCGGGAACTGGAACACACTGTCGTACACGTCGATCCAGAGCATCCCAAATATGCTCAATGGGTGACATGTCTGGTGGGTATGCAGGCCAGCTTCTAGGAATTGTGTACAGATCCTTGCGTCATGGGGCCGTGCATTATCATGCTGAAACATGAGGTGATGGCGGCGGGTGAATGGCACGACAATGGGCCTCAGGATCTCGTCATGGTATCTCTGTGCATTCAAATTGCCATCGATAAAATGCAATTGTGTTTTTTTTTTCCGTAGGTTATGCCTGCCCATACCATAACCCCACTTCCACCATGGGGCACTCTGTTCACAACGTTGGCATCAGCAAACCGCTCGCCCAAACGACACCATACACCTGGTCTGCGGTTGTGAGGCCAGTTGGACATAATGCCAAATTCTCTAAAACAACGTTGAGGCGGCTTATAGTAAAGCAATGAACATTCAATTCTCTGGCAACAGCTTTGATGGACAATCCTGCAGTCAGCATGACAATTGCACGCTCCCTCAAAACTTGAGACATCTGTGGCATTGTGTTGTGTGACAAAACTGCACATTTTAGAGTGGCCTTTTATTGTCCCCAGCACAAATTGCACCTGTGTAATGATCATGCTATTTAATCAGCTTCTTGATATGCCAAACCTGTCAGGTGGATGGATTATCTTGGCAAAAGAGAAATGCTCATTAACAGGGATGTAAACAAATTTGTGCACATCATTTGAGAGAAATACGCCTTTTGTGCGTATGGAAAATTTCGGGGATCTTTTATTTCAGCTAATGAAACATGGGACCAACCCTTTACATGTTGCGTTCATATTTTTGTTCAGTGTAGATTCATCTGCACAGCTACTAGAAGAGCAGTCTGAGACAAAAATAAGTGACAATAAGATACAGTACATCACCTACTATTTCAGTGAGAAGTAAAGGTACTATTTCACTCCACAGAACTGTCATTAAACTACTCAACATCACATCTCTAAAAAACGACAAACACTAAACGAACGACTGAACACAAAAACTAATCGAGACTATTCTGGATAAATGATTCCTGATGTTCCTCAATGAACGTCACAGGGCCAGATCCCTTGTAGTGAAGAGATCAACTGTTAACGAACATGAAAAGCCATTTTGTTAAATTGTTTGAGCTAAAAACAAGTGTTATGCTGTACCATCAGACATGTTTAGTCTAGGAGCCTGGGTTCCAAAATATGACTGAAGTCATGTTTTCCATGCTCCGATACATGTTCAGCGTCTGTTGTAATCATAACCATGGGCAAGACAATAACAACAACAGGAAACGCCCTACTTTATTTATTCAGAGTTGCTTTGGAAAGTCTTTAAAAGGTTAGCATGAGGAATGCTTGCCTCTGGCCCTGAGCTCCATCTATTCTACTGTATAAACCTCCACAAATACAGAGCAGCAGCGGACTAAACACTTTTGAATTTCAACTATTTCAGCATAATGAATGCAAATTAAGTCAGATGTGTGGGGCTCGGTTTGCAGAAGATTTATTTTTGCCAGACACTGCATATTTTCACTGTTCACTAATACATGTAAAACCAATTCAATTTAACCCTCCTCCTAGATCAGGATTTCCCAAACTCGGTCCTGGGGTCCCCCCTGGGTGTCAACTTTACACAGTTGTGTTCTGTGAGTGGCACTGGGTAAGCTGATACTCCATTACATGGGTGCAACATCCATAGGTTAGGTTGTACAGTGCATATACACTGAGTGTACAAACATTAATTGGCCCAGCGTCGTCCGGGTTTGGCCGGTGTAGGCCATCATTGTAAATAATAATTTGTTCTTAACTGACTTGCCTAGTTAAATAAAGGTAAAATAAAAAATAAAAGAACAGAACAACCTCAATTTGTCAGGGTATGGACTCTACAAGTTGTCAAAAGCATTCCACAGGGATGCTGGCCCATGTCGACTCCAATGCTTCCCACAGTTGTGTTAAGTTGGCTGGATGTCCTTTGGGTGGTGGACCATTCTTGATACACACAGGAAACTGTTGAGCGTGAAAAACCCAGCAGTGTTGCAGTTCTTGACACAAACCGGTGCGCCTGGCACATACTACCATACCCCGTTCAAAGGCACTTAAATATTTTTCATGCCCATTCACCGTTAGAATGGCACACATACACAAACAATGTCTCAGTTGTCTCAAGGCTTAACAATCCTTCTTTAACTTGTCTCCTCCCCTTCATCTACACTGATTGAAGTGGATTTTACAAGTGACATCAATAAGGGATCATAGCTTTCACCTGGTCAGTCTATGTCATGGAAAGAGCAGGTGTCCTTAATGTTTTGGATCCCTGTCAGTATGCCCCCAATGCAATTCTAAAGTCTAATACTTCCATAGTGCAATTTCAACTGATTTATACTTTGTCAAATTAACTAATTATTGTCTTTTGTTGAATTTATATAACAACATTCCGAACTTGTTTATCATTAACTAGTCCAAATATGGCATGATTCCACGATTTGTATCCATTTTTATCACTTTCAATGGGGGGCTTTTATTTTGAAGGCGAACCGCAAATTCCACTATTGTGGCTAATCCTTATTGTGGCTAGCTTCACACAGGTAGAGTTGTTGACCATTTTCATCGACATTGGTGTCATATTGGCTTAGATATGATGGTAGGGAGATTTTAATTTAACATTGAACTTCAATCAATTCCTACTATTAATACTATACTAATACGTTGTTACTTTGCTTGCAGACAGAACAAAATGCCACTTCAATTTGTAGTAAATGGAAAAGCTCCAGACCTATCTTGACTATTTGTATAATACTGTTTTGGGTACCAGATAATAACTCTGTTAAAAAGAAGAATTTATGTGCTTGAGTATAATATAGTCCCAAAAAGTTATTGTAATTTACATTCAACATTTCCATTTTTATGCTTGTTTGAAATTCAAAAGCATTCATCCCACTGTAGCACCTAGTGTAGTACCTCCTCTTCCTCTTTTTCTATGAATCGATCAAGGTCCCGACCTCTTTCTCGTTCCTTTTCTCTTTCTTTTTCCCTTTCTCTTATTTTTTTCCTTTTTCTCTCCATCTCCGCTTTTTCCTCCTTCATCGTTTCCTTCTGAATGTCTGACACTAGGTCAAAGATGTCCGTATGCCGCTTGGAATATAAAGGATTTAAAACAACATATGAAAACACAAAAAAATGACCACAGTTGGGGTGAGGTTTTCAAGTGTGAACTGATGAGGGATGAAAATAAAACTTTGAGTGACAAACATGACTCACGTCTGTCCTAGACTTCTGGGAAGACCTCTCCAGCACATCATCACATGACAGATCCGAGTCCTCAGAGAAGCTCAGGTTTCTGCGCGACTTCAAATCTGGAATGGAAAAAACAAAGACAGCATAACTATCTGTTATTTCTCTCTGGACTTGATGTAACCATAACTAAAATAACTAGCCAGGAACATATAACCAAAGACCGACATCAAGACTAAATGCTCTAAGCAAGTCATGGTAAACTACAGGCCATTGTAAACCATGGTAAACTACGGTCCATGGTAAACTGGTAAACTACAGGCGCCATGACATCCCTTGTTTCTCTGTCAGTCTCACCTGACGACCTGCCGAGAGGCGACAATCGCTTCTTCCCGGAGTCGTTGGTGGTGGAGCTGGATGGCGTACTGGGACACGACTTGTCATCCTTATTCTTCTTCTTGTCTTTCTTGTACCCTGAGAACACAGTCTTCCACAGGGACTTGTGTTTGGGCGGCGACGGCGTCTCGTCTGTGCCGTGCTTGACGGAGAGCTGGCTTTCGTTCTTGGCTTTCTTCTCCTTCTTGTTCTTGCGTGGAGAGAAAAGAGAGCTGCGCTTCTTGCTCTTGCCCCCCGAGGCGGAGCCGTCGGAGGAGACGGTTGAGCTGTCCAGACTCTTGTTTCCCTGACTGCTAAAGAAACGCTCCGGTAGAGTCTCAGCCTTCTTTGACTCCAGAGATTTCACTGCAGACTTCTTTGGAGAGCCGGATGACTTCTTAGTACTTTTCCCGGACGTCTCTGATGAGGCGTTCCACACCACTTTAGCGGCGGTGCCCTTGGCCGTGTCCGTCTCTTTCATCTTGTTGAGCTGCTTGGCCATGGCGTCCTTCAAAGCTTGGCTCTTGATGGACTTCTCTCTGGCTCTCATCCGCTCCTCGGCTATCTCCTTGGCCTCAGGGGAGAACTGCTGGGCCTTCTGGCTCTTCGAGGCCTGCTGGTTCACAGGGAAAATCGGCTTTCCGTTTTCCATGGCCAGGGCCAGGTGCAGGGGACGTTTCTCTCTCTCCCTGTTGGGCTTGCTGCTGGGCGGGGTGTAGAACCTGTCCATGTTTGTGTCCGGCGTCCGCTCGTCGTACGTGTCCTCCACATCGTCCGCAAACGGGATCTCCGCCACGCACTCCACGAACGACTTCCTCACCTCCTCCCGACGTGGTTTGCTGCTCTTATCCCGTCTCATGACCACCAATTGAGCAGTGACTGGAGCAGTGACCGGCGAAGTGACTGGTGTAGTCCTGGGGGCAGGCTTGGGCACAGACACAGGGCTGAGTTGGGTCCTTGGTGCAGGCACAGGGCTCTTGGTCTTGGTGGGTGCAGCCTTAGCTGGCTTCTTGGCTGGCTCAGGTGTAGTGGGGCCCTCGATCCCATTGTTCCAGGAGACCTGGTGCTTCTGCTGCTGCCTGAGGGTAGCTGGCTCCTCTTTGGGAGGGGGCGGCGGGGGGCTGGAGGGCGGGGTGAGCATGGTGGAGTCGGAAGTGTGGTAGCTGTCGCTGGCTGCCTGGCTGGTGGCCATGCTGCCGTTGAGGCCCAGGCCGGAGCTGCTGCTGAGGTCCCTCCGGTCCGAGCCATTGCTCTTAGGCTCCACGGGGGAGATGACCTGGCCCTCCACCGTAATGTTCAGCCTGCGAATGACCGAGCGACCGGTGAAGGGGGAAGGGGAAGGCCTAAGCTCCTCCGACAGATCCTCTGGGGTGTAGGACTTGGTCGAGGGGGAGTCCGGAGTGGGCACCTTACCCACAGTAACATGACTCTTCTCTGGGGCTTTGCTGCTGCTGCTACGGTCCAGTGGGGTGAGACCCAGGCTCTTCCTGATCTCGGCACTCTTCTGCCAGAACTCCTCGATGATGTCTGTCTTCTTCACCGGGGTTTCGTCTGTGAGGTCCAGAGATTTTTGTGGCTCTGGGGTAGTCCTGTCAGAGGAGGCTGGTTTGGCCAGCGGCGTGGAGGTGACAGCAGGGACAGGCTGAGTTCTGACAGGGGAGTCCGAGATGAGGGGTGAGGAGGGCTCGTGGCAGGGCAACGGCTGGGCACAGATGGGAGACAGCGGGTTCCCTGTCGGGGGGCAGGAGCAGGGTGGAGAGTTGACAGGGGATTTTGGGGTGACCGTCTCGGGCAGTGGGATAGGCTGGGAGCGGATAGGGGAGCGAATGGGGGACGGGGCGGGGGTAGCGTATTGGGGGCTCTTGGCGTTAGGGGTCTGAACTGTCCTCTGCGGTATTGTGACGTCCTCCGGAGCAAAGGGTTCTGGGAAAAAGCGCATGCCAGGGGATTTGACCAGGTAGGGAGGAGACGTGTGAGACATCTGGAAAACAAGCAGAGGAAGAGGTGCATTTAGCCTTTGACAAACTCATTGAATGCCAAGACCACAGAACTAGATGAGAGGGAAACATTTCGTACCTGCAATTCAGGCTGTTGGAGTCGGTGGTTTGACTGGCGAGAGCACAACTTCCCCAACTAACTTCACCGGACTGACACTAGTTTGTTCAATGCTACAGGCGATCCCCTGACTCTGCGAATTCTTGTCTTCTTCAAGAAGCGCTTCACTTATCTCTGACTGGTGCAGACGAGCCTCAGCCTCCGCGTCAGAGGGAATGTCCTCTGTAATTATATAGACAAGATCAGTCACCATAGCTCATTTAGCACAGTGTTCTTAATACACCTTCTGTGAAGCCTCAATCAAATATTAGATACATAAGTAGAAAACAAAATAGTAGAGATTTGCTGAATAAGTTGGTTCCATACCCTGGTCCATCTCGGTGCCTGGCTCAAAATCATGGCTCCCCACTTCTGCTTCCGGGTCATCTTCCTCACAGGGCTCTGCCGGCACAGGAGAGAGTGGAAACAGTTAAACAGGGGTATAAAACTGAGCTTTCAGTTAGGTTCAACCAAAGAGAGCTGTCTAAGACCTGCTCAAAGCAGTCTAATGGGTCATTCCATGTCATTTCAGCAAACCATGACATCCACCATCACATATGTTCTGAAATGGTTTCTGCAGTTAGAAACAGATAAGATAAGCATTCCTGCAACATTATTTTGTTTGAATATAATTTGATCTCTGAAAAATTAAGCTAATTGATTGCACCCAAATTGGCTGATTTGGGCTAAACCTTTTTCTACCAATAAGTAATACATGAGGAATCCCCCCAAAAAACAGGTCAAAAGCCACCCACAGACACCTCACGCCAATCCCACCCCAACGACCAGTATACAGTATCAGTTCTCTATGTCTGACCAGTAGTTTGGAGCTGCGGATTTTTCAGAGAAATTTGTCATTGAAGGTCTTAGGTTTGTGTCCCATTATACATCCAAATATTAGCAGGTTCTGACCACTAGATGGTGCTGTTCCTGCTATTAGGTTGAAAATACACTACATGGCCAAAAGTATGTGGTCACCTGTGGTCACCTGCTTGTCAAAATCTCATTCCAAAATCATGGGCATACATATGGAGTTGGTCCCCTCTTTGCTGCTATAACAGCCTCCACTCTTCTGGGAAGGCTTTTCACTAGATGTTGGAACATTGCTGCGGGGCCTTCCTTCCATTCAGCCATAAGAGCATTAGTGAGGTCTGGCACTGATGTTGGGCAATTAGGCGTTCTAATTCATCCCAAAGGTGGCCGATGGGGTTGAGGTCAGGGCTTTGTGCAGGCCAGTCAAGTTCTTCCACACCGATCTCGACAAACCATTTCTGAATGGACCTCGCTTTGTGCACGGGGGCATTGTCATGCTGAAACAGGAAAGGGCCTTCCCCAAACTGTTGCCACAAAGTTGGAAGCACAGAATCGTCTAGAATGTAATTGTATGCTGTAGCGTTAAGATTTCCCTTCACTGGAACTAAGGGGCCTAACCCGAACCATGAAAAACAGCCCCAGACCAGGGCAGAAATTTGACAAACTGACTTGTTGGAAAGGTGGCATCCTACAATGGTGACACGTTGAAAGTCACTGTGCTCTTCAGTACGGGCCATTCTACCGCCAATGTTTGTCTATGGAGATTGCATGGCTGTGTGCTCGATTTTACACACCTGTCAGCATCGGGTGTGGCTGAAATAGCCGAATCCACTAATTTACTTTTGGCCATGTAGTGTATTTCCCCCCCTCAATATTAAAGGGATAGTTCCAAATTGCTAAATGACATATTTGTTTCCTTACCCTGGAAGCAGTATATGGACAGCAATCCATGCTTTTGTTTTGTTTACCTGGCCACTGTTTCAAATGCTAACTTTTTTGCATTAAATGGTGCAAATCCAATTGGTACAAGTCAATTGTACCTATATTAGCATTTTCACGGTTCATGTCCAAATCATATAAGCAACTTAATCGTGTTACACAATCAATTTTTGGACATTTTAGGATGATTTGGACATGAAGCGTGAAAGTGCTAATATAGGGACCATTGACTTGCATTGACAAAAGTTAGCATTTGAAACGGTGGCCAGGTAAACAAAACCAAAGCATGGATTGCTGTTAAAACTTGTCCATAGACAGCTAACAGCGTAAGGAAACCATTATGTAATGTTTTTATTTGGGTGAACTATCCCTTTAAAATGGGGGGGGGGGGGGGAATTATTCACACCTTTTCCATCTAATAGCAGGAACAGCACCATCTAGTGGTCAGAACCTGGTCATATCAGGATGTATGATGGGGCATAAACCTAACAACTTTAATGACTAATTTCTCTGAACAGGGGAAAATAACCATCACCAAATTCACTGGGAATACATCACATAGTATGAAGAAACAATACTCCAACCCACAGCGCCATACTACTTGTCAGATATAGAGAACTGATACTGTATACTGGTTGTTGGAGTGGGATTGTCGCGGGGTGTGGGGGGTCCGTGGGTGGTTTTCACATAATTATAATTTTTTGATTACTCATGTCTTACTTATTGGTAGGAAAAAGTTTGGTCCAAATAGGATGTTGGGTACTATATTTATTGAATATTATATGAACCCTATACATTTAAATGTCCAATTTGGGTGCAATCAATTAGCTTAATTTCTTAGAGATCAAATTATATTTCAACAAAATAATGTTGCAGGAATGCTAATCTCATGTGTTTCTAACTACAGAAACGATTTCAGAACAATTTGAGACGGTGGGTGTCAAAATCCTCTTTCTTGTGCTTTTTGAGGTGGAGCAACCCTAATCTGAACCCTCTTCATTTCTGACCTCAGAGTAAAAGATAAGAAACAAAGTGTTATTAAACAAATACTTAAGAAAATGCCTTTGGGTGAATTTGAAGCGTGAAGAACAGGAATGAGATAAAAGCATATGAAACGGGATAAAAAAAAGCTATGCTATAACAACAACTACTACTGCAGACTAGGCTTAGGAGAAGTCCATTTCTGGGACAAACTTTAAAAAGAGATTTGAGGTAAGATATTAACAGACACGTTATTATGACATTTACATATATTTGCACAACAGTCTCCGCACATAAACAAACAAAAAATAGTATATATCATGACATGATTAGTGGTTAGAGACATGCACTGATCCATTTCTGCAAATGCAAATCATGACGCTTGTATCAAGCAATTGCACAACCAAAAGGTGTTAATGGCATCCATGTTGAAGTGGACAAGCAAAAGTATCCCTCGTCCAAAGTGTCCTTGTGAGCTCGATACACTATAGGTGAGAGAGTTTGTATGTTTTCTGTGAGTCAAGAACGAAACCCCTCCAAAAGCTTGAAATGGGAGTCACCCCACCTCAGAAACATGCAACTGTTAATATCAGAGGAAAACAACTATTCCAGAAAAATTACTGTGCTCTAACTGTCAACTCCACCCACATTCATTCCCCATCTAGAGACACCATTGTGCAGGCAGAGAAAGACTACCCTAGACTTGCAACAGCTCTGGTGAGTGAAGTGTAGCCTACAAGAGAAAATCATTCTAATGTGTTATCAGCACAGCTTTTAGAGAGCTTTACCCTGGCTGGCCTGGCACCCTGCACTGACCCTGATATCTGACATGCTTTAACATGACCTATAACCATCCCTCCCATAACCCAAAAGCTGGCCAGCAGGCAAAAGAGGAGAGGCAGATTGAGTTCATTCTCTTACATTCTTGATGGTGCTTGCTGCTATAAATATGTGTCAAGTCTAGAACACCTTATGCAACTTGTCTCCCCTTCTACTCCTATTTGCTGTACGGTACTGTATAGTCTGATGTACAGGGAAGTGGGGTTGGGTGGTGAGTGAGTAAAGTGGTAAAGGTAGTGCAAGTGTTGGTCTGACCCCAAGAGAGATACGCTCTCTTGCGTGGCATCGTTACGGCATGCATGCTTGTGAGTGTGTGTCTGTGTGAGTGTGTGCTGCCATGCTCTAAGGAAGGCCGGTATACAGTAGAATAGAGTTATGAGCTAAGGTATAGGGGTCATCATATATAAGGATCACATATATCACTCTGCACTACCTCCGGACACCGACTCCAACCAGACTCGCACAGCCTCATGACGAGCAGATGTGTGGGCGGGGGCTACATTCAAAACAAACATTGGGATAGGAAATGAACAGAACAGAACAGACACATGGGAAAGAAACAACAGAACAAAACAAAGCCAAACTAGACAGAATAAGAAACGGGATAAATAAAAGAAGGAAGCCGGGGTGTGATTGTTGACCTTTGACCTGACCCAGTGACACCGGTGTCTCTTAGTCCACCAGTCACAACCCCAGACCCCCCGCGATAACACTGAGACAACATAAAAGGCTGAAAAAAATTAGACACATAAAATAAAGCAGGGCAATCAAAACAAAATCACAGATGATTATAGACAAGACGTTTGTTAATGTTGGGGTTAACAGGGTGGGTCCTCCTGGCTCAGACACACAGCAGTAGCCAGTCTGATGAGACACACTGGTTCCTTCCCCCAACCCGGAGACCAACAGCCAAGGAGCCACGGGGCCAGCTCTGGGAGTGTACCCAGGGATGAGCTCCTCTGGGCTGGGTTACCTGTGGAGGAGGGCTGGGTGAGCGTGGTGGATGGCTGGGAGGCCGAGGCAGGAGGACCCTCCTTGTCCCCCTCTGTCTGTACGGAGACTCCTCTGAGATTCTTAATGCCCATCGGATCCACAGGCTGCAGAACTTGCTGGATCTGCAGGTTCCTGGCTGTATGGAGGTGTAGGGGTTGGACCATATATGGTTGGTGTGTGATAGTGGTGCGTGTGGATTTGAGTTGCAGGTTGTATAAGGGTGAGAGAGAGGAGAGGAGAGACCGACAGTCGTTTAGGAATACAAAGGAAAAGGGGAACAGACAGGACAGAACAGAGAGAAAAAAGGGATAGGAGAGAGAAGGCAGAGAGGTGATTAAAGACCAGTAGGAGACAGTAGAGTTGTATATGATATACCACAGGAGGAAGATGGAGGCTGCATGCACTAGCATCCTGGAACAAGAGTAGCAGCTTTACAGTAATTACATTAGGAACAAATATATTTAAAAAATACTTTAACAATGGTTATCACACCACTGTCTATCATGCTAAAACTGCAATGACTAAAACTGACTCTGTACATTTTCTTAGTATTAGTCGATTAGTACAGAAGTTGCAAAAAAAAAGTTAATTGGAAAAACATTAAAAGGGTTAGGCTAAAACAGGAAGTCATATTTCAGCTTGAAAATGTAAAACAGAGAATGAAAAATAATCATCCTTCCTCTTTTCAAAATCGTATAATATTGCAAACATAACCAAATCAGACAACATAATAATGCCAACAAAACACTTCAGCAGAAAGCCTGGTAAAAAAAAAAAAATTAATGAGAAGGTTTCTTCACTCATAGTTATTTTGTTCAGTGTACAAACTGCAAAACTCATCCGCAGGGTGCAGGCAGTGGTGCTACCTTTAAATCTACAGGTATCCTCTTCGTCTTGTAGTTTCTCCAGCCATAGGCCTGACTGGAGCTCCCGCTCCCATGGGCAGTACTCCCCCTCTACCAGTTGGGGGAGACATCGCCCACATAATAACCCACACACAGACACAGGAAAGACACAAACGCATTCGGGCACAGACGTCACACAAGCACACACAGTACGGGAGACACATGGAGGAAAAGGAGGAGAGGAAGAGGGAGGAGGAGAAACGGAGAAGATGAGGAAAACAATGACTTTACAATGACAGGTGAAAGAGGTACACTTTTCTATAAAAAGCAGATTCAGTCTGTTTTGTGACAAATTGTCACAGAGTTGAGATGAAGACCGAATGTTCACATACACATGAGGAGGAGGGATGAGGAAGACATCATAGGGATGACATCATAGGGAAAACATTGACATCCCTCTGGCTCTAACACCAGTTTACTGGAGGCTACCTCTCAGAACAACTACAAACATTAGCTACATTCAAAAATGTCATATCACTACCTTTTCATTGAATCATGACAGAATATTAAGGATCGGCACTCCAACACGACATCTGAAAACCACAGAGAAACTGCATAGATGTTTGTGAAACTGTTAAAGAAATGTTTACCATCACTCGATTCCTCCTCATCGTCCTCCTCCTCTTCTTCGTCCTCTTCCTCCACTTCTAAATCCCTAGCGATGTGACCATGTGTCTCGACCACTCCCTCACCGTCCTTTCCCTCACCGTCCTTTCCCTCACCGTCCTCTCCCTCATCATCCTCTCCCTCATCATCCTCTCCCTCACCATCCTCTCCCTCATCATCCTCTCCCTCATCATCCTCAGCCCCTGGGTCGCTGTCGGTCTTCAGCTTGGCATGGAGCTCCACAGCCTCCTTCCAGGGTACTCCTCCCAGGTCTGAGGGGCCGGGGGGCTCCTGCTGCTCCTCCTCATGTTGCTCCTCATCCTCCTGGTCCTCCTCCTCCATGTCAGACTCAGAGCTGCTGTATGAGAGCAAGAGAGGGGGGGTGCAAGTTAGAGCAGGCAGGATTGGAGAGTCATCATGGAAGGGGATACACATACACCAACACTTACTGCCACTGTATGTATCCAATACTAGAACACTTACTATACTAGAAAAACACTGACCATAACGATCATCACATACGAACATGCAATATTAAAATGATAATTTAAGTATCTACAACGGTTTTACTATACATAGGCCTATGTTAAATGACTGAGATTCAACAGTTGTTGCCACAGGTCACCCCATGCAGAGTTGACTATTCCCCTGTGGTCTCACCTGGAGCCCAGGTCTGCGTGTGTGTCCTTGTCCAATACACTGCTTAGGTTATGTTCGGCCAGCGTCTCCTCTGGCACCTCCTCTAGGTCCTCCTCCCGCTGCAGAGACAGACGGTAGTTCTCCAGCTCGATGCGCTCCGGCGTGCCCCGCAGACGCTTAGCCAGGCTGGGCTCCTGCAGCCCGTTCACCTCCGGGACTGGGGTGGACCGCGGAGGGGGAGAGAATACAGACAGGCAACTGAGAAATCATAGGTAGCATGGTTGAGGAGAGGAGCTAGAGGGATACAGCAGTGCAAGAGCCATGCAAGGCTGTAGACACTAGGCAGTCTCGGGTATCATTCAAACTGCGGCTATGCTCCTCCGCAACTTCTCCCAAGGTTTGCACTATACCATCGGACCAGTATACTGTACCTACTGTATAACTTGCTAGCTACCAGCAACCAGATCTTTTAAATAATCACATTTCCATCCATGTTTCTTCCATGACTATAGTTGAGCACTGATTTATTGTCACTCATTTTGTATCAACTGATTTGTGTCATGTTTGAGACATTTTTGTTTTGTTTCTATACACATTTCTTTAGATTCTAGGAAAAACAGACAAAAACACAAGTCATTCTAAGAATTTATTGCATTAATTTGGTTTCCTACAGTGTCTCACAAATCAAATATATATATACTGTATATTATCTATACTTTATAGTATATAGAATTATATAAGATACAATTCTATATGCAACAGGGTAAAGGTTGGTACTACTTTGCCTTTTTCCCATCCTAGGAAGCAACTTAAAACTGACAGAGACTGATAGTCTAAATTTGAGGTGAGATTATACATTAGCACAGATGCTGTAAAGAGGTCAATGGAACGCAGGACACTGATGCCGTCATTGAGACACATTCCACAAATCTGATCTAACAAAGTGGATATTCGTCAAATCCGTAATGATTTATACACTGAGTGTACAAAACATTAAGGACACATGATCTTTCCATGACAGTCCAGGTGAAAGCTATGATCCCTTATTGATGTCACTTGTTAAATCCACTTCAAATCAGCATAGATGTAGGGGAGGAGACAGGTTAAAGAAGGATTTTTAAGCCTTAGGACAATTGAGACATGGATTGTGTATGAGTGCCATTCAGAGGGTGAACGGGCAAGACAAAAGAGTTAAGTGTCTTTGAGCAGGGTATGGTAGTAGGTGCCAAGCGCACCGGTTTGTGTTAAGAACTGCAACGCTGCTGGGTTTTTTGCGCTTAACAGTTTCCCGTGTGTATCAGGAATGGTCCACCACCCAAAGGACATCCAACCAACTTGACACAACTGTGGGAAGCATTAGAGTCAACATGGGCCAGCATCACTGTCGAACGCTTTTGACAGCAGAGTCCATGCCCCGACGAATTGAGGCTCTTCTGAGTGCAAAAGGGGAGGGTGCATCTCAATATTAGGAAGGTGTCCTTAATGTTTTGTCCACTCAGTGTATATTGTAACAGGCCCACAATGTGGTTACTAAAGTCTGATTTGGATATATTTGGCTGTTTTCGCTGCAGAACATTTAGAAGTTGTCCCTTTTCAGGTTTTGAAGAAGTGACTGCTAAATGCTAACTCCCGTTCGTATGAGCTAGTAGCATAGCTAGCATAGAGAAATTGGTGGTGGTAGTCAAAGTTGTTTTGAACTGTAATGCAGTTGATAAGTGATGATGACATGAACATATATTGGGTTTGACATCCATACAAGCATTATACTCCGATTTTTACCTTTAACATAGTGTGAAATACACATACAGTATAAACAATATAGGCTAATTTTGCTGGGGGGCAATGAGGAGATTCGGGATCTTTCCCCCACGACATCTTTCCCCCACACATTTCTATGGCGTTTACATTTTTTGGGTCGTGTTCCATTTACCTTTTTAGCGCATCTATAGGGCACAGCAACAATTATAAATGTGTTCTTTAAAATTCTAAGTGCAGCTTAAAGTTAGGGGAGAGAAACTTACCAACAGACAATGTGTTGTAAGCAATGACCCCATGCAACACTCACCAAAGCATGGTGTGGTAAGGCAGTGAGTGTGATATTTGATTTGTTTTTATGTGCTGGTGAAAGTGGTGACAGTTCATGTCAGATGAGTGAAACTGAAGAATGCAGAACTCTAGTATCACAGGGGAGCATTTAGAAGACAATTATACTGTCTGCATCATGAGACGATAGATTCTTGAGCCAATGACTCTTGTTCGACTAACCTCTAAAGACTATAATACAAATGATAGGGATTCCCAAAGGTCAGCATGTGTTACGAGATGATCAATATCATTGCCATTAACAGGAAATATATGTCATGCCTGCGGCCTTCCTACAGTATATCTTATATACAGTACCAGTCAAAAGTTTGGACACACCTACTCATTCAAGGGTTTTTCTTAATTTTTTACTATTTTCTATATTGTATAGTTATATATATTATATTATATAGTTATCAAAACTATGAAATAACACATGGAATCATGTAGTTACCAAAAAAGTGTTAAACAAATCAAAATATATTTTATATTTGAGATTCTTCAAAGTAGCCACCCTTTGCCTTGATGACAGCTTTGCACACTCTTGGCATTCTCTCAACCAGATTCATGAGGTAGTCACCTGGAATGCATTTCAATTAACAGGTGTGCCTTGTTAAAAGTTAATTTATTCTTTAATGTGTTTGAGCCAATCAGTTGTGTTGTGACAAGGTAGGGGTGGTATACAGAAGATAGCCCTATTTGGTAAAAGACCAAGTCCATATTATGGCAAGAACAGCTCAAATAAGCAAAGAGAAATGACAGTCCATCATTACTTTAAGACATGAAGGTCAGTCAATCCCAAAAATTTCAAGAACTTTGAAAGTTTCTTCAAGTGCAGTCGCAAAAACCATCAAGCTCTATGAGGACCGCCACAGGAAAGGAAGACCCAGAGTTACCTCTGCTGCAGAAGAAAGTTCATTATAGTTAACTGCACCTCAGATTGAAGCTCAAATAAATGCTTCACAGAGTTCAAGTAACAGACACATTTCAACATCAACTGTTCAGAGGAGACTGCGTGAATCAGGCCTTCATGGTCGAATTAATAATAATAATAATAATAATATGCCATTTAGCAGACGCTTTTATCCAAAGCGACTTACATTTTTGTGTATGGGTGGTCCCGGGGATCGAACCCACTACCCTGGCGTTACAAGCACCGTGCTCTACCAGCTGAGCTACAGAGGACCACTGCTGCAAAGAAACCACTACCAATGGACACCAATAAGAAGACGAGACTTGCTTGGGCCAAGAAAACTGAGCAATGGACATTAGACCGGTGGAAATCTGTCCGGTGGATTTTTGGTTCCAAGCGCTGTGTCTTTGTGAGACGCAGAGTAGGTGAAAGGATTATCTCCGCATGTGTGGTTCCCACCGTGAAGCATGGAGGAAGAGGTTTGATGGTGTGGGGGTGCTTTGCTGGTGACACTGTCTGTGATTTATTTAGAATTCAAGGCACACTTAACCAGCATGGCTACCACAGCATTCTGCAGCGATACGCCATCCCATCTGGTGTGCGCTTAGTGGGACTATCTTTTGTTTTTGTTTTTCAACCTCCAGGCTGTGTAAGGGCTATTTGACCAAGAGGGAGAGTGATGGAGTGCTGCATCAGATGACCTGGCCTCCACAATCACCCGAACTCAACCCAATTGAGATGGTTTGGGATGAGTTGGACCGCATAGTGAAGGAAAAGCAGCCAACAAGTGCAAAGCATATGTGGGAACTCCTTCAAGACGGTTGGAAAAGCATTCCATGTGAAGCTGATTGAGAGAATGCTCAGAGTGTGCAAAGCTGTCATCAAGGCAAACGGTGGCTACTTTGAAGAACCTCAAATATAAAATATATTTTGATTTGTTTAACGCTTTTTTGGTTACTACATGATTCCATATGTGTTATTTCATAGTTTTGATGTCTTCACTATTATTCTACAATGTAGAAAATAGTAAAAATAAAGAAAAACACTTGAATGAGTAGGTGTGTCCAAACGTTTGACTGGTACTGTATATCTTAGTACCAAGTATAAATGTGCTAGTAGTTGGGGGATGAAAGCCTTATATTTACCTTAAATATAATACTGGCCTAGGCCTACAAATGACCTATTAAAGTCATCTAAGCTACAAACTTCACACTTTAGATCATTAGCCTTACATTAGAGATATCAACCTATACATTTCATCTGTAACATCTATGACACTACAGTATATGCAAGAGAAATGTGGCATTAAGGAAAAGCATTGGAGGTGTTAGTATGCAAAGAGAGGGGTGGGAATGCAGGAGGACAGACAGACAGGACAGCCACTGATGGTACGGTCAGAGGAGAGGGAGGGTGGATCTCACAAGGGACCAATCACAAGCACTGTTTCAAGCACTAGCTCTTGGCTTCAGGCTGCTCTGATAGGAGGGTGAAAAGGTCAAGCTTACAGAGAACCAATCACAAGCACTGATACAGGCACGCTCTAGTGAGCAGGTCAAAAAGGAGGTAAAGCTAAGAAAGTCACAGGCCACTACAGGTTACAATCACACATTTGGCCTTTGATTAAAGCACAGGCAGGCAAAAGAGCACACAACTTATTTGTTGAGTAATATAACATATTTAATATAATTAATTAATTAATATAAATCTGACATTTAATGTACATAACTACAGGTTAAAATTCAACAGGTTACTGTTAAATTACTACTAATAATAATTACTATAACTCAGTGAGAAAAGTTAACTACAGTATGATGAAGTCTTAAAAACCACAGAAGCAAACAGCGAAGGCTCATCATTTTGCCTGACTGTTATTTTAATTTCCCAGCCGAGAAATGAAGAAGAAGAAGATGCACCATTCGTTTCAAATCTAGCTGGCAGCGGGGCTACTTTACTGGCCAAAATCAATCACGAATTGAATGCGAATGGGAGGGAATGATGCATCTTCAAGAAATAAATAACACCACACACAGAATCACAAGATTTACATCAACAGGACATCAAGTCAACAAGCTATACGAAAGAGGAATAGAGGATGCTAGCTTAGATCTATACAGTTTCACTCAGAGTCATTAGTTGGTGAAGTAAAGTCACGGAGGTCATAGGGAGACGGGATATGTTCTACAAAGCATTATGGGTACTGTAGTACATCATGCTACAGGTCATGCTAGGAGATTGAGCAGGGCGTTGAGGGTGAAACAGCAGAAGAGGTAGATACAGTAGGTACAAAGGAAGGGCGAGTCGAGGGGAGTTCGTGCCACCTGGTGGCAGGTCCAGGACAGGGTGCGGCAGAGGGTGCGCAGGGGCCCCTCCCCCACCCCCCGAGCCCGGGCCAGCGGGGCCAGGCGGGGCAGTGGCACCACAGCTACAGGTGAGGAAAGCGGGGTATTGGGGGTACCTGAGGGCCGGTGCTCGGTGGGGGACGGGGATGCCATCGCCCCCCTCCCGGGGGAGTCCAGGGTGACCGCTGCGGGCAAGGACGCCTGGTTGTCCTGGAGTAAAGACAGAAGTGGAAGGGAGGAGGGGGTCAATACATATCCTACACTTCCTGATTATCCTACATGACAGATCCAGTGTGTGTGTGTGTGTGTGTGTGTGTGTGTGTGTGTGTGTAGAGAGATGATGGGTCAGTAGTACCTTAGCATTGAGTGGAGCAGGGGTCGGGGCCGGCCTCTTCCTCTGAGCCTGACCAGACGAGCGGTAACAGTAGTGGGGCTTGCAGTAAAACTTCCCTGTAGGAGAAAAGACAGAAACAGAGAAGTATTAAACCAGTGCAAAACAAACATCTTATGCAGATCAGACTGCATTAACCTCATGACTGTTGCATACTCTTTAGTACGGTGAAAGCCTGTGTGTGAGAGTATGTTGTTCATAGAAAGACAAAATGATTGTCCTCCCTCCCTCCCTCCATCAGTTCCTAGTGGGAATTCTGGAGTCTGCTCTACCAGTGGGATGACTGGGATCACTAACTAAACTGGGAGAAACAGCCACTCTGTCATTGCTAACAATTTGCTTCTTGTTCCATGAGCACAAGAGAGGCCTTTTGACACTCAGAGAGAGAAAAATAAATAATGCGGCAGACGCTATGAGGACAATATGATGACTCCTATTGTAACCACAAGGACAACCACAAGGACAAGGCTTGGCATAGTATGTGTGTGTATGTCTATGAGGCAGCACTTTCTACAGTATCTTGATCATGTAACAGGTTAATTTGAGCGAGTCTCAAATGATCTTATTGCGTGTCAGAAATGTCTGTGCCCTGTTTGAATTTAGTCAAAACAAAGTGATTGTGTCATTCAGGTGGGATGTTTTTGTAAACATATCAACAGTGTATGCAAGCTGTATCTATTCACAAGTACACTGAGTGTACAAAACATTAAGAACACCTTCCTAATATTCAGTTGCATCCCTTTTGCCCTTAGAACAGCCTCAATTCATCGGGATATGGAATCTACAAGGTGACGAAAGCGTTCCACAGGGATGCTGGCCCATGTTGACTACCATGCTTCTCACAGTTGTGTCAAGTTGGCTGGATGTCCTTTGGGTGGTGGACCATTCTTGAAACATTTTTTTTTGTGATCCAGTTGACATTTTAGTCATTTAGCAGACGCTCTTATCCAGAGCGACTTACAATTAGTGAGTGCATACATTTTTCATACTGGAAATTGTTGCAGTTCTTGACACACTCAAACCGGTGAGCCTGGCACCTACTACCATACCCCGTTCAAAGGCACTTAAATATTTTGTCTTGCCCATTCACCCTCGAATGGCACACATACACAGTCCATGTCTCAATAGTCTTGAGGCTTAAAAATCCTTCTTTAACTTGTCTCCTCCCCTTCATCTACACTGTTTTGAAGTGGATTTAACAAGTGACATCCATAAGGGATCATAGCTTTCACCTTGATTCACCTGGTCTGTCATGGAAAAAGCAGGTGTCGTTAAAGTTTTGTACACTCAGTGTATATTTGTTTTAGTACGGTGTTACCAACTCCTATAGTCATTCCATGGGAAGACAGCACAAACATATCTGTATTGAACGAAAAGCACACTACATACAGTGGGGGAAAAAAGTATTTAGTCAGCCACCAATTGTGCAAGTTCTCCCACTTAAAAAGATGAGAGAGGCCTGTAATTTTCATCATAGGTACACGTCAACTATGACAGACAAGTTGAGAAAAAATTTCCAGAAAATCCCATTGTAGGATTTTTAATGAATTTATTTGCAAATTATGGTGGAAAATAAGTATTTGGTCACCTACAAACAAGCAAGATTTCTGGCTCTCACAGACCTGTAACTTCTTCTTTAAGAGGCTCCTCTGTCCTCCACTCGTTACCTGTATTAATGGCACCTGTTTGAACTTGTTATCAGTATAAAAGACACCTGTCCACAACCTCAAACAGTCACACTCCAAACTCCACAATGGCCAAGACCAAAGAGCTGTCAAAGGACACCAAAAACAAAATTGTAGACCTGCACCAGGCTGGGAAGACTGAATCTGCAATAGGTAAGCAGCTTGGTTTGAAGAAATCAACTGTGGGAGCAATTATTAGGAAATGGAAGACATACAAGACCACTGATAATCTCCCTCGATCTGGGGCTCCACGCAAGATCTCACCCAGTGGGGTCAAATGATCACAAGAACGGTGAGCAAAAATCCCAGAACCACACGGGGGGACCTAGTGAATGACCTGTAGAGAGCTGGGACCAAAGTAACAAAGCCTACCATCAGTAACACACTACGCCGCCAGGGACTCAAATCCTGCAGTGCGAGATGTGTCCCTCTGCTTAAACCAGTACATGTCCAGGCCCGTCTGAAGTGCATTTGGATGATCCAGAAGAGGATTGGGAGAATGTCATATGGTCAGATGAAACCAAAATAGAACTTTTTGGTAAAAACTCAACTCGTCATGTTTGGAGGACAAAGAATGCTGAGTTGCATCCAAAGAACACCATACCTACTGTGAAGCATGGGGTTGGAAACATCATGCTTTGGGGCTGTTTTTCTGCAAAGGGACCAGGACGACTGATCCGTGTAAAGGAAAGAATGAATGGGGCCATGTATCGTGAGATTTTGAGTGAAAACCTCCTTCCATCAGCAAGGGCATTGAAGATGAAACGTGGCTGGGTCTTTTAGCATGACAATGACAATGATCCCAAACACACCGCCCTGGCAACGAAGGAGTGGCTTCATAAGAAGCATTTCAAGGTCCTGGAGTGGCCTAGCCAGTCTCCAGATCTCAACCCCATAGAAAATCTTTGGAGAGAGTTGAAAGTCCGTGTTGCCCAGCGACAGCCCCAAAACGTCACTGCTCTAGAGGAGATCTGCATGGAGGAATGGGCCAAAATACCAGCAACAGTGTGTGAAAACCTTGTGAAGACTTACAGAAAACGTTTGACCTGTGTCATTGCCAACAAAGGGTATATAACAAAGTATTGAGAAACGTTTGTTATTGACCAAATACTTATTTTCCACCATAATTTGCAAATAAATTCATTAAAAATCCTACAATGGGATTTTCTGGAAATTTTTTCTCAACTTGTCTGTCATAGTTGACGTGTACCTATGATGAAAATTACAGGCCTCTCTCATCTTTTTAAGTGGGAGAACTTGCACAATTGGTGGCTGACTAAATACTTTTTTCCCCCACTGTAGTAACCACAACAGGTGGCTTAAAATAGGGTCTTCCTCCACGTACCGTCCTCCACATCGAAGGCGTAGGACGAAAGACGTAGTGTGGTGCCGCAGTAGTCACACTTGAAGCAGCTGCGGTGGAAGAACTTGCCCTCGGCGCTCAGCCTCTCCATAACGTACACACGCTTCCGGCAGAAGAAGCACACATCGCTGCCCCCGATGTTCTGGGGGAACTCCTTCCTCAGGGAACTCTGTAGGGGTGAGAGGACGAGAGGAGACTGTATTAGGGGCTGCAGAGAGGTAAAGAGAGATGGGGAGAGTGGGAAGCCATTTTCCTGAAGCCCCAACTTCACAACAAAGTGGGAAAATCAAACTGATAGAGAGTTAGGGGATATGGGATCAAATGTTCCATTGATATCAAACCATTAATGACCTAGTAATAAGTAGGCCATACAATGATTATGGCTGTGGATTAGCCACTAGGACCTTTACACCAGGCAAAACATTTCAAATCAAATCACATTTTATTTGTCACATGCACATGTTTAGCAGATGTTATTGCGGGTGTAGCAAAATGCTTGTGTTTCTAGCACCAACAGTGCAGTAATATCTAACAATTCACACAATCTAATGGTAAAATCATGGAATTAAGGAATATATAAATATTAGAAAATGTAGGATGAGCAATGTTGGAGTGGCATAGACTAAAATACAGTAGAATAGAATACAGTATATACATATGAGATGAGTAAAGAAAAAAATATGTAAACATTATTAGAGTTACTTGTGTTCCATTATTAAAGCGGCCAGTGGTTTCAAGTCTATGTATATGGGGCAGATAAGTGTGGGGCAGATTTTCAGAAACACCTGAGATTATGGCACATGTTGGATACCACAACAAAACTCCACAAAGCTTAAGTGAGGTCAAATGTTCCACACACACAGAACACTGGTCACAGAGTTAGTTCCTAAGAAACACACACACACACACACACACACAAAATTACAATCCTTCTCTAGAACTAGAAGGAAGTCCTAGCTCCACTCATCACCAAACACCACATCTACGTTCGCTAGCTGGAGTCACTTCACTCTTGGGTCTACAACATGCCTAGTGCCCTATGATACCATTGGCTCTTACCAATTCCACCAATTCCCTCTTGTCAAGTAAAGGCTTAGGTTCCTCCTGAGGTTGAAGCTGATTGGCTATCTGCTCAGCCAATAAGCTCACTTCCCCTGTGTACATCTTTAAATATCTCTATGGAAGGCAGAGAGAGAGAGAGAGAGAGAGAGAGAAACGAGAGTAGGATGAGAAAGACAAAGAGACACTTTGGGATTTTTGCAATGACGTCCTTTATCTACTTCCCCAGAGTCAGATGAACTTGTGGATACCATTTTTATCTCTGTGTCAAGTATGAAGGAAGTTAGAGGTAGCTTTTCGAGCCAACGCTAACTAGCGTTAGTGCAATGACTGGAAGTCTATGGTATCTGCTAGCATGCTAGGAGATACCATAGACTTCCAGTGATTATGCTAACACTGGTTAGCAATTACGCTAGCGCCAGTTAGCAACTTCCTTCAAACTGCACGCAGTCCACGAGTTCATCGGACTCTGGGGAAGTAGATAAAGGGCCTCATTGTCAAAATCCCAAAGTATCCCTTTAAGGATGAGAGAAACTAAATGGCAGAGTAGGAGGAGTTGTATGAGGAAGAGGGGTAAACTATGATGGGAGGTGAGGTAGTACACTATGTAAGGCACTAAAGGGCACTGGAAAATAATATTAAACTGATAATGAGAGGGAAATGAAGCCATGTTTGGTTGATCAAGCATGTGAAGCCATGTTTGGTTGATCAAGCATGTGAAGCCATGTTTGGTTGATCAAGCATGTGAAGCCATGTTTGGTTGATCGGCCCACCAGCCCCAACCCAATGAACTGCTTTGAATGAGTGTTTTCAACAGAAGAGAAATGCATGCAAACCAACTGCATACAACTCTTGAACCTTCATTGGCACAAACTAAAACCATTACCCACACCACGCTACATGCAATGTCCGACAGAAAGCCTTCTGGGATTTGAACCAATAAAACACCAGTGATGTCAACACACCATTACTTTAATGAGGAGAAACAGCTGTTGACTGGCCCTGTGAGGCTGAGCAATATCCTGGACTTTGACAGTGGCTATATGTGCTTACACCCATATACAGATGCACACCCAAATGTGTGTGAGCACACGCACGCACACACACAGTCAGATTTATGGTATTAATGTTCCCTACGCTACCCTTTGGCTAATAAAACAAGATAATTGGTCACCATGGACACAGGAAGAGAGATTGTTTATACTGGTTTAGGATAAAGTAAAATGTTAGGATCAACTGTGTACATTCAAAAGATCAGAGATTCACTGTAATCTCTCAAACGTGCTTTAGCTGTAACCCTAAAATGGCCACCATTAGATCTACAAAGATCCCAAAATAACAATTATCCTGCAGAGAGACAGAATTGAGGTCACAGTTAGCACAGCGTAAGCCATAGAAAAGAGATCTAAATATTTTAAAGTATGGCTGATTTACTGTAAATATAACATGCTGTATTATAGTAGCACATCTCTGAGCCATGATTACACCAGCCCAGTTGGAACAGAACAGGGCTTATCAACATGAGGATCAAATTAAGCTGTATTGAGGCCAAAACATCAGGCAAGGACTCCCCTAAGCACAGTGACCATACAACTGCAATGCAATGCAGGCCACACCTAAGTGACTGCTAATAGCAATCTATTGGAACATAAATCAATAATATGGCTATGACTGCAGTACATTCTCTTCCACATAGTGTCATCACACTTTTCACCACAGCAATTGAGTAATATCGTTGACTAAAACGGGACATGCGTTTTTACCCTCATACATAATATGAACCATTCCTGTATGCAGTGTGCACTTGCTTGTCAAGACACACATTGGATATCAGTTCAATTACATCTCACAGGCCAGGCAGTGAGATATTTGGCCCATCTCCCAGAGCAAGTAAGTGTTAGGGTGATCTCCACTGTCAATCTTCCCAGAAGGGAGGGGCTACCTGTCTCAGAGTTTCAGGGGAGGAGAGGGGGCTCTCTGGGCTCTGGCTGCAAGACAGGTGCCACTTTTGTATAAAGAAATGCAAGGGCTTTTTCGTGGACTCCAGGGGAAAGAGGGAAGAGAGGACAGTTATGGCAGGATGACTTGGTTAGAGAAAAGAGAAATTAGGGAAGATGCAAGAGAAGCTGATATGAAAATACCTTGACTGGGTCATATTCTAATTCCACAGAACACGAATGACCGATACTGAGTAAATAATAGGACTAATCAAAACCTACGCAGTTTTTTATTTGTTGGTTTATCACTCAATCTGACATTCATGATATATTGTAAAGTAACTAAAGAGATCAGAGACCAGGTCAGTTCTTTGGTAGCCGTAAAGTCCTTGACTTGGAACTTGGACCTCAGGGCTATCGAGCGGTGGTGGTATACTGTGTATGACCTGTGGCTTTGCCGGCTTGCCTTGAAACTGCGAGGTTAGCTGCTCAGCCCTGTCCTGTACACTAAGGACATGTAGCGACATTTGGTCATCAGAGCGCAGAGGCTCTAGTTCCTGCAGAATAAGGCATTATTCGGTTACAAAGAATAGAATAGGACTGGGAAGGGCAGAATATAGCCATGCACTGTATTTTTAGTGCTGTTTCACAAAACATCCCATGCTCCACACAAGATCCTGATTTTATTTCAACTTTATTTAACCAGGAAAGACCGTTGAGGTTAAGCTATGTGCTTGCGTTAGTGGTTGAAGTGATTTTTACGTGACAGGTTTGTCTGACCTAACACGGGTGTCCTGACTGCTGCACCTTTAAATCACTTATCAACTATTTTTTATTGATTTATTCATCAACTATTAGCAGAGGTGACTACTGGCATTTAGGACTTATAAACGCTGCATTGTTCAAAAGCCAATCTCCGTTTGTCATGCAGTAGAAACACAGAGGCAAATTCAGCTTAGGTAAACTTACGAGGTTAGCAGTCAGAGAAATGTTAAAATGCAGCGGTTCTTAATGGCAGTAGATATACTTAGAGATGAGTGCTGTATAATGATATCTAAAGGTAGTGATGTTTCCAGGAAGCAGAGATGTATTAGTGCCAGCTCCACACTGTAGGTCTATAGTCCCCAGGCAGGAGAGGCTACCTGTCCAATATTTTCAGGGGAGGAGAGGAGGCTTTCTGTGTTCTGGCTGAGGGACAGGTGCCACTGTTCTATAAAGCGTGAGGGCTTTTTCTTAAGCTCCAGGGGAAAGGGAGAGGACAGAGAAATGGGACAGTTTAGAGAAGGCAACAGGAATGAGAATGATCAGAATGATGAAGAGTACAGTAGTAAACCAACACTAAACACACACAAACTATTCAAAAATGCAATAAATCTACCAGGCCTATCACTTACAGATAATGGATTCACTGATTCTAGACAGCACGGTTTGGTGTTCACCTTTGGTTTCTCAGGTTTACCCTTAAACTTAGCAACTAGCCACGCAGACCTCTCCTGAATGCTAGGGATGTGAATAGGCTCTGGCTCCTCAAGCTGCGTGGGTTCCCATTTCTGCAGAGCAAACCAAGGTAAGCCTTGTGTGTGTTTACAGTCTGTTTGTCCCAAAACTTGTTGACACTGGTTGATGCAGTTAGCTGGTAAGGTTGACCTAACACTCTATGAAAGGCTATGGAATAAGAGACCTCTATTGACAAAGGGCAGACATATCATGTATTCATACTGTATATGAGTTAGCATGTAAGCACTGCTATGGTACAAGAGAACAAACAGTGCCCAAATGAAACTAGCCCTGAAATGACAGAAGTCATCATCTGCTTACACTTTGATTGTTGTTCGTCCCAATCATTATATTCTACCCACAACAATTCCTTCCGTTCTCCCCCACACAATCCGTAGAGACACCCAATCACACACACTCCGTCTGTGTTGTTCGTTCCCCAGGGGTCAGCACTGATTACAGCAGGCCCATGCAACCATGGTTGTTACCCTGTGTGCCTGAGGTGTCTGGTCCTGTGTGGTCTCTTCCTCCTCCATACCGCCTCTACCACAGTGCTTGAGGACACACACACAGAGACCGACACTTCAATACTGACCACTGAGAGCTAGGACCATGTTTCTCCTCTCTGGGCCTTCATAAACAAACAGCAGCATGCCATATACAGCATCAGATCTTTCACTGCAGACAGTATGGCAACAAGGCCCCAATCTACACACTGGTCAGCCACAACATAAGTAAACCCTGTTAAAGTTAACAAAAAGCAACCCACTCATGAGAAGAATGTAAACTAAGACTAGATACAGCTTATTTTAGTTAGATTGGAAGTTCTCTACGAGGGAGGGGAAGAAGAGTCTAGCTTTCTACTTTGACAGCACATTTGGAGAACTTATACAAAGGTAAGACGAGACCTGAGAGGAAAGAGGTTAGATATAGGATCGACAAGGAAGAGGATAGGGGAGTATATGTATGGTCTGGTATGGTATGGCACAGACTGGTCACCTGTGAGTGAAGAGAGAGTGAAGAGGTGGAGGAAGAGGAAAGCAGAATGGTTTTCTTAGGGCAGCTCCGTGAGCCCGAGTTCCACTCTGTACCGCTTCTTGGCTTGAGTGAGGAGAGGAGGACAGGCCGTCACTTGATGGTGTCACCGACGTGCACACTTACACCATTTAACATACACACACAAACACACACACACACACACACACACAAACTCTATACCATTCATATTATCTCATCCGAATTCACTTTTGAAGTCAACACACACATTGACATATTAATATCAATTTAACTAATGATTCTCATCCACTAGGCTAAAACAATCATCTGCTACAGTGCTACCCTCACCCCCACACTCATCCACGTTACTACCACTGGCATTCTACTGCACTAAACACTCATGCCAACACTGTTGAATGACACACAAGGACACACACTGTGCATAAAGACCACCCACTGGATGTATGTGGAAAATTAAGGCAAATAAATCACATCTCCACATTTCCCAACTCTAGTTAATATACAGTTAGAAGCAAGAGAGAAATCTGCAAGTGTTTTTTTCCTTCAACAGCCACAAAAATCTTGGATGAATGGGAAAAGGGGGGGAAGAATTGCATGATGAGGAAAGTATGAAATACTGTGGTGAGCGAGAGTATACTTATGTGAGTCTGAAGAGCTACTAAAACAGGAGCTCTAATCAGGGAACATGAGTGTTTGAGATGGAAAAGTGGTATTGGAAAGTTCTCACTGTCCACTCAGTCTAGATGTTAAAGGTAAACTCAGCTAAAAGACTTTGCCACAAGCAGCACCACAGATATTGAAGACTTCGCTCTCACACAGTCACACACAGTATCTGCCCATGTGCATGGGTTTGCTTCACGCTGTTCACCTCATAAACATTAAAACCAGCATATAGTGATAGCGCTGACATCATCTACGTATTCCTATGGAAAACAACCGATGGCGCATGAAGCCGGAAGTATTTTAATTTGAAGTGCGCCATATTGCTGAATGGGGCTGAATGGCACCAAAAAACCGCTAAGGATCATGGTGAAAGTGGCCCTAACTAGCAAAGGATCATGGTCGATGTCGTTTTCATCCTGCCTGAGAGACACGTGCAAAGAGCGTGAATGAGCCTCCTCGTAGCCTGTCGGCCTGTGATTGGTCTGTGTCAGTACGTGGTCCTGTGTGATGGCAAATGTAGTAGTCAGAATGGATCAGTATTTAATTAAATATCTCAATTTGTAGCAAACTTTAAAATAATTCTCTGTGGGGATCGAACTTGATCATAATAAACTAATTTTAGAGCCCAAAACAGCAGTCTAAAAGTTATTTGTTCTGCCGATCGTAATTTACATAGGCTTTCTAGGGCAGACCAGAGCTTTTGGCACCGCTAGGTTTCTACGCAGTAGCTGACCAGCAGAGCTTGTGACTTCACGCTCCAGACCGGACACTGGGGGCCTGGTTCACAGTGTGGTAGGCAGGGCACCAAAACAGCACAGAAGTTGAGCCTCGCGCTTCAACACTCTTAGTTGTTGCAGAAACTGACCCACTATGCTGTTTACTTTCTGCATCATATCGCTGAGTCTACCTTTAATGGCTTCATGGTGTGTTAACTAATATTTCCACAAAAAATCTATATTTTTTCATTGCAGACTATATCCAGCAAATTAGCTCAACTAAGTATTAGCTTTCAGGGGTTAATCAAGCACAGCTCTGAACTAGCCATTTAGCTTCATGGCTCAAACTATTAGCATCTACAATTTAAAAAAGAACCACACAGAAATGACAAAAGAAGCTTCAATGATTAGCTAACTAAGCTTAGATTACTAGCACAATTAAGCTAACTGAGCTAAGCTAAAGCGAAAGCCTGTTTGTCTATGAAGGCATGGGATGCTAGGCTAGCTAGTAGCTAGCACTGATAGCATGGTTAGCTGGTAAACTGGAGAGGGGAGACGGCCTAGTAGGCAGAGACGACTACAGCGTCAGCCAGGCCAGCGTACCTGCTCCCCTCTGATGGGTAGGGTCTGACACTTGACCTTCTCCTTATAGCGGAAGCTGAGCTGCTCCTGCTGCTGGTTGCGTTTCTGAGACAATATGGCGGGAGTCGGAGAGGGGATAAGGAGAGAGGGAGAGAGGGAGAAGGAGAGGGGATAAGGGAGAGAGGGAGAAGGAGAGGGGATAAGGGAGAGAGGGAGAAGGAGAGGGGATAAGGGAGAGAGGGAGAAGGAGAAGGGATAATCCACATGGGACAAGAGAAAACATGACATCACACACCGTCTGGGCCGAAAAGTCAACGGACCGCAACCACACACCGCTGCTTATTCTGGCACCACACACACACACACAAAACTATCTGATCCAGAAGTTTTAGAACATGTACACTGACTTTTTTTGTTGTTGTCATTAACAAAATCGGAACTACTGGTTCTATCACTCCAAAGTCTACAGAAAACAAGACATGCTATGTCTATGATCAATAACAATCTGGACACAAAGCAGATTTCCCCATCTATACTACTGTAAAACACAGCAGAGAGAAGGTTGCTTAGGGACATCCAGGGGTTAAACTAGTCCACTCTTTACCTGTCTCCATGCAGGGACCGGAGCTAAGCGGACAGGCTCCCTGGGGGGGGCCAGGGAGGCAGGGGGAGGGGGCAGCGCCAGGAGGAGATCCAGATTGGGCAGAGAATCCCCCTTTGACCAGTGGAATATGATTGGAAGATGAGTGACAGCCAAAGTGGTCAATAAGAGACCAGGACACGGTGAGCAATTTCCCCATGAGTCCCGGTCATGATCCACGGTGGGAGGAGATGTGGAAGAGAGAAAAATAGAGAGGGAAGTGAAACATGAGAAGACATGCTGGCTGGAAAAAAAATTTAACTGGGAGAAAAAAAACTAAAGGAAATGGAGTTTGTCATAAGAATAGCATGCTGGCTGTGTGTAACGTAATATGACATGATTGATTATTGTACCAACTGGAACTATCTTAGGCTTATAACTGACTACAGAATTAAGAACTGTAATATGGATACTGTGGTAAAGACATTATCAGCATTTCTTGCAAAGAGCAGCAGGGTCAAAGAGGGGATGAAAAAGTGAAGCTCACTGGCTGGAAAAACGCACACACAGGCTCCTCTTTCAGCCATTCTGGTGTGACACAATTCAATTCAACACAGCAGCAGCAGTATAAAATGTAATATTACCACCAGTGGAATTCAACATAAGTAGGGCTTAGCTCCTATTAACCAGCATGTACATCGTCTTTGATGGGCCATTTGTAGCTGGTTATTATACCATTAGGAAAGATGACAACTAAACATTGATTTACCAATCATATTTCACATTGTACAAATATGTGACCAAAAGAGAAACCTTTCTAACGTTCTGCACAAAGCTGTTCACTCAGCACATCACTTGACCTGGGCAGGCTATTCACTTCTAACGTTTCATCAATTCAATTTACATTAACCAAGTCGTCCTCAGAGTCTTTTGTGTATCAACGATCTTATCAGATGTAGCAATTGCAAAACACACAGCGTGAGCAGGAATTTTGGAATGGCAACACTCGGGAACACTGCCTGTAAGTTGTCTTTCTATGTCAACAATAGTGGCTTGTGTTCCAGTAGTCCACAGAGCCTTCCCACTGCTCCAGGCAGGGTGACTGACCCAGGATCAGGTCTTGGACTGGCTCTGTAAACCCATTCACATCCCTAGTCCTGGAGGAGCAAACCAGTCAGCACTATCAGCACTTCTGTACCACGGAACAATATGCCGCCAGGCCCGGTCCACGTCAATATTCGCATTCTGGGCCCGTATTCACAAAGCGACTCACAGTAGGAGTGCTGATCTAGAATCAGGTCCTCCACCTTTACATAATCATTATTCATTATGATCTAAAAGGGAAAACTGATTCTAGATCAGCACTCCTACCCTGAGAAGTTTTATTTATACAGGCCCTGGCGTTCAACACAATAATACAGTAGTACAGTGCTCCTACACACTCAGCATCACAAGACTATTAGTCATGTTAGATGCCGTGAGATGAAATAGATCTGCATATTTACTGTTTGACAAACAAAACACTGTGTGCAAACAGAGCTGTCATGTGATCTATCATCCAGGAAAGCTAAGTCCCAAGCAACAGTTCTCATTTTTAAAACAGTTTACTGTCGTCTCTTCCCACATCCAGGCAAGCAAGACTACTCCTTACACCCACCAGACACATATGAGTCTCTTCATACCTGTCTTTTGAGGCCCTTGGATTCGGCGGGGGCGTTCTCCTCAAACTTGGCGAGGAGCTGGGTGGCCATGGACTTGACTTTGTTGTGGTTCCCTACAGCCGCTGACTCTTCCTTCATCTTCCTTTCTGTCAGAGCAGTACTGTTAGATGGCCGGTCGTCACAGTTACCCCTCAAAACCTCTTCCTGTTACAAACACATGGACAGGAAGAGACCAGTCAGAGAATGAGGTTTACCTAATAGTTTCTCTGAGTTTTGCAAAGCTCCGAAGAGGAATTCAGCGTCTGAGTTTGAACCCTTGAACGTTTTACTCACGTCTTCAGAGTGGCCAGCTTGGCTGGTCTTCCTCCTCTTCCCCAAACCATCCACATCCTTCTCCTTTTTGTCCTGTTGATCACATAATCACATGTTGTCACTGGTTATTTCAGGCAGACATCTATTGACTCATACAGTAGCATTAAAACATGACGTAAACACAGTAATCTGTGTTAAAGGGAATGAGACTGCTGACAGCGATGTATTGGGCCATGAGTCCTGGCCACTGTGCTTTTCCTACTGCTGATTTAAAAAGGGCTTTATAAAATTAATTTGATTGATTGATTGAGTCCTGACCTTGGGGTTACGCTTCCGTGAGATAGAGATGCTCTGGCCTAGCTTGCTTAGGAAGGAGATGGGGGACTTAGTACTGTTGATCAACGCAGCCTTCTCCTCAGGGCTCATGTTCTGGTCCCCTGAAAATGTAACAGATAGAGAATGTAAGGCCGTACACACCAGGGTTGCATTCAATAGGGTACACTATAGCAAAATGTTTTGCAATGGAACATTTTAACGAGCATTTCTCATTGGACAAGTTCAGGTAGGACCCTCCTCGTTTCAGTCAGTTTGGTGCCTAATGAACATCAAATAAAAATAAAAATGTTTTTGTCACATGCTCCATAGACAACAGGTGTAGACTAAGAGTAAAATGCTTACTTACCTATCCTTTTCCAACAATGCAGAGTTAAAGATAAGATACAACATTTTCGAAAAAAAATAGAAACAGTGACAGTGAATAACTAATAAAAATAAAGAGTAAAAATAACAAAGCTATATATAGGGAGCAGAAAATGTTTATGCATGTGTGTGCATGTTGCGTTATATTTTTGTAAATTTACGTCAAGAGCAACTTACAATAGTGAGCGCATACATTTTTCATACTTTTTCGAACTGGTCCCCTGTGGGAATCAAATCCACAACTCTGGCTTTGCAAGCTCCATGCTCTACCAACTGAGCCACATGGGACCCGTGTGTGTGGGCGCACGTAGTGTGTGTGTTGGGGTTTCAGTGTAAGTATGTGAGTGTGTGGGTAGAGTCCAGTGTGGCTTGGGGGTAGAAGCTGTTGGTTCCAGACTTGGTACATTGGTACCGCTTGCCGTGTGGTAGCAGAGAGAACAGTCTGTGGCTTGGGTGGCTGGAGTAGTTGACGATTTTTTGGGCCTTCCTCTGACACCGCCTGGTTTAGAGGTCCTGGATGGTAGGAAGCTCGGCCCAGTACATCACTACCCTCTGCAGCGCCTTGAGGTCGGATAACAAGCAGTTGCCATAACAAACGGTGATGCAGCCAGTCAAGAAGCTCTCGATGGTGCAGCTGTAGAGCTTTTTGAGAATCTTAGGGCCGAAGCAAAATATTTTTCACGACTGTGTTGGTGTGTTTGGACCATGATGGATCCTTAGTGATGTGGACACCTAGGAACTTGAAGCTCTTGACCGGCTCCACTACAGCCCTGTCGATGTGAATGGGGGCGTGCTCGGCCCTCCGTTTCCTGTAGTCCACGATCAGCTCCTTGGTCTTACTGATGTTGAGGGAGAGGTTGTTGTCCTGGCGCCACACTGCCAGGTCTCTGACCTCCTCCCTATAGGCTGTCTCATCGTCGTTGGTGATCAGGCCTACCACTTTCGCGTCATCAGCAAACTTAATGATGGTGTTGGGGTCGTGCGCGGTCATGGGTGAGCAGGGTGTACGGGGGGGGGGACTAAGCACGCACCCCTGAGGGGCACCCATGTTGAGGGTCAGCGTGGCCGATGTGTTGTTGCCTACCCTTACCACCTGGGGGCGGCCCGTCAGGAAGTCCAGGACCCAGCTGCAGAGGGAGGTGTTTAGTCCCAGAGACCTTAGCGATGAGCTTCGAGGGCACTATAGTGTTGAACGCTGAGCTGTAGTCAATGAACAGCATTCACACGTAGGTGTTCCTTTTGTCTAGGTGAGAAAGGGCAGTGTGGAGTACAATATAGATTGCGTCATCTGTGGATCTGTTGGGGCGGTATGCGAATTTGAGTGGGTCCAGGGTGTCTGGGATGATGGTGTTGATGTGAGCCATGACCACTGATCAGCCTTTCAAAGCATTTCATGGCTACAGATGTGAGTGCTACGGGGCGATAGTCATTTAGACAGGTTACCTTCTTGGGCACAGGGACTATGGTGGTCTGCTACAGACTGGGTCAGGGAGAGGTTGAAAATGTCAGTGAAGACACTTGCCAGCTGGTCAGCGCATGCTCCGAGTACAGTTGATGTCGGAAGTTTACATACACTTAGGTTGGAGTCATTAAAACTTTGTTTTTCAACCATTTCACAAATTTATTGTTAACAAACTATAGTAGATGTCGGTTAGGACTTCTACTTAGTGCACGACACAAGTCATTTTTCTAACAATTGTTTACAAATAGATTATTTCACTTATAATTCACTGTATCACAATTCCAGTGGGTCAGAAGTTTACATACACTAAGTTGACTGTGCCTTTAAACAGCTTGGAAAATTCCAGAAAATGATGTCATGGCTTTAGAACCTTCTGATAGGCTAATTGACATCATTTGAGTCAATTGGAGGTGTACCTGTGGATGTATGTCAAGGCCTACCTTCAAACTCAGTGCCTCTTTGCTTGACATCATGGGAAAATCAAAAGAAATAAGCCAAGACCTCAGAAAAAAATTGTAGACCTCCACAAGTCTGGTTCATCCTTGGGAGCAATTTCCACACGCCTGAAGGTACCACGTTCATCTGTACAAACAATAGTACGCAAGTATAAACACCATGGGACCACGCAGCCGTCATACCGCTCAGGAAGGAGACGCGTTCGGTCTCCTAGAGATGAATGTACTTTGGTACAAAAAGTGCGAATCAATCCCAGAACAACAGCAAAGGACCTTGTGAAGATGCCGGAGGAAACGGGTACAAAAGTATCTATATCACAGTAAAATGAGTCCTATATCGACATAACCTGAAAGGCAGCTCAGCAAGGAAGAAGCCACTGCTCCAAAACTGCCATAAAAAAGCCAGACTACGGTTTGCAACTGCACATGGGGAAAAATATTGTACTTTTTGGAGAAACGTCCTCTGGTCTAATGAAACAAAAATAAAACTGTTTGGCCATAATGACCATCGTTATATTTGGAGGAAAAAGGGGGTTGCTTGCAAGCCGAAGAACACCATCCCAACCGTGAAGCACGGGGGTGGCAGCATCATGCTGTGGGGGTGCTTTGCTGCAGTAGGGACTGGTGCACTTCACAAAATAGATGGCATCATGAGGAAGGAAAATTATGTGGATATATTGAAGCAACATCTCAAGACATCAGTCAGGAAGTTAAAGCTTGGTCTCAAATGGGTCTTCCAAATGGACAATGACCCCAAGCATACTTCCAAAGTTGTGGCAAAATGGCTTAAGGACAACAAAGTCAAGGTATTGGAGTGGCCATCACAAAGCCCTGACCTCAATCCTATAGAAAATGTGTGGGCAGAACTGAAAATCGTGTGCGAGCAAGGTGGCCTACAAACTTGACTCAGTTACACCAGCTCTGTCAGGAGGAATGGGCCAAAATTCTCCCAACTTATTGTGGGAAACTTGTGGAAGGCTACCCGACACGGTTGACCCAAGTTAAACAATTTAAAGGCAATGCTACTGAATACTAATTGAGTGTATGTAAACTTATGACCCACTGGGAATGTGATGAAAGAAATAAAAGCTGAAATAAATAATTCTCTCTACTATTATTCGGATATTTCACATTCTTAAAATAAATTGGTGATCCTAACTGACCTAAGACAGGGAATTTCTACTAGGATTAAATGTCAGGAATTGAGAAAAACTGAGTTTAAATGTATTTGGCTAAGGTGTATGTATACTTCCGACTTCAACTGTTTGTGTCCTGGAAATCCGGCCTTGTGAATGTTAAAGTGTTTAAAGGTCTTACTAACATCTGCTATGGAGCCATGACCCATTAGTCAGTGTGTATAACATTTCATTCAACCTTCAACCCAAAAAACAAAGTTACAAAACCAGCCAAATACAGTACTCACCTCCGGCCCCAGGGGGCACTGTGTCCTTGAACATCTCGTAGAACTGGCTGAGGTACATGACCATGGAGAGCTTGTCAGGCTCTGACACCTGGGACATCTCCTTGCCCGTCATGCAAGGCGAGATGCCAAACTCCCTCTCGGCCACGTCAAAGCCCAGCTGATTGTTCTTCTGCTGGTCCCGCTCGTCCAGGGAGTCAAAGTCACTGTGGGGCAGAGAGAGTCAGGAAAATACCTGGAGTCAAAATGGGAGTCAACACAACCATTAGCACTGTGAATATAAACATCACTTGACTTCCCCCAATAAACATGACAAACACACTAAGCAGGTTCAAATGGAGTGGATGCTGAGGTTGTATAATCTTTATACACAGAGTGTACAAAACGTTAGGAACAGCTGCTCTTTCCATGACATAGGTTTCTCCTGGTCAGTCTATGATCCCTTATTAAATCCACTTCATTCAGTGTAGATGAAGGTGTTGCAGCATTAGCGATGGGAAGTGGGAACCAATCACAGCTGTGTGAGTGATTGTGAGTGCATATTTCCCATCCATGCAGCCCCCTATCATCCTCACACAATCATCTGGACTATGAAAGCCAGCAGAGCAGAGAACAACCACTTGGGTAAGGTCAGTCAGAAGATAAATGAGCTATAATGCTAATCGCTGTGTAGCCAGCAGAAGGTAACGACCCCATCTCTCCCCTCGTTAGGCAATGTGTCAGTCTCTGCTGTGTGTGTGTGTGTGTGTGTGTGTGTGTGTGTGTACACCCTTTTCCCTGACTCAACAGGCAGCTTGACTATGAGCTGTCACATCATTTAGTATGATATACAGTCCTGAACCAAGGCCTGGTGATAAATAACACAAGCTACTAATAAACAAAGTCGTAAACACAGCAAACCATGACAGTTTTAACCCTTTCCTGTTATCCCGTATACGTGCTAAAATTGGCAGATTTTGTCAGTGATAAGCGCCTAAATTGGAACGCAGTGGCTGTACAGTAAAATAATATAAATGACGTCAGAGCTAAGGTTCTCCTCTTCACAACCCTGTCTAGGTTTTGACTGACTGACGTTATAAACTTGAGCACTGCGCGTGACAAGAAGATGCCCCCATCCCTCCAGCTAATTGGGCTACTTTGGCACATTTGTTATTGTCTGAGTGGGGGAAATGCTGTACATTCAGTGGAGTCTACAGTGCCTTGCAAAAGTATTCATCCCCCTTGGCGTTTTTCTTATTTTGTTGCATTACAACCTGTAATTTAAATGGATTTTATTTTAATTTCATGTAATGGACATACACAAAAGGGTCCTTTATAGCTCAATTGGTAGAGCATGGCGCTTGTAACACCAGGGTAGTGGGTTCGATCCCCGGGACCACCCATACGTAAAAATGTATGCACGCATGACTGTAAGTCGCTTTGGATAAAAGTGTCTGCTAAATGGCATATTATTATTATTATTACAAAAGTTACACCAATAGTCCAAATTGGTGAAGTGTAATGAAAAAATAACTTATTTCATAAAAGTCAAAGAAAGAAATATCTGAAAAGTGGTGTGTGCATATGTATTCACCCCCTTTGCTATGAAGCCCCTAAATAAGATCTGGGCAAACAATTACCTTCAGAAGTCACATAATTAGTTAAATAAAGTCCACCTGTGTGCAATCTAAGTGTCAGCTGATCTCAGCATATGTACACCTGTTCTGAAAGGCCCCAGAGTCTGCAACACCACTAAGCAAGGGGCACCACCATGCAAGCAGCACCATGAAGACCAAGGGGCTCTCCAAACAGGTCAGGGACAAAGTTGTGTAGAAGTACAGATCTGGGTTGGGTTATAAAAAAATATCCGAAACTTTGAACATCCCACGGAGCACCATTAAATACATTATAAAAAAATGGAAAGAATATGGCACCACAACAAACCTGCCAAGAGAGGGCCGCCCACCCAAACTCACGGACCAGGCAAGGAGGGCATTAATCAGAGGCAACAAAGAGACCAAAGATAACCCTGAAGGAGCTGCAAAGCTCCACAGTGGAGAATGGACTATCTGTCCATAGGACCACTTTAAGCCGTACACTCCACAGAGCTGGGCTTTACGGAAGAGTGGCCAGAAAAAAGCCATTGCTTAAAGAAAAAAAAAAAAAAAACACGTTTGGTGTTCGCCAAAAGGCATGTGGGAGACTCCCCAAACATATAGAAGATACTCTGGTCAGAAGAGACTAAATTGAGCTTTTTGGTCATTAAGGAAAACGCTATGTCTGGCGCAAACCCAACACCTCTCATCACCCCGAGAACACCATCCCCACAGTGAAGCATGGTGGTGGCAGCATCATGATGTGGGGATGTTTTTCATCGACAGGGACTGGGAAACTGGTCAGAATTGACGGAATGATGGATGGAGCTAAATACAGGGAAATTCTTGAGGGAAACCTGTTTGTCTTCCAGAGATTTGAGACTAGGACAGAGGTTCACCTTCCAGCAGGACAATGACCCTAAGCATACTGCTAAAGCAACACTCGAGTGGTTTAAGGGGAAACATTTAAATGTCTTGGAATGGCCTAGTCAAAGTCCAGACCTCAATCCAATTGAGAATCTGTGGTATGACTTAAAGATTGCTGTACACCAGCGGAACCCATCCAACTTGAAGAACCTGGAGCAGTTTTGCCTTGAAGAATGGGCAACAATCCCAGTGGCTAGATGTGCCAAGCTTATAGAGACATACCCCAAGAGACTTGCAGCGGTAATTGCTGCAAAAGATGGATCTACAAAGTATTGACTTTGGGGGGGTGAATAGTTATGCACGCTGAAGTTCAGTTTTTTTGTCTTGTTTCTTGTTTGTTACACCACAAAAAATATTTTGCATCTTCAAAGTGGTAGGCATGTTGAGTAAATCAAATGTTACAAACTGCCAAAAAAAACAGGTTGTAAGGCAACAAAATAGGAAAAATACCAAGGGGGGGTGAATACTTTCGCAAGCAACTGTATGTGTTCTGAAAGATGAGACAATGAGGATTATAATAAATACCGCTTTGATGTCATACAAGCAAACCAAACACAAATGAGTCAAAATGTGCACTTCACATTTCCATATTTTAAAACTCATGTCAAATCAAATCAAAATGTATTTGCCACATGCGCCGAATACAGCAGGTGTAGACATTACTGTGAAATGCTTACTTACAAGCCCTTAACCAACAATACCGTTTATTAAAAGAAAAATTTAAAATAGATTGTTAATGTTAATTAAAGAAAAATACAAAATAAAGGCAAATAGCTAAAGAGCAGCAGTAAAATAAAATAACAGTAGGGAGACTATATACAGGGGGTACCGGTACAGAGTCAATGTGCGGGGGCACCGGCTAGTCGAGGTAATTGAGGTCATATGTACATGTGGGTAGAGTTAACGTGACTATGCATAAATAGTAAACAGAGTAGCAGCAGCATAAAAGAGGGGGATGGGGTGGGGGGCAGTGCAAATAGTCTGGGTAGCCATGATTAGCTGTTCAGGAGTCTTATGGCTTGGGGGAAGAAGCTGTTGAGAAGCCTTTTGGACCTAGACTTGGCGCTCCGGTACCACTTGCCGTGCGGTAGCAGAGAGAGCAGTCTATAACTAGGGTGGGTTGAGTCTTTGACAATTTGTAGGGCCTTCCTCTGACACCGCCTGGTATAGAGGTCCTGTATGGCAGGAAGCTTGGCCCCAGTGATGTACTGGGATGTACGCATTACCCTCTGTAGTGCCTTGCGGTCAGAGGCCGAGCAGTTGCCATACCAGGCGGTGATGCAGCTGTAGAACTTTTTGAGGATCTGAGGACCCATGCCAAATCTTTTCAGTCTCCTGAGGGGGAATAGGTTTTGTCGTGCCCTCTTCACGACGGTCTTAGTGTGTTTGGACCATGATCGTTTGTTGGTGATGTGGACACCAAGGAACCTGAAGCTCTCACTGTTCAAATAAACCTACCATTAAAATTATAGACTGATCATGTCTTTGTCAGTGGACAAACGTACAAAATCAGCAGGGGATCAAATACTTTTTTCCCCTCACTGTAGGTGTTCCTCTTGTCCAGATGGGAAAGGGCAGTGTGGAGTGCAATAGAGATGGCATCATCTGTGGATCTGTTGGAGCGGTATGCAAATTGGAGTGGGTCTAGGGTTTCGGGATAATGGTGTTGATGTGAGCCATGACCAGCCTTTCAAAGCACTTCATGGCTACAGACATGAGTGCTACAGGTCGGTAGTCATTTAGGCAGGTTATCTTAGTGTCCTTGTGCACAGGGACTATGCTGGTCTGCTTGAAACATGTTGGTATTACAGACTCAGTCAGGGACATGTTGAAAATGTCAGTGAAGACACTCGCCAGTTGGTCAGCACATGCTCGGAGTACACGTCCTGGTAATCCGTCTGGCCCTGCGGCCTTGTGAATGTTGACCTGCTTAAAAGTCTTACTCACATCGGCTATGGAGAGCGTGATCACATAGTCATGCGGAACAGCTGGTGCTCTCATGCATGCTTCAGTGTTGCTTGCCTCGAAGCGAGCATAGAAGTGATTTAGCTCGTCTGGTAGGCTTGTGTCACTGGGAAGTACATTTAAAATGCTGATAGAAATTAGGTAGAACGGATTTAAGTTTCCCTGCATTAAAGTCCCCGGCTGCCTCTGGATGAGCGTTTTCCTGTTTGCTTATGGCCTTATACAGCTCATTGAGTGCAATCTTAGTGCCAGAATCGGTTTGTGGTGGTAGATAGACAGCTACAATAAATATAGATAAACTCTCTTGGTAAATAGTGTGGTCTACAGCTTATCATGAGATACTCTACCTCAGGCGAGAAAAACCTTGAGACTTCCTTAGTATTAGATTTTGTGCACCAGCTGTTGTTTATAAATATAAACAGACTGCCACCCCTTGTCTTACCGGAGTCAACCGTTCTATCATGCTGATGTAGCGTATAGACCGCTAGATGTATGTTATCCATGTTGTCGTTCAGCCACGACTCAGTGAAACATAAGATGTTACAGTTTTTAATGTCCCATTGGTAGGATAACCTTAGTCTTAGGTCATCCAATTTGTTTTCAAATGATTGAACATTGGCTAATAGAATTGATGGAAGAGGTAGTTTACTCGCTTTATTTACATTATGTACACAATAAATTACAAATAACGTGAAAAAACACACATAATAGTACAATTGGTTAGAGGGCTGTAAAACGGCAGCCATCTTCTCCGGCGCCATTGAACTATCAGTATTTACATTATCAACATTTATAATCACTATGTTTGATCCACAGTTACAAGGTTGACATGCGTTATACCCTGGGTTGTCCTTTACAGAATGTTTGTCGTATTGTGAAGAAGATTAGACGAGGAACACGCACTTGAATGCACTCATGACTCCATTCTATGCGCACCAAAATTACAATCTGTTTGTCTGAAGAGCCTAACACTGTAAGATCGTATTTTATAACTTAGCTAGCCATGTTGGCAATATAATAAGCTTTCAAATAATGCCCACCTGACCCAGATTGTGATTTATAATGGAATGTTTTTGGATTGTGTAAACAACAGTAATTGTGGGATGGTGTTGTTTACACAGGGCTGTGTTCCAAACAAAAAACTACAAGAGTGCTTGCTTCAGTTCCTCAATGGCAAAGCTAGGAGAGCAAAAAATTATCATAATTAACCTTACAGTTGAAGGCTCTTTCCTTGAGTGCATTGAAATGACTTAGGAACTGTACACAGTTTGGAGAGGTGTGGCGCCACTTGGAGACACCAGTTAGACCTCTCACTCAAACCCTTGTAATCGTTTTTTATATCTTGCACCTACTCCAAAATCAATGAATATTCTTACGTTACTGAATGTGTCCAGAGTATTTTCAGATTTCGCTATTGACAAATGCTGTAAAAGGACAGTAAATGTAAAATGCACATAAAATCAACAGTGTAATGGTTTGGATTCAGTCTTGTGTCAGGTGAACTGTTGTGCCCTAACCTTTGGTCTAATAATTACCCCATAATCTCCAAAGTGTTCTCTTTCAATTGCTACCATAGTCATGCATATACTTTTTATAGTTCTTCAATTTGTCCCTATCCATATAGGCACATTTCCATGAGTCTAAGGGGTTAACCCCTTCATCACTGACAGTAAGGGACATAAGGGACATGATAATGAGAGTATGTAAGGACCAGATGAAGATCCACTGTAATCAATGGTATGTGATGGAGCAATCGTGTTTGCAGGTCCTACTTCATTCCTATGCTTATGATAGTATAGTTCCACTGTAAGCATTTCTACAGGCAAAATAGGGTCAGAAATACAACATCCAGATATGTATATGTGACTCACATGAGGTCAGGTCTGTAACGGTGGATGAGGGCACACAGGGCCATGCCACTCTTCCAGGACATGGTGAGATCGGTCACACTGACTTTTCTGTAGCCCTCCGTCTGCCTCTGACACCAGTTTAGCAGCTTGCTGGAGCGAGCTATGGATTCTGGGAGGGGAAGAGCACATAGTCAGTGAATAGTGGATTTTTAGACCAGTTTTGGTTTTGTCACTGTCAGACTATCCTACATTTTATTGTCAAGTCATAGAGGTGAAGGAAAAGCCTATGAGAGGTAGGGGAATGTCACACTCCCAGAAACATTTCAAATAGTTAGAAATGACCTTTTTAACCTTATGGACGATGCCAGTGACATTCCACCATCCCATTAATGACCAGGTTAGTGAAAATAAATCATATAAAATGAGTCCATCCACATAGCACCATTCCCAAGTCACACATGATGGTCATTGTCAGTTGCTTGTTTCTACGGTTAAGGACTATTAGGAAGGAACCTTCAGATAAACACCATGCATTTGGACTTCAGTCATTCATGATGTTACCTTGCAGTGCAGCTTACCGATCACTGCACCTGTACACAGCCCATCTGTAATTAGCCCACCCAACTACCTCATCTCCATATTGTTATTTACATTGTTATATATTTTGCTCATTTGCACCCCAGTATCTCTATTTGCACATCATCTTCTGCACATCTATCACTCCAGTGTTAACACTAAATTATAATTTTAATTATTTTGCACTATGGCCTATTTATTGCCTTACCTCCATAACTTACTACATTTGCACACACTGTATATAGATTTTCTATTGTGTTATTGACTGTACGTTTTGTTTATTCCATATGTAACTCTGTGTTGTTGTTGTTTTTTCCGCACTGCTTTGCTTTATCTTGGCCAGGTCGCAGTTGTAAATGAGAACTTGTTCTCAACTGGCTTACCTGGTTAAATAAAGGTGAAAAAATAAATAAAATAAATGCTTCTCAAGCAGGTAATGGTCTAGGGTGAAAGCAATTCATTGTTACATTTCGGTGATTTTAATAAAGACCAGGTCCCAAAAACAAGACTCTTTAAAAAGCAGACATTCATGAAAATTGTATAAAATGAACTTAACTAAATAACTGAATACATTTGCTCAGAAAAAAATATTATAACTTAATTAATCAGGGGACACATGAATACAAGAACATTCATGTAAACACTACTCACCATTTCGGGTGAGCTTGGGTGTTGACGAGTTGACTACATTCTCCATTTCGATAAGCATTTCCCTGCTTGAATCCCCTGTGTCAATGAGGTGTCGTACCTGACAACAACAGAGTGGGGGGGGGAACCAACATAACATTAGCATTTCACATAGGACATCTTCCATAGGTCAAAGCTAGGGCCAGGAGTTTTTACCTGGTCACGTATCTGAACCGGAAAAAACTCTGGTTCTTAGTTATAGCCTAGGCCAGAGTATCACTGGTCAGGTCAGGTGGTCAGGACAAACTCCTGGCCCACCTCAAATGGGATATCATGCACAGATAGCTTAGTCGTTAAGAGCGTTGTGCCAGTAACCGAAAGGTCGCTGGTTCTAATCCCCGAGCCGACTAGGTGAAAAATCTGTCGATGTGCCCTTGAGCAAGGCACTTAACCCAAATTGCTCCTGTAAGTTGCTCTGGATAAGAGCGTCTGCTAAATGACTAAAAAATAAATAAGAACAAAAAATATATATATATATGGGTACTGTAGTACACCATGCTCCAATCACAGTCATACAGTCATATGTTCTCAGTGTGTACACTACCTGGTTGGGCCTAAGGAAGTGGAGGCTAATATTAGGGTAGCGCGTGGTGGGGTCCACACTGTAGTGACTGAAATTCTTATTGATGTTCTCTGGCGTTGTCTGAGGCAGCAAGCGATATATGCTCTCCCTAAAAAAAAGAGGAGGAAACCATGGTAACTGAATTATAGAAGGCACATGAGAGAAGAACAGAGGATTCAACACATTCCATTCAGAGCTCCAGAGGCACTTATCCTATTAGTTGTACATTAATAGAGAAGGGGCTGACACTGGAGCCTAATGCAGACGCTTTTCCTGGTAGAGCACTCAGAGATAACGGCGTGTGAGTGAGATTATATATCTATCTATCTATCTATCTATCTATCTATCTATCTATCTATATATATATATATATATATATATATATATATATATATATATATATATATACACACACACACACACACACACACAGTGGGGAGAACAAGTATTTGATACACTGCCGATTTTGCAGGTTTTCCTACTTACAAAGCATGTAGAGGTCTGTAATTTTTATCATAGGTACACTTCAACTGTGAGAGACGGAATCTAAAACAAAAATCCAGAAAATCACACTGTATGATTTTTAAGTAATGAATTTGCATTTTATTGCATGACATAAGTATTTGATCACGTACCAACCAGTAAGAATTCCAGCTCTCACAGACCTGTTAGTTTTTCTTTAAGAAGCCCTCCTGTTCTCCACTCATTACCTGTATTAACTGCAACTGTTTGAACTCGTTACCTGTATAAAAGACACCTGTCCACACACTCAATCAAACAGACTCCAACCTCTCCACAATGGCCAAGACCAGAGAGCTGTGTAAGGACATCAGTGATAAAATTGTAGACCTGCACAAGGCTGGGATGGGCTACAGGACAATAGGCAAGCAGCTTGGTGAGAAGGTATCAACTGTTGGCGCAATTATTAGAAAATGGAAGAAGTTCAAGATGACGGTCAATCACCCTCAGTCTGGGGCTCCATGCAAGATCTCACCTTGTGGGGCATCAATGATCATGAGGAAGGTGAGGGATCAGCCCAGAAATACACGTCAGGACCTGGTCAATGACCTGAAGAGAGCTGGGACCACAGTCTCAAAGAAAACCATTAGTAACACACTACGCCGTCATGGATTAAAATCCTGCAGCGCACGCAAGGTCCCCCTGCTCAAGCCAGCGCATGTCCAGGCCCGTCTGAAGTTTGCCAATGACCATCTGGATGATCCAGAGGAGGAATGGGAGAAGGTCATGTGGTCTGATGAGACAAAAATAGAGCTTTTTGGTCTAAACTCCACTCGCCGTGTTTGGAGGAAGAAGAAGGATGAGTACAACCCCAAGAACACCATCCCAACCGTGAAGCATGGAAGTGGAAACATCATTCTTTGGGGATGCTTTTCTGCAAAGGGGACAGGACGACTGCACCGTATTGAGGGGAGGATGGATGGGGCCATGTATCGCGAGATCTTGGCCAATAACCTCCTTCCCTCAGTAAGGGCATTGAAGATGGGTCGTGGCTGGGTCTTCCAGCATGACAACGACCTGAAACACACAGCCAGGGCAACTAAGGAGTGGCTCCGTAAGAAGCATCTCAAGGTCCTGGAGTGGCCTAGCCAGTCTCCAGACCTGAACCCAATAGAAAATCTTTGGAGGGAGCTGAAAGTCCGTATTGCCCAGCGACAGCCCCGAAACCTGAAGGATCTGGAGAAGGTCTGTTTGGAGGAGTGGGCCAAAATCCCTGCTGCAGTGTGTGCAAACCTGGTCAAGACTTACAGGAAACGTATGATCTCTGTAATTGCAAACAAAGGTTTCTGTACCAAATATTAAGTTCTGCTTTTCTGATGTATCAAATACTTATATCACGCAATAAAATGCAAATTAATAACTTAAAAATCATACAATGTGATTTTCTGGATTTTTGTTTTAGATTCCGTCTCTCACAGTTGAAGTGTACCTATGATAAAAATTACAGACCTCTACATGCTTTGTAAGCAGGAAAACCTGCAAAATCGGCAGTGTATCAAATACTTGTTCTCCCCACTGTATGTATATATACAGTGGGGAGAACAAGTATTTGATACACTGCTGATTTTGCAGGTTTTCCTACTTACAAAGCATGTAGAGGTCTGTAATTTTTATCATAGGTACACTTCAACTGCGAGAGACGGAATCTAAAACAAAAATCCAGAAAATCACATCGTATGATTTTTAAGTAATTAATTTTCATTTTATTACATGACATAAGTATTTGATACATCAGAAAAGCAGAACTTAATATTTGGTACAGAAACCTTTGTTTGCAATTACAGAGATCATACGTTTCCTGTAGGTCTTGACCAGGTTTGCACACACTGCAGCAGGGATTTTGGCCCACTCCTCCATACAGATCTTCTCCAGATCCTTCAGGTTTCGGGGCTGTCGCTGGGCAATATGGACTTTCAGTTCCCTCCAAAGATTTTCTATTTGGTTCAGGTCTGGAGACTGGCTAGGCCACTCCAGGACCTTGAGATGCTTCTTATGGAGCCACTCCTTAGTTGCCCTGGCTGTGTGTTTCGGGTCGTTGTCATGCTGGAAGACCCAGCCACGACCCATCTTCAATGCTCTTACTGAGGGAAGGAGGTTGTTGGCCAAGATCTCACGATACATGGCCCCATCCATCCTCCCCTCAATACGGTGCAGTCGTCCTGTCCCCTTTGCAGAAAAGCATCCCCAAAGAATGATGTTTCCACCTCCATGCTTCACGGTTGGGATGGTGTTCTTGGGGTTGTACTCATCCTTCTTCTTCCTCCAAACACGGCGAGTGGAGTTTAGACCAAAAAGCTCTATTTTTGTCTCATCAGACCACATGACCTTCTCCCATTCCTCCTCTGGATCATCCAGATGGTCATTGGCAAACTTCAGACGGGCCTGGACATGTGCTGGCTTGAGCAGGGGGACCTTGCGTGCGCTGCAGGATTTTAATCCATGACGGCGTAGTGTGTTACTAATGGTTTTCTTTGAGACTGTAGTCCCAGCTCTCTTCAGGTCATTGACCAGGTCCTGCCGTGTAGTTCTGGGCTGATCCCTCATCTTCCTCATGATCATTGATGCCCCACGAGGTGAGATCTTGCATGGAGCCCCAGACCGAGGGTGATTGACCGTCATCTTGAACTTCTTCCATTTTCTAATAATTGCGCCAACAGTTGTTGCCTTCTCACCAAGCTGCTTGCCTATTGTCCTGTAGCCCATCCCAGCCTTGTGCAGGTCTACAATGTTATCCCTGATGTCCTTACACAGCTCTCAGGTCTTGGCCATTGTGGAGAGGTTGGAGTCTGTTTGATTGAGTGTGTGGACAGGTGTCTTTTATACAGGTAACGAGTTCAAACAGGTGCAGTTAATACAGGTAATGAGTGGAGAACAGGAGGGCTTCTTAAAGAAAAACTAACCAGGTCTGTGAGAGTCGGAATTCTAACTGGTTGGTAGGTGATCAAATACTTATGTCATGCAATAAAATGCAAATGAATTACTTAAAATCATACAATGTGATTTTCTGGATTTTTGTTTTAGATTCCGTCTCTCACAGTTGAAGTGTACCTATGATAAAAATTACAGACCTCTACATGCTTTGTAAGTAGGAAAACCTGCAAAATCGGCAGTGTATCAAATACTTGTTCTCCCCACTGTATATATATATATATAATATATATAGATATATATATATATATATATATATATTAGATATATATATGAGAGATAGAGAGAACTCAAGAGATAACGGAGTGTGTGTGAGTGAGATTTCATACAATACATACCATACATACATAATAACATACCATACATTTACATACATATACATACATACAACAGTACATGACATACATACATACATACATACATACATACATACATACATACATACATACATACATACATACATACATACATACATACATACATACATACATACATAACATACATACATACATACTACATACATACATACATACATACATACATACATACATACATATACATACATACATACATACATACATACATACATACATACATACATACATACATACATACATACATAACATACATACATACATACATACATACATACATACATACATACATACATACATACATACATACATACATACATACATATATATATATATATATATATATATACACACACACACATAGAGCGGGGGGGGGGGGGGGGGGGGAGAGCGCAAGGCAGAGAGAGAGAGGCATTATTTGAAAGGTCATTATATTGCCAACATGGCTAGCTAAGTTATAAAATACGATCTTACAGTGTTAGGCTTTCAAAAGTATGTGTGTGTGTGTGTGTGCGCGCGCATGTATGCGACTGTGAGCATGTGGATTGTGTGTGTACAGTATGTGTGTGCGTGCAAGTATGACGTGGGAGTATAATGTGTGTGTTATGACGTGTCCACTCCCTCACCTCTCAGCCAGCACGTCCAGAGATGTGTTTCCCTGCGCCCAGCTCTTCACCATCCAGCCTGAGTCCATGGCTGCCAGGAAACCCCGGGCTATACCAGTGCCCATGGGCCAGAAGGGCTGGAGAGAGGGACAAATACAGTAACATAGTGAACTCCAAGAAAGCATACAGAGAATAATAAAAAAATCTCTCTCTCTCTCTCTATATATATATATATATATTACGTTTTATATATAAAATTGTCTGTTTCAAGCAAGCAAACGTCAACACTTAAATCACCCTCTAAATTCACTTACATTTCTCCCACACTCTTGCTCACGCTGATTTTCACTCCCTTTCTTATTTATATAAAATGAGCCAGTCAGACACTATCTTATCCATAGTGACTGAGAGTATACCTTCTAAGTGAGACTGAAACACCCTCCACCCAGTAGCCCCTCTCACCTCCAGTAGACTGTCCCCCACCAGAGACACCAGTAGCTGGCGTCCGTTGCGTTGGCGCACCAGCGCCGCGTTCTCCGAGGCGTACATGCAGGTGAAGTCGAACATGGCCACGTCGGGCTGGCCGTAGTGGTTAATGGCAAAGTCCAGCGTGGGCAGCTGGTGGTTGGTGGAGAAGTCTGCGGCCTCGCGGGCGTAAGATAGCAGGGCTGCCTGGTCCACGTTAGCCCTGGACAGCAGCCTCTCTGTGTCTGCATAATCCTGGAGGAGAGACAGGGAGAGACATAAAGAAGTTAGATGGCTCAGATGACTAGAGGGAGGGAGAGACACTGATAAGAGACTGTGTGGAAAATAGGCTGTCACGCACAGAGAATGGGGCATGACATCCATGCAGTGGAATTTAGAAAAGGATATATTTTCCACAGAGGTTAACCTGCACCACCAAAGCAGAACTTTGAAATCCAAATCAAGTCAATAACATTCTAAAGTTATATTGAATTGAATAAATATCCTCTACTGGATCTGTGTCCCTTTACCGGGACGGTTGCTGCTCAATATGCGATATGTGACTAGAATGGTTGTAAACAACGCCAACTTTCCGGGACATACACATCTTATATGTGCAGAAAGCTTAAATTCTTGTTAATCTAACTGCACTGTCCAATTTACAGTAGCTATTACAGCAAAAAAATACTATGCTATTGTTTGAGGATAGTGCACAACAACAAAAAACTTTTGTCACGGCAACTGGTTTGATACATTCACCTCTGAAGGTAAAACATGTACTTACATTCAGTAATCTTGCTCTGATTTGTCATCCTGAGGGTCCCAGAGATAAAATGTAGCATAGTTTTGTTTGATAAAATACATTTTTATATTCAAATGTAGGAACTGGGTTCTACGGTTTGATGCCCTGCTGTCTCTGAAGGTAAAAAATGTACTTACATTCAGTAATCTTGCTCTGATTTGTCAACCTGAGGGTCCCAGAGATAAAATGTAGCATAGTTTTGTTTGATAAAATACATTTTTATATTCAAATGTAGGAACTGGGTTCTACGGTTTGACGCCCTGCTGTCTCCAACTCCTGGAAGACTTGATACAAAATATTGTCTAGTAATGTAATTATTCCTTTAAATAAAAGGGTACGATCCTTAAGAGGTTATTAAAGGCCCATTTAAAATGTCTACAAAAACAAGTATTTTAATTCCCAATATAAAAATCTAAACACCCCCATAGTATATTATACTTTACTGTCTCTGATACGTAGCATCAAATGAAGGCATGCTTTAAGAGGCACATTATTTTCCATTGACTTTCCCTGGCTAGGCTGGGCCGGCAGTGGCAGGCTGGCTGACTGGTGAGCTGGATGGGTGGAGGAGAGGTGGAGGGTGGAGCATTTGGAGGATCTAAGAGTGACTTTCTTTTATTCATGGTACTGGTTGGAACAGTGTGGACCCGACCCACCGCTCCCCTGCCTGCCTGCCAACCACCTCTTTCCCAGGGGCAGGACGGAGCACTGAAAAGGGGCTATGGAGTGATTTCCATTTATATAAAAAGGACCTTGCCTGGAAGTAAGTCGTCTTCTAGGAAACGTATCTATGGGCTAGTATACATACCGGTACATCAATCCACTGAAAACTCACTGGCTTGTTATGGGCCTAATCATAGAATTACATATAGAATTCAATAGGATCTCTGTGGGCCTAGCCGTAAAGATTTGTCAATTAACTTTTAAAAAGTATTACCTTTTATTGTGGCATAAACACAACCAGTCATGATGTTTTCATCTGATTGTCAAACAATCACTTCAAAAGGTCTCCTTTACTAGGCTACCCACACATGTTCATCCACTGGCAACATATTTTCAGCCTTCAAACACAGTGGTGAATGGAAACAGAAATCTGTTGGAAACCAAAAAGTGTAATGACATTTGGCGATTGTCATTAGCCAGAATTTATGCGTCCACTGCTGTCCACGCGCGTCTCATCTTTTGCCGCGTTCAGGTGCTAGTCGAAATTCTGAAATTTCCGACATTCTAACTGGCTGTAGTTATACACGTGCCGTGTTCAACCAGTTTCTGAGTTTCCTAGTTCCGACTAACATGTGAACGAGGCATCTGCCTTGGCATTGTTCTCGTCAAACCACACGGCTATACAACCCGTTTACTACTCCATTCTCTCCTTCTTCATGCCTCTTACATGCGGTAAGTTCAGGTAGTCCCTCCCTGTTTCAGTCCATGTTCTTCCCTTTGGTGCCTAATGAATACAACCCAGCACTGGACCCACAGAGCCTGTTCAGCCCGTCAACCTCCTACTGTACTGGCCTGAAGACTGCTGATCAAAACTCACATTCGGTGCCAATCCAATTATCAAAAGGGTTACACTTCCCAATTACTGGAATGCCTTCATAACGAGAGCTTGATTGGGTTTGCAAAATATTACCAAACCCTTTATTCCCCTCCACAAGGCTTTCATCTCAAAGTGAGATGGAAATACAGTGGCAACTTTTATTGGAGCATGAAAGCTGAACTTCTAAAAGAGGTCCTAATGTCCTAAAAGCTTGCGACTGCCCACTCTAGTCAAAGGAAACAGCAGTGTTATGAAGTGAAGTGTGGGGACACAAACTCTCATTAAGTGTGGTTGAGCTGGCAGTTTGTTCCTGGCACAGTTTTGGCTTGGTCTGGCCATTAGGCAGGGACCAGGCACACAGAGATGTAAAGTGAGTGAGTGAATGAGTGAGTGATTGAGTGAGTGAGTGAGGGAAAGAGGGAGTGTGAACGTGTTTAACTATACCTGTGGGGAATAGACATCCCCAAAAGAATAGTAAACAAACAATAATTTGACCAACTGGGGACATTTTGTTGGTCCCCACAAGGTCAAATGCTATTTCTAGGGGGTTTAGGGTTAAGGTTAGAATTAGTGTTAAGGATTATAATTAGGTTTAGGGTTAGGGTTAGGTGCTAAGGTTAGTTTTAGTGTTAGGGAAAATAGGATTTTGAGTGGGACTGAATTGTGTCACCCTACAAGGTTAGTTGTACAAGACTGTGTGTGTGTGTGTGTGTGTGTGTGTGTGTGTGTGTGTGTGTGTGTGTGTGTGTGTGTGTGTGTGTGTGTGTACATGTACAGTATGTGTATGCATGCATGTGTACGAGAGAGACATCTCCAGACGTATCTCTCACCGTCTGCGATTGACCCTTTGATCACTCACATGCAGAATGACTCCCTTCTCCAGCAGGCTCTGTTTTTTGGCAGTCATGACAAAGTAGTGCGTGTCATCCTTGTAGTAGACAATGTTTTCCAGGTCAACTCCTATCAAATCAATAGAAAGAGAGTTTTGTTATTTACTTTTGGTAAACCAAATGTCTTTTCTATGGCTGCTCCATTGACAGTCTCTCTGGTTGTCTTCGCTAGAGGAATGGTGGACAATGAAACCCGAATACCCGACCCGGGACACGAGTGGGTCCGGCTCCAAAATTCTAACTTTTCCCTCCAGGTCCAGGTCGGGTCCTGTTTGATTGTCATCGGATCTCAGGTCTATGTAACTACAGCTGATAAACAAGTGGACCCGAATGGACCCGACCACGCCTCTGCATAGCCTATAGCATTTTTATTTTATGCTACAAAGGTGAATTTATTGACTTAAAGAAGGCCTAGCCAACATATAAAAACCTATTCGTTAACCAAACTGTTTATCAACCAACTTGGCTGATAAACAGTTTGTCACTCGGGTCCAATTGGGTCCGGTCTAGACCTAGGTCTGGTTGTCGTCGGGTCCTTGCGAGTTCAGGTCTGATTGCAAAACGTGAAAGCATTTAAATCGTTTAGGTCTGGTTGTCGTCGGGTCCGGGTTTGACTGTCTTCAGGTCTGGATCCAACTTTTTGGAGATCACACGACCAAGAAGACAAAACTTGCGGCAAATATAGACGGCGCCATCTCTGCACCGATCTCTCATGTTATGGCAAGGGATCAAACTGTTTAATTGACAAATGTGAACAGATTCAAGCTTCGTCTTTGCTTGTTTACATTTTCTCTAACCCATGGATAAACCATGCAGATAGGAACTGACAGGCTCTTAGAAAATGCATGGGCATAAAACGTCCTGTTCCTAGGTTTATCTATGTATGTATTAATCAGCTATTTACATTTCTAGCGTATCACCTAATCCATACACTCTTAATCTATAACAATCTGTAAAATGTTACTTAAAGCCTACAGTTATAATACTTAATAACTTGTTATAAGTACCTATGAGCCTTTATAATATCTTATAACGAGGGTTATTACATGTTGTCTCCCTATGGAGCAATAACTGACCCGTGGCTTCCCGGAGGTCCTGGAAGAACTTCTGATTGAAGATGAAGGCCACTCCGCTGATCTCCTCCACCTTGGCCTCGGCTGTGGTGTTCCTGTTGATGAAGTTGGCTGTGATGGCGATGGCTAGCTTGCCCCGGAACTCCTTCCTCCTGAACCCTGTAGGGGAGAGGAGAGAGGGAGGAAGGATGTGACACGTTAGGCTGGGGTCAAGGGTCATTATGCAGACAGTGAATGAGTCAGCATTCTTTGAGAGAACAAACCAGCCAGGTTAACAGTTGCCTTGTATTACAAACTCACGTTTGTAAAAGAGAAAAAAACAACAGGAGAAAAAAAGGTTGCGCCTGTTAGGCTTTGATGCACACTATCATTTTCAGACGATCAATATATCCGCAATAACTTTTTTATCGTCTCATGTAAAATTGCAGGCTGAGAACGAACATTGTTTGCAGTGACTACTGGCTAGGCCCGAGGGAAACTGCTTCCCCTTCCCTCTAGTGACCCTCTAAAGTGGTTTCAGCAGGCAGCAGTAGATAGGAGATGGTTCACAGCAGTCCACACACTACAGAGCTCCCAGAGTTGCTTGTGAGGGCTGTTAGCTCATACAGGAAAGCCAATTCACCAATTCCTGCTCCGCTCCAGAGAGAGGCCACGGAGGAGTGCTCTCTAAAGATGGATGGAGTGAAGAAGGTCACAACATGTGCACAACAAAGCAACAGGAAAAGTGGAGAGGGAGAGAGAGAGAAGGGATAGGGGGAGAAAGAGAAAGAGCGAGAGAGAAAAAGAGGGGTCGGACTCATAAACGAACCACAGCTGTGTTTTTGAGGGCTTCAGTTCTCATAGTGTTTTACACAACTAATTTTCGAACATCTGTTGCTTTGTTGCTTTTTACCTGCCAGCGTGTTTCTCCTCCCATCTGCCCCGATGACGACATCAAACTCCAACTCGTTGACTGGGTGTGTCCTGGGGAGGACCTCAGCCCTCCACCCTATCCCTGCAAAAACACAACACGGGAAAATACATAAGACGTGTAACTTTGTATTATTTAGCATACAATTTGACTTTCCTTCACTGACAACCATGGGGGATATTTTCCAATAGAGAGCTCTCAGTTAGCACTGTTGCATACAGTAACATATGGCCCTTCCTTATTTCCCTAATGTCTGGCTATAGAGAAGTCATGTCTTGTGACGGTCCTTAATGCAGTCATGTGACAGGGGTCTATAGAGGTCTTACTCTCGTTCTCCTGGTCCTCGGGGGGCTCGATGAGACCCTTGAACTCCACGTTGACGTGGATCTCAATGCCCAGTAGCAGGGCCACCTTAAGCAGCATCAGCTGGAGCTGACGGATACCTGCACAGAGAGTCAGACAGATTAGAGGAGAATATCAAGCAAGAAAAATGTATTAGCTTCAACAACCGAAAAGACTGCAATGTCACAGCTGAGCTATGGTCCTGGCAAGCACCAGAAGTCTTCTCTTAATAGATAACAATAGATCACAAAGCAAAACGTGAAAGCATTTAAACCGTTTTATAAAAGATAGAGAGTAGGAGATAGGAGTAGGCTAGTCTTTTCCACTTACTGATATGGTCGATGGCTCCGGCGCAGAACTTTCCATAGAACTTCTTTGCCCCGAGGCCTCTGAGGTCCTGGATGGTGAAGGGCCACAGGTGCAGCACGTTGTTCCTGGAGAAGGCATCCCTCTTCTCCAGCAGCACCACCTTGGCCCCCAGGAAGCCCAGCTCGATGGCCGTCCGCAGGCCACATGGTCCTGCCCCGATGATCAAACACTGTGGAGGGGTAAACATACTGTATCTCATATACAAGAGTTGGCTGATATTACAATATTAAGTTAAATTGCCGATATACTGTTTATCGCAAAATATAATTTAATCGCAATATATGGTTTATTCCAATATTTAACAAGGGAAAATAAACAACATGAAAATGTGGATATCGCCCTACCCTATTATATACAGAGCAATTTTCTCTGAGGTACTTTGAACAAGGATATGAGACAAATAAAGGCCAGGTTACATCATCACATACCTTAGAGTTGGTACATGCACGTCCCTTCTTGTACTCCTTCTGGCCGGCCCGCTTATCTAGCTTAGCCCAGAGTGCCTTGGCCTTCCAGTAGTTGAGCCTGGACTTGAGCTTGTGGTAGAAGACCCGGTACTCGCAGGGCTTGAGCTCTAGATGGTCACAGAGCTCCTGGAAGGCCTTGAGCGTGCCCTTACAGGTGGAGGCCTGGACGAAGCGGTCAAACAAGATGTGGGCCGGGTTCACCCTCTCCCCTGTGGTGGTGAAGCCTCCCAGGTCCCCCATGGTCCCCATGGACCCCCCCCCCCCAGTCGGAGGCCTCTGGGGGCCTCTGGTCAGGACCCAGCCCCTGGCTCTAGCACACACTCCGCTCAGGTGAAGCCTTTAGCTCCCTGCCTCAGGCATCCTCATTCTGTCAGGGAGAGAGAGGAGAAGCACGGTGAGTACTGAGATGAGAATGTCTGCATATTTCATAAGTTCATCATGACACATTACCGAGTTTGATTTGGAACTTCCTTGAATGATCTTCCTTAAAAAAACTTGTTAGAAAGACCTCTGGTTACAGTGTAGACCAGTGACGTGTAGTCAGTGCTTACCCTGTAATAATCTAATTAAAAAAGCTGTTATGAAAAGCCAAATCTAAAAATGCAATTATATAAAAATAAAAAAAATGGGTTATCTAATGTTTTTTTCTGAATGATTCTGGTGGCTGTTATGCTCAAAATCTCAACATTTTCTAAAACTGCATCAAAACATCAGGAATAGAAGGGTATTCATTACTTTCTTTCCATCCATTCGAATCCATTCAAATCCTTGACGTGCGCGGCCTTCCTGACTCCAGTCACTGTAATGGACAGGGTCAGCATAGGCATCGCTGCCTTGCCTAGCTTGAAGTAGCTTGATTTTATATTTTGTGCCTGCGTATTTCCTAAACATGTTGTGTGTTGGTAATGTCTGGGTAAGGTGTGCACAAGTTGACATGTCTACATAATTTGGTGCTCGCATCCCTAAACAAAGCTAGATTGCTAGCAAAAACAACTTGACATATGGACACTACTTCTATACTGCACCTCAAACAACTTTCCAAGTTGGAATAATCATGGAGGTTTCGAAGAGTGGAACGTCAACTATAATGAAAGTTATGACCAGACAAGGGCAGCATACAGCATGTGACTTTATTCATGACAGGCAAGGCAAGCACCATCGCGAACAGTGAGCACTGGACTGTCCACTTGTCGGAAACGTCAATACCAATTAAAACTTTTTACCCAGACTTTTACACATCTTGGACATTTACTTTGTGGACATAATGGGAATGGGGCTTCTCCGCCACTCAATGCGGGCCCAAGCCTTGGCTTCTACAAGATGGATGCGACTAACTACACTAACCATTTTACGTGCTGGCTGCCCTTCTGTGCGCATGCAGAATAAAATAATTGACATGGGGTTCTGCAGTGACTTCTACAACGCTGTCACCAAGAGGTTCGCCAGACGAATGCTTAATTTACAAGTAAAGGTAGGCCTAAATGCCTTTTTCTTTGTTAGCCTACTGTCTAATTATTAGAATAGACAATATCCCTTTGAATGAGGGAAGGACAGTACAAAGGTAGGCCTAAATGCATTTTACTTTGCAATTTGCGGGTTAGGCGGCTATTGTTGAATCATGAGAATAGACATCCCTTTGAATGCATTTGATGACACTTGACGTTTTGAGCTGCATTTTTCTGTAATTTCGATTGTTGATATGTGCATTTTGTTAGAACCTTATTTATTATATATGTGTGTGTAATAATATCTCACATAATATTATTATGTGTGTATGTGTGTTTGTGCGCATTGGAAGAATTGTAAATCCATTGTGAAAGGCTATGGAGTTTGCATTGCAAATTATTCAGATGAAATGTGTCCATATATTGGTCTTTAATGCCACACCTATCAGTTGTAACTGTGGATGCTACATCGGTGTCTGGTTGAGCTGAGTTGAGCAGTGTGTCATTTGGTCTCTTGTGTATCTCGGCTACATCGGTATTTACATTTGGTGAAAATGTTTGTACATTTCTGTTAATAGCCTATGTCACTCTGGTTGTTGGAGCTATCTGTTTTATGGTAAACTTGGGCTTCATCAAGGTTTATTTGTGAGTAAGTCTGGCTTTGATAATAGCCAGTGCTTACCCAGCCACAGACCTCACCACACGTTACTGGAGTAGCCTATACTTTATGTTGTTCTATTAACAGTCTTGAAGAAGTGATCCAACAGGATCTAATGGGATATCATGTCCACTGCATCAAAAACAGGAAATTCATAGAAGATAAGCCAAATAAGCTATAAATTCCAGAACATCAAGCACAACAAAATATCCATGTGCTAATTGTATATGCAATTCAATTTTATTTATGAATCCATATCGCATAAGGACCCCCACTTCCATGTTTCCACTCCCCCTAAATACCTCAGAGCTCCTTGAGAAGGCTGTCTGCACCTGCAGCTGTGGGTTCAGTCTTTGTGGGTTCACCTGCTGCTGGTGTAGACTAGCCACCTTGCCTTTCATCACAAGCATCAGTTGTGACTGCTGTGGTCAACTACAAGACTCTTTGACATAAATCCAATGTGTGTAAGGAGGTAGCCTACCTAGCCAGCCAACTAAAGACTGGTTACTTCAGGTCTTAGATATTTGCTGACTGTGTTTGCTGACTGGTAAGGGCTTCTGCAGCCACACAACCTTATCGTTATCTAGGAACGAGGCCACCGCCACTGGAGACAGGAAGTCCACTGAACAGACAGGCCAAGCAGGAAAAGAAACAGGGGCATGAGTGAGCACGGTACTCTCAGTAGTACACTCCAGACTCAGACTCTAGTCCAGCAGGAAGTCTTTCTTTCATCCCAAAACACTTTAATCCAAAAGTACAATCCCCATTCATTCAGGTTGTGGTGGTTTAATGGCATCAAGTCAGCAGCACTAGAACTACTACTGGCAAGGTCTCTTGTTTTAGGTTTTAGGTCTCAACAGCGTCAATATTCCCTGTTGTGTTCACCAGCTTAAACATGCAGTGTGGTTTGAAGTGTGTTCCAGCCCTTTCACCTCAGGGGAGAGTTCCCTCATGCTTTTTGGTGTCAAGTCTGGAATGTCTGTCCACTCTCTCCAAGACTGGATTAAAGCACAGAAGGTGCCCTTTACAAACAGCCATATGCCATATTTCATTATTTCAATGCCGTGCACAGATATGCAACGATGAAGAGAAAGCATGAGACAACGTAATCAGGTCAGCGGTGAATGACAGGCAACAGCCTCTGTACTGTAATGTACTGTGTTTGATCCAACCATTTTGCTGAGCAATGGGGATATTGTGATACGCCTGGTTTGCATAAATTCCCTGAAGCAACAGCGAAGAAAGCTGACGTCTCTGGGTATAAGTAGGAGCAGGGTTCACAATATGTTCACAGATAGTGCTTCAGTAGGCAGTAGGATGGATCCCATTTCAGAAGAATCTGACCACTGGACAACTAATACATTTCTCCTCTCCTGAATGGCAAATTGCATTGTGAAGGGCACAGTAAGAGTTTTATGTCTCAGTTCAAACTAATAGTCGACTATTATACAAGGTTGTGATAGTTGCGCATTAAGCGTGATACACACTTCACATAGGCCTACACTACAGTTCAAAAGTTTGGGGTCACTTATAAATGTCTTTGTTTTTGAAAGAAAAGCAATTTTTTTGTCCATTAAAATAACATCAAATTGATCAGAAATACAATGTAGATATTGTTAATGTTGGAAATGGCTATTGTAGCTGGAAATGGCTACTTTTTAATGGAATATCTACATGGGCATACAGAGGCCCATTATCAGCAACCATCAGTCCTGTGTTCCAATGGCACATTGTGTCTGCTAATCCAAGTTTATCATTTTAAAAGGCTAATTGATCATTAGAAAACCCTTTTGCAATTATGTTAGCACAGCTGAAAACTGTTGTACTGATTAAAGAAGCAATAAAACTGGCCTTCTTGAGACTAGTTGAGTATCTGGAGCATCAGAAATTGTGGATTCGATTACAGGCTCAAAATGGCCAGAAACAAATAACTTTCTTCTGAAACTCGTCAGTCTATTCTTGTTCTGAGAAATGAAGGCTATTCCATGCGAGAAATTGCCAAGAAACGGAAGATCTCGTACAACTCTGTGTACTACTCCCTTCACAGAACAGCGCAAACTGGTTCTAACCAGAATAGAAAGAGGAGTGGGAGGCCCCGGTGCACAACTGAGCAAGAGGACAAATACATGAGTGTATGGTTTGAGAAACAGACGCCTCACAGGTCCTCAACTGGCAGCTTCATTAAATAGTACCCGCAAAACACCAGTCTCAACGTCAACAGTGAAGAGGCGACTCCGGGATGCTGACCTTCTAGACAGAGTTGCAAAGAAAAAGCCATATCTCAGACTGGCCAATAAAAATTAAAGATTAAGAGGGGCAGTCTGAGATACAGCTTTTTCTTTGCAACTCTGCCTGGAAGGTCAGCATGGGTGGACAGAGAAACACTGGACATTGACCTAGAACCTGTAAGTGTCAAACTGTGACAAATTCATCAGAATAAGGCTAGCCCATATAATTCCAGAATTCAAACCTTTTCAACAATAATATGAACTGCCATTGTTCATTTTTTAACAGATCTAGAGTAAAGTTCTGCATCGGGTCAAATATACGCGTTTTCCTGCAGTTTACCTGCAAAAAAAATCAGCTGGGGGGTTGGAATGAAAACTTTATTTCAACCCGCAGGTCAGCTCACGGTTCAACACAATTATATTGAGTGTCGGAAATCAAGATCATAATTTTTACGAATCCAGGAGCTTGTTGTGTTGCTAATTCCATTCTGTGAGCAGTGAGGCAGACATGTAGGCTACCAGCCACGCATGCAGTGGATCAGGGAACTGTCCATTATTTGTGTGGTGCTGAAACGTATGTTTCATCCGCACGTGAAAATACGTTGCCAAGTGTAGTTTCCCTGGCTAGCCTAGCACATGTGAAAAGGGCTAACGTAGGCCTAACCGGATAAATAAAAAGAAAGGTTATGAAATACACAATCGTAGAAACAGGTGCTGCGTGAGTGAAATCCCCGGTTTGATTTGGAAGGATTTTGGAGTCATTGTAGACAACAACCCAGTAGATGGATACACAATCTGCAAAATGTGCAAGCAGGTATGTTTACGATAGGGTAATTCAGTTTATTATCATCAGTTAATTATTCAGGCTTTCGTTCATTTGGACCATACGCAGAGCAGGCCATATCAAGT